TGACACCGAGATAACCACTGGCTGCACCCACAGGGTGCTCACATCACTGCTCCCAACTGCTCCCCTCTTCTTCCCTCTCCCCTCCAGGCTAGAGCACAGCTCAGGAACATGGCAAAACAAAACAAGCTTCAACAGGGTCAGGCTGGCAGGTTCAGTTCTATGGGGGCTCCAACACAAACCAGGCCCCGTACACCAGCAGCAGCAAACCCAGCACCAGACTTTGCTGCTTCCTCGGTCCCCCCCCCCCCATCACCAGAGGTGACAGCCCCCTCCAGCACAGCGGGAAAGCTTCAAAGAGTATCAGACAGCAGCATCCTGGCTGGGTTCAAGCACCAGCTCTGCTCTGATCTCACTGTATTACAGGCTCCAGCCCAGCCTCTGGACCCCCCTGTGTGTATGGCACCACTGGATAACCACAGCAACCCGGAGTCTGGCTTGGGATGACTCCTGAGCTCAGGCTGCAGGCACAGCAAACCCAACTGCTGCCTTCCCCAGCAGCTCCCTGACCACTGCCCTCCCACCGACAAGCAGGGGCTGGAAGACAAACCTAGATGGGAAAGGGAGAGGAATCAGCCTGAGGAAGCAAGGCTGGAACCGGCCTGAGCCACCTCCACCAGCCTGGCGCCTGCTCTGCTCAGCTCTACCCTCCCACCAACAGAGGGAAGTAAACCTGAGGCTGGCTCATGGGTACAAGCTGGGTACCACAGGGAGCAGAGAGGAAAGCACACGGAGCTCCAGCATCCCAGCACCACCCGCAGAGCCCGTCCCAAATGGATCATGTGTGTTTATTGCCCCACAGCCCCTTCCTCTTCATCACATTCCCTTTGCCTTATCCTGAGGCTGGTACACTCGGCCCAGGCACCAGCGAGGGTCAGCACAGTATCCAGAATTACTGCAGTGGAGCAGGATGAAAGGAATATCGGAGGGTTGAAATGTAAAACGTACCCACGATGCAAACACGAGGCACCTCCAGAAATGGTTCAGTACCAAATGATCAGATCTGTCTGTTTTCTGACCAGGGAGGTTTTCAGATCTATTCTAAGCACCTCTTAATGGAATGAGAACCAGGGAAAAGCTTCATCTGGACAGCAAGTGGGCAGCACTCTCAAACTGCTTGGACTTCAGTCCCGCTCTCCCTTGGAACACTGTGGAGCTGTTTCCTGTGCTCCACTACACTTTGCCTTCTCCCATCCAGTAAAAGGGGACTCTGTGATGCTCTGACCAAGCAGGACAAGGCCCCAGGCAGGTGCAGCACGGGAAGGACACCACACTCCTGCCCTACATCATGCTCCAGAGCAGCCACTGACCCGTAGCCCCCTTTGTCACTGAAGTGCCAGGCATCCAGTGCAGCACCCGATAAACCCCAAACCACACCAGTGCCACCCCTGCCCTAAGAGCCTGGGGGTGACAAGAGCAGGCCAGAAGTGGGGAGGTGCTCAGGGACCTGCAAGCACGGGGAAGATGAGATTGCTGATGAGCTCTGGCAGCAATGAGGCTCCTCGCATGCAGATGACGATGACTCAGGCAGCACCCGGCAACAGAAAAGCCACGAGGGGGCCCATGGAAAGCCTTGCAAGGTAGCAAGAGAGGGGAATGCTGCTGCTGTGCAACAGGTGGGGAGCTCGGGAAGCGGGAGCTGAAGGAAAGGGCCAGTGCAGGTTCCTAAAACACAGCTCACAGCCCGAGGCGAAGCCAGGGCCCCTCCTTATCAGGCTCTTTGCTTTCACACGGACCAACAGGTTTCATCTCCAGATGAAGGCAGGAGCTCAGCAAGGCCAGCACAGCCCAATGCCAAAACACTCACCCAGCTCCCGGCCTGGCCAGGCCATCAGCTCAGCTGGGGGATGCTGCAGGGCAAGTTACCCCCCTGCAAGGCCACAGCTCACAGGGCAGAGCCCTGCTTCAGTTCAGTCACAGAGCCCCGGCACGGCTCTGACCTCAGCAGATGGGAGGCACCTTCACGGCCTTCACCAACTGCTTGTACCCCAGAACACCCCCAGGAGGCTCACAGCGGGGTCGTGCATCTGAGGTGCCAGGGAATGGGAGGACGAGCAACAGGGAGCACCACACCAAACGTGCACAACTCTAGAGCAAGGCAAACCCCACTGCATGGGGACAGAACCATAGGGACTGACTAAGCCTGATGATTTTACCAGATGAGCAAATGCAGACACAAGCTTGCAAGAGACCCTTCCTGAGGAGAGAAGGAGCTGAATGAGAGCAGCGGATCAACCCCTCCTGCGTCAGCTGCTCTCCCCCTTGGCACACACCTTGTCACATGCAGGCTCCGAGGGCAGCAGCAACCACCCTGGTGTTTGTGGGGTCTCTTGTGGGGACTCTGAAATCGCTTTCTGTGATTACCTTTGGCACTTGGCTCTCAGAGGAGGTTAACTCCACCCTTCCTTGCAGCCGTTCTATGGGCAGGGACCCCTTCCCCTGGAGCAGCTTGCTCCAACCCCTGTGTCCAACCTGGCCTTGAGCACTGCCAGGGATGGGGCAGCCACAGCTTCTCTGGGCACTTACCAGGAGCTTTTACTCTGGTGACAGAAAGGGAGGAAAGCCACAACCCACAACTGGGAAACAACGGACCCACCGGTAACAGAGCAAACGGGAGCTCTCTCCCCCCAGTACCACCCATCCTACCGTCAGGCACACCAAGAGGACACACACAGCACTAACAGCACCTGCTCTGCACCCCCGGAGGACCAGCCCGGTGCTCACCCCCTGTCCCCAGCGCTGCCTCCTCAGATGCTCTCAACAACCCCTTGGACAAACTCGTCTTTCTTGTGCCTCTGCCCGCTCACCCCTGCACCCAGAGGAGCCCCTGAAAGCCTTGAAAGGAGACAAGTGCTGCATTCACATTGATTTCAGAGAGCCCCTTTGACGCCTGGAGAGCTGGCAGCAGCCTTCACTGCTGCCACAGCAGAGAAAGCCACAGGGAGGTTCTCAGCAGGACCATCCCCAGCCCGCTCAGGCTCTCCCTCCTCCCTGCCTGGGAGGAAGCCACTGGAGTCTGAAGGTGCTTGAAGCAGAACAAATGAACACCTCCACTCTTCCAACCTCCCTTGCGGTTTCTGCCTATGTTTATGCTACCTCACATCACCTCCCCCAGCCAGCAGCGACCCCTGCATCAGCACACATCCTTTACTCATGCGGCTATTCCACAACACATCAAGGAAATATCCTTCTGTGAAAGCAAGGAGGGAAATCCATTTGTCTGCAAGACTTCAGGCAGAAAATTAACATCTCAGAGCTCGTTTCCTCCTCCGTGAGGTGGCACCGATGCTCTCCTACCTTAGCAAATCCCCATGGGGAACATCTCCAGCTCCCCAAGGGCTCGGAATAACTCAATCACAGTAATTGAGACGTGGGGAGGCGAAGCCGCCGCTGTCACTGCCGAGCGCTTGTTAAAACCGCACGGAACACAGCAGCCCTTTGCCTGGCACCAGCACCCGGTGCAGAGAACCGCACACGACCCGGTGCCGCCCGGTGCTCGGGGCAGCCAACAGCGCCCGAAGTCCCCGCTCCCGCCGCAGCCGTGCCCCGGCAGAGCCCCCGCCCCCGGTCCCGGTCCCGGTCCCTCCTGCCCGGACAGCGCCGTGAGCGGAGCACCCGGAGACGGGCAGGGCTGAACCGGGCCCCGTTCTGCCCCTGCCCTCTCCCGCTGCCACCGCCGCCCGGGCCGCGGGGGCACCCCCGGGAGAGGCGCGATCGCGGCACGGCCCCGGGCGGACGAGGGAACGCTCCGCGGGCCGGGCCCGGCGCAGCCCGCGGGGCCGGGCGGGACGAGGCGCGGGGCCGAGCGGGACGAGGCGCGGGGCCGGCGGAGCTGCGGACCTGGAGCCCCGTCCTGAGCCGCGCGGGGCCCGCCCGGCCCGGAGCCCCCCCCCCGGGGACAGCAGGGGACACGGGCCCGGCCCGGGCTGGCCCGGCCGCCGCACTCACCATCGCCGCCGACGCCGCCATCTTGGATCCACGTGTCGGGATGCACGTGACGTCAGCGGAAGTGAGCCGCGGGGCTCATCGCCATGGCGACAGCGGCAGCGCCGCGCCGGGCCCAGCGGCGGAGCTCGGGGGTCCGAGCCGGGCCCAGCGCTGCCGCCGAGCGGGGCCGGGGCCGGGGCCACAGCTCCGGTGCCCAGCGGGACCGGCCCGGCGGAGCCGGCCGTGGGGTCAGGGGAGCGGCGCCACCATCTTTGCTGAGGGCAGCGGCCTTCGCGAGCAGCGCGGCCACGACGCCGCGGGCGCCATGTCCGGTGCGGGCACTGCGGCTGCCGGGCCTTGGGGCGGCACCGACCCCGCTGCCGCGCTCCCAGCGGTGCTGAGGGCTCCCAGCCTCGCCCCGACCCGGGGCACGGCCGGAAAGGCCGCAGGGTGAGGGCTGTATTGGTCACTACTTTATTGGTTACAGAAAGCAGCTCCAAAGTGGGCACCGAAGCACCGGACTTTGCCTCTGTGTAGAAGGAGGAGGTAATGGCAGGAAGGGCCCTGCTGGAAGGCGCGCAGGGCAATCCCATAGAAACCAAGTGCTGCTTCTTCCCTTTCCCCAGAGCATCCGTTATTAAATAACATAGGGTGAGTGCAAGGTACTGAGGCTGCGAGGCCCTGGCCGGTGTTAAATCAGACCTGGGAGCGGAGCAAACCAAAGCTCCGCCTGGGTTCATCTGCAGCAGCGCTGCCTCCCTCCGGTTGCCCTGTGCAGAGCGGGCACCGTGAGCGGCCCCCCAGGAGGGAGCTGGGGCTCTGCAGCACTTGGCATTCAACCAGCAGGAGCGGGGATGAGGAGGAGCTGAGGGGTTCATTGCAACACAGCCCGTGGGACCCCACTGGGATGCCCCTGACACACTGGGTGCTGAACTGCACACCCGGAGCATGCAGCAATGCACAGGGCCAGTGCAGCTGAAGCACCTACTGCTAATAATAACCTGTGTTTGCCTCTTGGCAGCTGGAACAGGCCCAGGCTTGGCCCTCCTCGTGTGATGCCACTGCTGCAGGCACCCACTGTCCAGCCCGTGCGTCCCGGAGCAGCGGCACTGAGGCCGCTCAGGCACATGTGAAAGGCACAGGGTGCATGTCTGGGTCACATCTCCCTTCACCCGGCTTCCTCCTGCCCTGCTTCCAGCCCAACCACAGCAGGAAGGCTCAAGCTCCTGGGCCGGGCAGGCAGAGGGAGGTGGGAGCAGGCAGATCACAAGTGGGATGGGAAGAGCAGGGAGCCTGTGTTCACTGCCACCAGCACAGGGTGCAGAGTGCTGGCTATCCCCTGCCTTCCCCAGGCTCCCTGCGTCACGGCTGCTGCTGATACTGGCTCTCTGTGGCAGTGAAGAAATCCTCCAGGATGCTCTGCACGTACTCAAAGGTGGGCCTGTCCTCAGGTTTGCTCCTCCAGCACCTCATCATCACATCATAGAGCTCCTCGGGGCAGTTCTCGGTGCGGGGCATCCGGTACCCGCGCTCCAGCGCCCTGATCACCTCCACGCTCGTCATCCCTGCAGGAACGGGGCCGGTTGGTGAATGGGGCATGATTTATCACTGCTTGCTTTCAAAGGCAATAAAACCCCCAAACCACCCTTTGGGCAATGGCACTGGGAAGAAAAAGGACAGGTTAGGGGGTTGGGAAGGGGGAGCTGCAACTCCTGGTCAGGGAAAGGTGCAGAGAACGCGCTGTGGCACGCAGGTTTGTACCCACTTGAGCAAACCAGGTGGGAATTGTAAGAGTTATGTGTAAATGTAGTAAATAAAGGCTATGCTTCTCCATCTGCTGAGCCTTAAATGAGCCATTCTTGCCACTAATATCACAGACAGCCCTCCTGCCACCCCAGAGCCAGCACAGTCTCTTTGTGGCAGCATTTACTTGCCTTGTAGAGAAGCATTTCCCCCTGGAGGAAGGTACCTGGGTAGGGCATGCGCCCGTAGGTGATGATCTCGGTCAGGAGGATCCCGAAGGACCAAACGTCTGACTTTATAGTGAAAGAGCCGTAGTTGATGGCTTCGGGGGCAGTCCATTTGATGGGGAACTTGGCACCTGACAAAGAGATCCCACGGGAAACGGGAGCTGTAACCCAACTGCTGCGAAACCGGTGGGGAAATAGGGGGAACGAGAAGCACACAAACAGAAGAGGAAGATGTGGAGTGATGCAAATGAGGAGCTTCCCTCTTCAACCCGGTTACACAGCACATCCCCGAGGGGCCTTGCATGGAGGTGACACCTTGGGAGTGACTTCAAGGGAACCCCACAACCCCTCAGCACCCGGAGCACGGCCAGGACCCCCACACCTTCCCGTGCTGTGTACTCATCGTCTTCAATGACCCGGGCCAGCCCGAAATCTGCGATCTTGCAGAGCAGCGCTGCCGACACCAGGACGTTGGCAGCTCTCAGGTCGCGGTGGATGTAGTTCCTCTTCTCGATGTAAGCCATCCCCTCTGCAATCTGCACCAAGGGGGAACACGAGATGCAAAGGGGCCCTTGAACTGACACAGCCCCCTCCATGGGGGGGTTACCGGGAAGGGAAGGAGTTCGGCTGCCTGTGGGCAGTGCTGGTGGAGGGGTGAAAGGAGCCGGGTGGCAGCAGGGGCTGACCCTGCTGTGTGGGACCTGCTCCCTGTGCAGGGAAGGGGTCAGGCTCTGGGTGAGCGGCCCAGCACCACCCTGCAGCAGAAAAGCAGCAAGAAGGGCACCCAAGGGCCCTCACACATCTGTGGATGCTGCAGGACAAGGGGCAACAAGGACAAGGATGCTGCAGGACAAGGGCACCCAAGGGCCCTCACACATCTGTGGATGCTGCAGGACAAGGTGCAACTGCTTCATCCCTGGCTATGCAGACGAGGGGTAAATCAGCCTCTGCTCAGAGACAACTCAAGACCAGCCTCTAAACACATAAACTTGATGGGAGCAGGGAGCGATTCCCTCCCTACACCAAGGGAACAGCAAATGGAGCTGGATGAGGAGCACTGCAGAGCCTCCAGGCCGAGGGCAGGAGAGCACGGTGCTGGGTCTCTCAAGGAGGGTGGGGAGCTCTGATCCATGCAGAGATGACCCCGTTTGTGCCAAATTATCCCATACCTGGATGCTGCCAGCATTGGTGAGGGGAAGGGGCTGGAGCAGCCGGAGGGAGCACCCCCCCATCCCCATCCCTCCTGCCCAGCCAGGCCAGGGGAAGGTGCAGCAGCTCTGAGCCCCCCCAAAGCCCAGCAGAAAGCAGGCGCTGCAGGAGCAGGGTTGTTTCCATGAGCACAGACCCTGCTGTGCTCGCAGTGACTCAGCCCCAGCACAGGCCTGGGTGCCAGCCCTGCTGCCCGCACATGGCAGCTCCTCAGCCTGTGCTCTGCGAGCCCTGGAGCAGGGATGGGCTCTCTGCAGGAGCCAGCTTCCAGATGGTGCAGGAGTGCAGGGCTCAGTGCAGCCCTGGCACAGCCACCCCACAGGCTAAGCCCCCAGGGGCTGAGCTCCTGTCCTTGCTTCCCTGTTGCTCAGGACCCTCCATGCGTTCTCTCACAGCAGCACCAAGCTTAGCTCAAAGGGTCCCTGGATGTGGCTGGCGCCTGGGGACGCTGCAGAAGGAGCAGGGACAGGACAGGGGTTGTGCCCATGGAGCACTGAAACCAGCTCCTGAAAACATCCCTGTCTGGGGTATCCCTGGGGTCCTCTGACTCCCGCAGCCCCTGACAGCCCTTTGAAGGGAGCTGATGGTGACTAACCGCAGCCCTCCTGTGGGATAACACAACACGTTCCTTATGGAAACCATGCCCAGGCCCCATGAACACCCCAACGGCCCCGTGCTGCAGCTTCCCTGCTGAACCACAGAGCCTGACCCTGCTGCAGCCGTGGCTGGGCCCTGCCCGGGGCACGGTGAGGGTGCCCTGGGTGCCTCTGCTGCACGCATGGGGCCGGCTGCAGTCACATTCACAGCAGCAGGGATGCTGAGCCGGCAGCCTGCTCCTCCCCTGCATCCATGGCCCCGGTGTTGCCTGGTCCAGCAGAGACCTCGGGCTCCTCTCTCCCCGTTGCCAGGGCAGGGCTGCGCCCTCCTCACCTGCGCGGAGAAGTCGATGAGGTTCGGGAGCGGCTGCCTGCGCCCCTCGCTGCTCTTCAGGAACTCCAGGAGGCTCCCTACGGAGAGGGCAGGGAGCGGCTCAGGGCCCCAGAGCCGAGCACAGCGCAGGGGGCTCGGGAAGCAAACCTGAGCCCCCATCCCGGTACCGTGGGTTGGGAAGAGCGGCAGCACCGCTGCAGGTGCCCTCCGTGTCTGCCCCATTCCCATCCCTCCATCTCCCAGGGCTGTCCCCGCATGCCCCCCATCCAACACCCTCAGATGGGCCATGGGAGGAGCTGGACCCACTCCCAGTGTCCCTGCAGCCAGCACAGAGCCCATGGCTGACCCCAGGGGTGCAGGAGGGGCCGGTTACTGCTGCGCCGTCCCTGGGTACCACCAGTGACCGCGGTGCAGGGACGTGGGCATCACCTTTCTCCATGAACTCGGTGATGATGTAGATGGGCTCCTCCCTGGTGACCACCGCGTGCAGCCTCACCAGCTTGGCGTGCTGCAGCGTCTTCATCAGGTTGGCCTCCTCCAGGAAGGCATCGGCGGACATGCTGCCCGGCTTCATCGTCTTCACCGCCACCTTGGTGTGCTTGTTGTAGGTAGCTGGGAGATGCACAAGGGACCATTCCCAGTGCCCAGGCACCGGATCCTGGAGGCCAGGGCTGTCCCCATGGACCAGCCCCACGCAGTCCCTGCATTAAGGCCAGGGAAACCTCCTCTTCCCTGTGCTCCTCCTGCAAGTCCTCCCTTCCCTGCCTCCTCCATCCCATCCCTCACCCTTCATCCCTCACCTTCCTCCCAGCTTCCCCCTCCCACTCTCACCCATCCACACTTCTCCGAACTGCCCGGCTCCCAGCCTCCTCTCCAGCCTCAGCGACTCCCGAGGGATCTCCCAGGCATCTTTCTCCCATGGTTTCTGGGGCCTGGGCACGCAGCAGGGGTAGGTGAGCCTCTGGCACAGCCCATCGCTCTGCCCTGCAGGGAGCAGCCGGGGCATCAGCTGGTCCCTCTCACAGGGTGCTTCGGACCTGGAGCCCACTGCAGCCTCCCTGGCCACAGGGCACGTCCTGGCAGCACGCACCCCACTGCAAGCCCTGAGGACACCTCGGACACCAGGCACTGCAGCCCGGCCCCAACAGCACCGCTCTGCCCTGCCCTGTGCTGTGCTGGTGGTCAGAGCCCAGCTCAGGGGGTCCTGGGCATTGAGGGCATTCAGGGACACCAACGCCCCCAAATGTGGCAGCCAGCAAAAGCCAGCCCCTGCGCCCGGGGATGGTCCAGTGCTCACTGCACATCCCGGATGGAGTCACAGCGGTGATGGGCAGGACCCCCATGGCCTCTGCACGCCCCTCCTGCCCCATGGCCGCCCAGGGGCACAGCCCCATCTGGGATGCAGGACCCAGGAACCCCAGGGCTCACCCTTGTAGTGCTGGACCAGCTCCTGCAGGGTGTCAAAGCTGCTGCGGGCGGAGACGTAGAAGCCGCCACTGTCCAGTGTCCGGATCTTGTAATGCTTCACCACGCTGTCCCCATCCCGCACTGACAGCGAGTAGCAGCCTGTCCATTGGGGTGAGGGCATCACATCCCTGTGCCACCCATCCCGCACGGTGCCGTCACCCAGCAGAGCCAGTGCCGTGGGCACCCTCCAGACCTTTGCTTGTCTCGCTGTCCCGTATCATGAAGGATCCGCTCACGTTCCCAGGACCGAGGAGCTGCCGCTCCGCATCCTTCCGGCTGATGCCCTTGAAAAACCACCTGCAGGAAGGAACGAAGCAGGGAATGGGGCTGGGGAGCCGAGGCTGGCGTGGGGCAGGGCTGGGAGCAGCCCCAGCGCGGGACCATGGCACCGGGATGCGCCACCGAGGGCCGGACTCACTCCTCTGTCTCCAGCGAGTCAGCGCGGGCAACGTAGTTGCTGGGGATGAAGCCTTCGTGGCCCGTCACCAGCGACCGCGCTCGCCACCACTCCCCTGACCTGCGGCAGACACAGAGCTGCGTGATCCCATGGCACTGGGCACTGCTGGCAGCTCCCATAAGGAGACCCCAGCCCTGCAGCACTTACTGCTCCAGCACCTTCAGCATCTCCCCTTTCTGGAAGCTCAGGTCCCCGGTGTGCATCGCCTCGTAGTCATAGAGCGCCAGCACCACAGCGTCCCCTGAGCCTGCAGTGAGGGGCGTCCCTGGGCACCCTGCTGGGGTGGGACGGGGTGACCCATCCCTGCCATGGACACCCAGGACACTGCCAGGACCCCCACAGCACCCAGCGCCTCCGGCTTCCCCCTGCTACGGTCACGCCTGGCCTTCAAGCAAGCCCAGAGCTCCCATCCTGCCTGGACCAGCAGTGCTGGACCCACGTTGGAGAGGACCCGACACGCACCCACCCCTTGCACTCACCTTCACCCCCCCCATCCCCAGACCTACCATCCTCGGGGGGGGGCACGGCAGCGCTGTGGGTGTCATTGCTCTGGAAAGTGGGAATAAAGCAGAGAGCGATGTGGGTGCAGAGGTTTGTACCCTCAGCCCCTAGAAGCAGGCTCAAGGGGGCACCCGAGGGGCAGCACCAGCACCACCCAGCGCACCAATGCACCAGCACCTCTGTCCCACCTCCCAGCGCCTTCATTTTCCTCTCCCTTTCTCCACGATTCCTTGGTTCCCATCAGGATCACTGTGCTTTGCCCCAGCATGGACGAGGCTCCCATCCCACAGCCGAGCCCCTCCTGCACCCGCATCCAGCCCTGCTCTTGGTGCTGGCAGCTCTGGTGGGAAGTGGGGCTGAGCCCCACGATGGCTCAGCCCTGTGCCCCCATCTCACCTGGTGGCTCCCGCTCACCCTCCTGTTGGTGGCCGTGGGGTCCCTCACGTAGTGCCCCTGCTGGAGGCTGGGGCTGGGGTCAGGGTCGGCTTTTATCTTCTCTTGGACACCGGCTTCCTTTGACTTCACGCAACCCATCCTGGAGCCGGGGAGGGGAAGTGAGGCCGTTGCGACAGAGGTGAAAGCCCCGCTCCAGCCCCAGCTATGGGGCGCATGGCACGGGGCTGTGATGCTGCATTGCCATGGGCAGGGAGGGCTCTGCTCCCACCAGGGAGCCGGGGGCCCAGCATGCGGAGGGGGAAAGGAATCTCCCGGTGCACAGAAAGGAGAAGCCACAGGAGGCAAGTTTTGGGCAGGTGACAGCGGCTGCCATGGGGCAGCCTCACAGCCCTTCCCCAGTCAGGGATGCAGGCACTGAGCACCACGGGGGCCGAGAGCCGCTTGGTGTGTTCTGCACAGCGGGACCCCATCACAGTGGGGCTCCCCCAGAACCCAGGGCTCCGCACCCAGCACCAGGGCAGGGCAAATGCAAGTGCTCAGCTCAGCGTCCTGCAGCTCCCCAAGGAACACCCGTGGGGAAACGGCTGCAGCGAGCAGCGAGCGGGGGGAAACCCCACAAAGGCTCTTCCCTTGTCCGGGGGAGACCTCGGTACGGGGAAAGGAGAAGGTGCCCAGGGTGACAGCGAAGGAGGAAGCTCGGGGCTGAGCAGGACCCTGCGATGCGCTCAGCACCGCTGGCCTTGCTGCACGGCTCTCGAGGGACATCGCTGTCCCCCCCCAGCCACCGCTCCTTGTCCCTCCCAGGTGCCAAAGCCCGGCTCAGCCCCGCTGCCCGCATTCAGCCCTGCAAAGCACCCACAGCGCTGAGGGTCCCCGGCGGCCCCTGCAAGGACACCGGCAGGGACCACAGCACGGGACTGCACCGGGACACCCCGGGGCCGCTGCCACCGCCTCCCCTCGGGCACCCAGGGGCCGCCGCTCCGAGCGGGGCCGGCACGGAGCAGGACCGGGGCAGCAGAGGCTGGACCGGGGCAGGGGCTGCCCGCACCGGGGCTGCCCGCACGGCTCCCGGGGTCCCGCGTTCGGCTCCGCTCTCACCTGCGCTGCCGTCCCTGGGCACGTCCCGTTCCCCGCTGCTGCCTCCGCTCCGCTCTGCCCGGCTGCGCCCCCGCCGCCCCTCCCCGGTAAATCCACCCCCGCCCGGTGAAACCACGCCTCTCCCGGTAAGGCCCCGCCCCTGTCCCGCCGGTGCTGCCCGACGGGGGGGGGGGGCGCGGCTGATCCCGCGTGTCCCAGCCCCGGGATTGGAGCGGGGATCCCGTTGCACCCAGCACAGGACCTCCCGCTCCAAGCGGGACCCCCACGGATCGAAGGCTTTCGAGGGCACCTGTGATGCCCGCAGGGACTTCCCATCCCACCCTGGCCCTGTGATGGGTGCCAGAGCCCCGCTCGCCCGCCCCAGCCCTGGAGGGTGCGGGAGGATTTGGGGTCCGACACCCCAGAGTGGTCCCTGGCTGGCAGCAGGGATCGTGGGGTGAGCCCAGGCTGGTGTGGGGTGAGCCTGGTTCTCCACCCCTGCAGAGGGGAAAGAGGAGACCCCCGAGCACTGTCCCGTGATGGGGTGCAGGGCACAGAGGGGTGCAGGGCACGGGGCTCCTGCCCTCCTGGCCCTCCTGTCCCCATGCCAAAATCACCCCAGGTCCCCTCTCCAGCCTTTGCTCCGGTTCAGCCAGAGCTCCCCTGAATTTGGGGCCGGGACAGCAGCAGCAAAGAGCCCTGCGGTGACACTCGCCATGGTGGCCAGGCCCAGCCGGACCCAGGCCGTGCTCTGGCTCTGGAGCATCAGAGGAAGCATCCGCGGCCCCCCCCGCACACGGTTTGCATATGGAAATCAGAGAGAGAAACCAGAAGCTGCTGCCGGTAACCCCCCGTCCGCTGCCCACGCTGCGGCCCGGGCCCCATCCTGCACCCCCCAACGAGGGACATCGGCCACGGCCATCATCCGGGGCCGGGCGGGCGGCCGCGTCCCTCGGCAGCGGGGGGGCAGCGGCAGCGCTGCAGGAAGCCGGTCCCGGGGCAGGAACTTCCTCTCACGAAACACCCTCGGCCCCGGCCGGGCCGGTGCTGCGGGGCCGTCACCCGCGGTACCGGGGAGCGCCCGCCCCGTGTGCCCCAGCCCCGTGTGCCCCAGCCCGGCCCTCACCCCGGGGCTCGGCAGCAGGATGGGGGCAGCCCCCAGCAGCCCCTGCTCATGCAGGCAGCCCCAGTCCCCTCCCGTCCCGTCCCATCCCACCCTCGCTGCCCCCCTGGGTTGCTCTGAGCTCCGGGGGTCCCGCGCTGCCAGGACTGTCCCATGGGAACCCCGGCTCTCTGCGGGTGGCACTGGGGTGAGCAGCGTGCCCCAGCCCAGCGGCCACATGGTGCCTGCCGTGCTCATCCCCAGCCATAGCATCATAGAACCATAGAATAGTTTGGGTTGGAAAGGACCTGAAGATCATCCAGTTCCAACCCCCCTGCCATGGGCAGGGACACCTCGCTCTAAACCATCTCACCCAAGGCCTCGTCCAACCTGGCCTTGAACACTGCCAGGGATGTGGAGCATTCACAACCTCCTTGGGCACCCATTCCAGTGCCTCAGCACCCTCACAGGAAAGAATTCCCTCCTTAGATCCAATCTAAACTCCCCCTGTTTCAGTTTGAACCCATTACCCCTTGTCCTACCACTACAGTCCCTAATGAAGAGTCCATCCCCAGCATCCCTATAGGCCCCAGCATCCCTATAGCATCCCCAGCATCCCTATAGCATCCCATGTGTCCCGGTATGTCCCTTCCCCAGGATAGAACCTGCTCCACTCACAGCTCTGGCATTTAATTGCAATCCGCAGTGATTACAGCGCATGGCGCTGCAGGCTGGGGGCTCCCCCCCCCACCATGGGGTACCTGCGGTGCCATCAGTGCCACCGATAGCTGCCAGGGCAGTGCAGAGCCCCAGTGATGAAGAGGGGGACAATGACAATGTCCTCCCTCCCAGGCACTGGGGCAGAGCTGGGCACCTTGGGCAGCAGGGAGGGCACCCCCTCACAGGTAGTTGTCCTCTTCCTCGTCCTCCTCCTCCTCCTCATCCCGCGCCAGCGCCTCGATGTCGTGGGTGATGTCCGTGATGATGCGGTTGAAGGACTCGGACTCGGAGCGCAGGGACCAGCTGTCGTAGCTGCGCACGGCTGAGGCTGAGGTGTTGCTCATGCTGCGCTTGATGCGGCCGAAGCTGTCGGTGAGGATCCCGCCCTCCCGGATGCCGATGCTCTCCAGGAACGTCTCGAAGTACCCGATGTCTTGGTCGGGGATGAAGGGTCTCATTCCTGCCATGGGTACCGTGAGTGCTGGAGAAGCCCTCCCTGGATGGGCAGCGCTGGGGTGCAATGCCAACCATCCCCAATGCTTGCTCATCCCATCCCATCCCATCCCATCCCATCCCATCCCATCCCACCCCACACCCCCCAGAGCACACCCAGCACACACACACATCCCCAGGACAACACGCTGACACAGGGAGCCCAGACACTCACCCAGGAGGAGGAATTTCCTGCGGTCCCCATAGAGGCGCAGGAGCTCGGTGCAGTATTCCTGCACCGGCATGCCCAGGCGGTATTCCCGCAGGAGGAGGGCGAACTGCTGGATCTCCTGTGGTGACAGCTTGTTGCGCAGCTGCAGTGACACAGGAGCAGGTCAGGGTTGGGGGCCCCAGCAGCACAGAGGCCCTGCTCCCTGTTGGCTGCTGGGCACAGGGGCTCAGATGTGCTGGCACTGAGCAGGGCCCTTCTCCCATCCCTGTCCCCTCACCGTCACCATGTAGTCCTGCAGCTGCTCCAGCCCCGCGCCGCTCTGGTCGCTGCCGCTGCAGGCGGTGGCCAGGCTGTGGTGGGACCGATGGAAGGAGGGTGAGGAGGCACCGCTGTAATACGCCTCAAAGGTCTCGTGGGAGCTGTTGCTGTGGGAGGATGGGGGTCAGTGGGTCCTGGCACCCCTCATCTGCCTGGGTCTCACTGCACAGCACCCATCGGGGCATCTCTGCAGGCACCCACCCCAGTGCAGGGCACCCACCCGGGCCAGGGGCACCCTGAGGCAACCAGACTCACAAGGAGCTGCAGCAGCTGAAGTCGGCATCATAGGCGTACGTCCCGTCTGTGCGGCAGCTCTCACCTGGGGAGGGAGAAATGAGGGTCTCAGAGTGGGGCCAAGCCTCTGTCCCTGCACACAGCCCCATGCCACCCGCTTGGTGTCCCCATGTGTGACCCCCACCACTCACTGCGGCTGGAGAGCCAGGGCCGTGTTGGGGTGGAGGTGTAGTGGTACCCGGCACGGTCCACGCACTCGATGCTCTGGTCCCCATAGATGATCTGGAAGACCTGGCAGATGAGCGCACAGGACTCCTCACCAGCATCCTGCAGTGGGAGGGACAGGGAGGACATGTGCCATTGGGTGCCCAAGTGCCACTGGGCGCCCATGTGCCATTGGGTGTCCAAGTGTCATTGTGTGCCCAAGTGCAACTGGGTGCCCATGTGCCACTGGATGCCCAAGGGGCACTGGGTTCCCACATGCCATTGGGTGCCCACGTGCCACTGGATGCCAATGTACCGCTGCCCAAGTGCCACTGGATGCCCAAGTGCCACTGGATGCCCAAGTGCCACTGGATGCCCAAGTTCCACTGGGTGCCCAAGTGCCACTGGATGCCCAAGTTCCACTGGGTGCCCAAGTGCCACTGGGTGTCCACATGCCACTGGGTGCCCATGTGCCACTGGATGTCGATGTACCATTGGCTGCCTAAGTGCCACTGGGTGCCCAAGTGCCATTGGGTGCCCAAGTGCAAACTAGGTGTCCACGTGCCATTGGGTGCCCACGTGCCACTGGATGCCGATGTACCGTTGGCTGCCCAAGTGCCACTGGATGCCCAAGTGCCACTGGGTGTCCACATGCCACTGGTGGCAAGTGCCACTGGATGCCCATGTGCCATTGGATGCTGATGTACCGTTGGCTGCCCAAGTGCCATTGGATGCTGATGTACCATTGGATGCCCAAGTGCCCCTGGGTGTCCACATGCCCCTGGATGCCCAAGTGCCCCTGGGTGCCCGTGTCCAGCCGGTGGGTGCCGCGTGCCGCGGGTGCCGGCTCTGCTCACCCTGTTGGGCACGGCGAGGATGACGAGGTTGGAGTAGGCGTCAGGGCAGGGCTCCCGCGGCTCCAGGGGGTTGCTTCCCGCCTGCCGCCGCTCCCAGCTGCCGAAGCCGGTGCCGCGCTCCCAGCTCCCGCCGGCGGGGCCGGGTCTCCGCCGCTCCCAGCTGCCCGAGGGCCGCCCGCGCTGCCTCCGCTCCCAGCTGCCGCCGCGGCGCCGCTCGAGGCTGCCTCCCTGCCGGCCGTCCTGCCCGCCCCGCGCCGCCCGCCAGTCCAGGCTGCAGATGGTGTGCCGCCGCTCCATCGGGCCCCCCAGCCGCCCGCCCTCGGGCCACGAGCCCCCCGCCCGCTTCTCGCCGGGGAAAGCCTCCGGTAACCCGGGGGGGGCCGCCTCCGGGTGTGCTCCGGCGGGAACCGGGTCCACTCCCAGGCCTGGGGCAGAGAGCGGGGGTCAGGGCAGGGGCTGCGCTGCCCGCACTGCCCCGAGCCCTGCTCCGAGCCCTGCCCCTGCCCTGGCTGCCCCAGGGATCGTAGAGCCCTAGAGTGGGTTGGGCTAAAGGGACCGTAAAGCTCCTCCAGCTCCAACCCCTTCCACTGGAGCAGCTTGCTCCAAGCCCCTGTGTCCAACCTGGCCTTGAGCACTGCCAGGGATGGGGCAGCCACAGCTTCTCTGGGCACCCTGTGCCAGCGCCTCAGCACCCTCACAGGGAAGAGCTTCTTCCTGATATCTAATCTAAATCTAACCCTTTTCCAGGTTAAAGCCATTTCCCCTTGGGATGGGTGAGATGGAATAGGGATGCGGGAGCCCCAGTGGGTTGGAGGATTAGGGACAAAGTATGGGGACTGCTCTGTGTCCAGGCTGGAGCTCAGTCTCCACTGACTCAGGGGGGCAAGGTGGGTTTTTTATGCCCCATCCGGACCCAGCACCTTCCCATCACCCCCAAAGCTCCAGCCCCTCATGCCCTGAGCACACCGGGTGCTGCACCAGTGGCCCTGGCCCGATGCCCGCACCGGTTTTGAGGATGAGGAGGTGCAGGGCATCATCCCGCAGGTAGGACGCGGCGGCGATCTCGTGTGTGGGGATGCGCAGGATCAGCTCCTCGTTGTCGCGCCATGTGAGCAGGAGGCAGCGGGCAGAGAGGCTGAGGATGCTGTCCTGCTCCGGGGTCGTCTGCAGCGGCAGCTCCTTCAGCTGCTGCGGGGCAGAGCGTGTGCCATGGGCATGGGGCACCCTGCGGCATGGGGCACCCGGCACCCACCCTCTGGGCAGCACTGGGGCAGTGCAGTGGGCCCCCTCTTACCCTGGCTGTGTCCAGCAGCTGCAGCACCTCATCCCGGCTGGAGGGGTTCAGCGAGGCTGTCACCCATGTCAGGTGGCCTAAAAACTGGGACACAAAACCCAGGGCAGCTTGGGGGTCCCCTGTAACGGGGGTCCCATCCCACCACCCCCTTACCGGAGTGTTTGTCTGGGCACCAAGGGGACCAGCACCCTCCTGGCCACAACGGGTGGTGGCTTCCAGCATGGTGTGGACCTGGGCATCGCTGGGGACCCCCCCCTTTACCTTCACCTCCTTCTCCACGTAGTCGTGCAGCAGGATCTGGGGGTCGATCAGGTAGTCGGGGGGGTAGAGGGGCACCGAGTGCAGCGGCCGCCGGTAGACGCTGCTCCGGATCGCGTGCCGCCGGGCTGCCTTGGGGAACACCAGCCTCTTGATGGGCGACACGAAGCCCTGGAGGGAGAAAGGGGGTGCAGGCACCCATCAACACCCAACCCCAGCACCCCAGGGTGCGCGGGCACCCCTCTGCTCCCTGACCTCCATTTGGGGGAGTGGGAAGCACAAGTGCAGAGCCCACCTCTCCCCAGCACCCCATAGGAAGGGCTGCAAGGCCCTTTTGTCCCATGTGTCTCACCCGCTCCCACGCTCCCGCAGCCCCCCCCGGACACCACCCGTGGCCCCAGCACCTTCTTCCCCTTCTTGGCCTCGCCGTCCATGGCGGCCGCGGCGCTGCCTCTCGGCCCGGCCGCCCCGCTCGGCGCCGCTGCGCTTTCCTGTGTCGGAAACTCCACCAGGATGGCCGGGATGTGAGTTCCTGCCCCTCCTGGGGGGGCTGGGACTGGGCTGGGCTGGGACTGGGATTAGGAGTGGGAATAGGACTGGGACTGTGGCTGCATTTGGGATTGGGACCAGGACTTGGCCCAGGAGTGGGACTATGCTGGTACTTGGGCAGAAACGGGCCGAAGTAGGCTGGGATGGGACTGGAGCAGCGGCTTGGGCTGGTGCTGGGCTGGAACACGGGTTGGGACCAGGGACGGGATTTGTGCTGGGAGTGGGCTGGGATTTGGTCAGCAGCAGGGACTGAAGTGGGCTGGATGGGACCAGAGCAGGTGTCAGGCCTGGGTTTGGGGCTGGGGGTGCTGGTGGGACCCGGCTGCAGAGCAGCCCCAGCCCCTCACTGCTGCAGGGCTCCCCCCTGGGCTTGGGCCTGGTTCTGTTGCCCCATGGCCCCACATCAGTCACATCTTCATGGGCAGAGCTGGCGGCTCCCGGCCCTCACTGCCCCTTTCTCACCCTGCCCATGGGGCCATGACACAGGGAACGGCACCAGCGGGATCCTGCTCAACTGCACCCAGCTCCCCATCCCCGCAGGCACCCATGGGTTCCGAGCCCACCGGGGCCTCCGGCAGGGAGGAGGTTGCTCCGGCATCAGCCACCTCCAGCGGCTTCCTGCCCAGCATCCTGCCCGCGCACCCCTTCGCTGCCGGCCAGAGGCACCGTGCGCACAGCAGCCCCGCAGCCGTCCTGCTCCATGCCCAGCATCCCAGAGCACCCCGGGACACAGCATCCTGCCCCGCTGCAGGGCGCTGCGCCGGGGCCGCGGCAAGGAGCGGAGCCGCAGGCCGGGGTTATTGAAATGAATTTAATTTCTCATGTTGCAGCAAAATTAAAAATATACAAAAAGTTCGTGGAGTACAAAAAAGTCTCGGTCCGGCCCCGGCCCCCCTCGGCCCTGCCCGCGCCGGCTCCCAGGGGAGAAGGTGGCACACACAGTATTTACAGTACGTGACAGCGGCCGCCGGGTCCCGCAGGGGGGGGACAGGGATGTGGCCGACACCCCCCCGGCAGCCCCCATCGGGATCCAACGACCCTGACCGGGGGCAAACCCTGACCACGGGCCCCATCCCAAACCTCTCCCCGCTCCCTGACGCCGGGGTGGCCCCAGGGACACCCCCCGGGACCAGGACCCCCATCCCCAGCGGGAGCTCCAGCACCCCCAGAGCTGCCCCATCCCGCAGCACCCAGCTCGGCCCCAGCTCCTGCCCCCTCGCCGTGGTCCCGGTGCTGCCGCTGGCACCGGGGCTCTGGGTTTGGCTTCCCCTGCGGCACAGGCTGAGCCCTGGGGCTCGCTGCTGCTGAGACCCCTGCCCGGAGCAGCCCAGGGCTGAGGGTACCGTGGCTTGAGTGCATAGAAAAGTGTCCCTCTGTGCCCAGGGGCCCCGCGCAAGCCCCAGGGCATGGGGAGGGCGATGCGGATTGACCCGACCGGTGGCTTCTCTCTGCTCTTGGGGGGGGGGGACAGGGAGAGGGGCTGGGGCTCTTGGAGGAGCCCCCCCTATGCTGGCACCAGGTCCCCATGCGCAGGGACCGCAGGGACGAGCCCCGGCCCCAGCCCGGCTGCCCCCGACCTTCCCTGAGGAAATGAGACCCCCCTAAAGCTGCCCCTGGCACCGTCAGCGCCCGCCGCGGGGTCTGTCCGATACCGGCGGTGAAGGAGGGAGCCCGGCCCCAGCCAAGTGCTGCCCCTCCTCCGAAAGGGATTCCGAGGCTTCCAGTTAGCACCAGTTAGCACCAGTGTCCCCAGCGCCGGCCCTGCCCGCTGCCCCCTCCCCCCCCGCCCCCCTCCCCCGGCCTTCCAGCTACAGAGAAATGGGAAAGAAAAACAAGGTGATGACACCGGGGATGGGAGCACCTCGGGGGGCCGGGCCCCGGCACGGTGGGTGGCAGCCAGAGCCCTTCCCAAGTGCAGGTCCCACGATCCAGCCCTCCCCATGGCTGGGCCTTTGTGCCGCTCCTCATCCCATCCCATCCCATCCCATCCATCCCATCCCATCCCATCCCATCCCATCCCATCCCATCCCATCCCATGGCAGGGATGGCACCGCGGCACGGGGCAGCTGGGACCCGACGTGGCTGTGGCGGGGGGCACGGGGGGGCACAGGGGGCACGGGGAAGGCACGGGGGCTGTGGGAGAGGAGGGCAAAGGGCTATGGGGGTCCGGCAGCATCACAGCCCTGCAAACCTCTGCCAGCCCCTGCACACACATGCACACGCACACACACACGTGTATACACACATGCACACATTCACACCTGCACACATACACACGTACACACACACATGTACATACACACGTACACACACACACATGCACCCCCTTGGGACGTGCCTGGCCCTGGGGACTTTGAGTACATTCAGCCCTTTGGGTGGGCGCACGCCAATGGATCCGGAGCAGGGACACATTCAAACCCGGAGACCGGGGCAGCCCCAAGCCTGGGGCAGGCAGGATTCTCGCTCTGGTTCATACTGGGGAGCTGATGCTGATGGGGGGTTGAATGGAAACACTCCTGGGTGGATAGAGATGCTGAACCCGGGAGGGGAGGACATCTGGGGGTGAATCCCACTTTGGGGAGCCCCTGGAATGCCGGTGGCCCCATGTGCCCCCTCAGTGGTGCCAGACCTGCCCCCTGGCTACAGTGGAGGTAGAAAATGTCACACGAAATGTCACCATTGAGGTGAAAACAAACCCGATGAGATGAAGTGGTTCCCGTGGGGACAGGAGCGATAATGGGGGCCAGGTGGAGCAGGGTCCCATGAGAGGACCCCAGGACGGGATCTGCACCCCACAGCACAGCCAGGACCCGTGGGGCTGGGGGCATGGCTCAACCCTGAACCAGGGGGAGCAAGAGTGGAGATGAGGGGGTTCCCCTGGGGCAAGAAGGTGACATGGAGGGGCTGCCCAGACCCCGGCTGTCCCCCTACCGCAGCTCCATGGGGGTGATGAGCCCCACACACACCCCGGTTCAGCCACACTCCAGCCCCATGGCGCTGCTGTGACACAAGCACCCGTGTCCCCAGCGTGCCCCACCGTGCCCCAAGCCCCTCACAGCTGCCGACGCCCCGCCCGGGGTGCCCCGGCCCCCATCCTGCACCATGGAACCGGTTGAGCACCGCTGGGCAGCAGCCCCCCCCCCCCCCGGGCTCAGGCACCGCTGAGGTATTTGGCAAGGACGAGCCCCGGGGGGGAGCCATGGGGTGGAACTGGGGTCTCGGCTGCGGGAGGGCGGCGCGGGGCGGGGATAGCACCAAGAGACCCCCCCGGCCCCTGCCTGCGGGGCGCTGCCAACAGGAAGGCAAACGGCTGCGGAGGCGCGAGGGGGCTCAGGATGGCACCGGGGGACCCTGCCGTAGCCCCGCGCCCCCCCACCCTACACGGTGGTCTCGTACTCCAGCACCTCCTGGGGGGCGCCGGGGGTGCGGTACTGCAGGCGCGGGGTGCTGGGGGACGCGTACTCCAGCGCCAGGATGGTTTTCCGCAGGCGCCGGTCGATGAAGTGGGCGTCCCAGGCCGGGTACTTCTTCCTGGGCAGGTCAATGCGGATGACGGGGCCCTCTGTCCGCAGGGCGCGGGCGGCCGGGGCCGGCGGCGCGCAGGGTCTCACCTGGAAGACGGGCACACAACTGTCCCGCTCCCCCGGCGCCCCGTCCCGCTCCCCCCCTGTAGTCCGCGGCAGCGAGCGGGGGGGGCTGGTGACGGCGTCCACGGGGGACCCCGGCACCGGGGCCGGCTGCTGCCGGAAAATGCAGCCCCCGCCGCTGGAGCTGAAGATGGGGCCGTTGGGGTGCAAGAGGCAGTAGTAGATGAACATGAAGAAGATGCCGAGGGCGAAGCTGGAGCTGACCACGCAGACGAGGATTAAGGCGTCGAAGTCGGAGGTGGTCTCGCGGTCGTAGTAGAGGAACCAGAGGATGGTGAGGGCGGCGTTCTCCGACAGCGTGATGATGTAGTAGATGCACATTCGGTAGCGGCTCCGGCCCTCCTTGACGTTGAACCAGCAGAAGATGTAGATGATGCCCACCACCATGTTGTAGATGATCTCCTCCCACTTGGACATGCAGAAGTCCGTCTCGCCCTGGATGATCCAGAAGGTCATGATGCACCAGTGGGTGACGATGAAGATGCCGAAGTAGAGCTGGAACACGGAGGCGAAGAGGGCGAAGGCGATGGCGCGGGCAGCGATGGTGAAGAGGTGCCACAGGATCTGCACCACAGCCCCCTTGTAGGACATGGGCATCTTGTCCTCCCGCGAGTCCCGCAGCACCTTCTGGTAGGAGGCGATCATCCACGCCAGGGACACCAGCGAGGCCGAGGCCGAGAACCCTGCGTGGGGAAGGGGCAGTGAGGACCTGCAGCAGCCCCAGGTCCCCCCTCCAGCCACCCCATCCCCTGCCGCGTGGCCCTTACCCTGCAGGGGCTCGATGCTGTTCTGCTGCACCATGATGCTGAGCTGCAGCACGAGCTGGGGCGCGCTCTTCAGGAAGGTCTCGAGCAGCCGCAGCATGCTGATGTCCGCGCTCTCAAACATCATGCGCCAGTAGAAGTGCCGCCGCCGGTGCTCGGCCTGCCACCGGCTCTGCAGCCCCAGGTACAGCGTGCGGAGGTACCTGCGGGGGGGTGCGAGGTGAGATGGGCCCCCAGGGCCCAGGCAGCTGAGCCCAGCCCCTGCCCATGCCAGCCATGCCCTGCGACCGCTGCCAACCCCACCCAGCAGCACTTCCCCCATGATCTGGGGCCACAGAGAGCCCCCCACACCCAGGATGCAAGGGGGCTGCAAGGCAGAACCCTTCCATAGAATGGTTTGGGTTAGAAGGGACCTTGAAAGCTCTTCCAGTGCCTAAGAGCTCAGCTCAGTCTCCCCTCGGGCAGGTTCAAGCCATTCCCCTTGCCCTGTCCCTACATCCCTTGTCCCAAGCCCCTCTCCAGGTTCCCTGCAGCCCCTTTAGGCACTGGAGCTGCTCTAAGGTCTCCCCTTCAGGAGCCTTCTCTTCTCCAGCCCAGCTCTCTCAGCCTGGCCCCAGAGCAGAGCTGCTCCAGCCCTCGCAGCAGCCCCGTGGCCTTCTTTGGACCCGCTTGAGCAGGTCCACATCCCTCTTGTGCTGGGGCTCAGAGCTGAACGCGTGTCCCCATCCCACCCCAAGGTGCCAGGAAGGAGCAGCTTGTGCAAAGCCAGCTCAGCACCAGGGCTCACCCAGCCACCACCTTTGGGTGCTGCCCTTGTGCAGTCTCCCCCATGCAGGGTCTGGCTTCCCCCGACATCAGGGATCCAGCCCCGCTCTCCGGCCACCCATGGACTCGGGGTGCCCCAGCCCAGCACCGCATCCGGCTGCTTCCCAAAGGGGATATTTTGGTCCCATGGCACGGATCCCCCCCCGCGTCCCCTGCCCCGGCCAGCACGGAGGCACCAGCTGGTCCTGCGGTGCTGCCGGTGGGAAGCACCGGGCGCTGGTGCCGGCGCTGCCTCGGCTCTTGGCACTGCCGCAGGCGCAGGCACACACCGGCCGTGGCCATCTGGTCGTGGGCCGGGGTCACTGGAGGTCTGTGTGGCACCGACACGCACCGGATGAGTCACCGGCACCGGGGACCCCTCCCCGCGGCACGGGCCGGAGGGGCAGGACATCCCCGCAGCCCTGCCGGCACCACGGGAAGGCAGGAAGCTGAAGCAGGAGGATGTCAGGCCATAAAGCTTCTCCCAGCCCCATAAAACCCTCACACAGAGCGACAGCCTCTCCATCAGCTCCAGCAGCGCTGCCAGCCAAATCCATTATCCCGGAGTGCAGGAGAAACCCTGATCCCAGCACTTTCAGCTCATCCGTCAGCGGAAGGAGCAGGAGCCAGCCCTGCTCCCGCTGCAGGGACAGCCCCAAGACCACAGTGGGGGGCGTCAGCTGGGAGCACCCCACTGCAACCATGGGAGGGCAGGGGGAGCATCCTGGTCCCATGGGGCCTTGGTGGTCCTGCCGGGTGTCAGCAGCCCCATCGCCATCTGCTCCATCCCCTACAGCTGCCCCCACAGAGCCTCCCCCAGGAGCCGGGGGGCAGGCAGGATGTTGCTGTCGTCAACAGCAGGGCTTCAGGAGCTCTGCCCGGCTTGCAGCGGGTGCCGACGGCTGCAGGAGCCAGCCCAGCTCCGGGCCCTCCCTGTGCTGGTGACAAAGTGATGCTTTAACCTCCACCTCGGGGGGGGAGCAGCTGAGTTTAGGCTTTGCTGCTCCCTGCTCGGAGGGGGAGGCTGCAGCTGCTCAGCTCCTGGCACAGGTTTAAACCCTGGCATCACTGCTCCCCCCCCAACTCACTCCTCACCAGCCCCTCAGGGACAGACCCCCCTTCACTGGCAGGGGGAACCAGGGAACAGAGCAGGGATGGGGGGCACAGCTTAGGGAGAACACAACGGGAGAAGGAACACAGAGCCTGGGATGCTGTGGGGCATCACTGCTGGTCCCAGGGCACCCACTCATGAACGGGTCCAGCCAGCAGTGACCTCACCCTCTCCCAGCAATCAGCCTCACTCACTGGGCTCACCAGCTGTGATCCCGCTGCCTGCAGACCCCACAGCCACAACATCCCCGGCCCTGCACTGCTCAACAAGTGACCTGCAGCCTCGAGCGAGGGCCCCGCTCTCCCCCATCAGCTCCACAGATCTCATGAACCCGAGGCTTCACCTCCCATCCACACACCGGAATGAGCCACTGGTTCCTGTTTGTGATGCATTCGATCACCCCGTGGGGGTTCAGCCCAGAGAAACATCCCCGCGCTGGCAGCGCAGGCGGGCGCTCCCCAGCCCTACACATGGTGGGAAACAGAATCAATCACGGGGGGGGCCTCATTTCACTTTCAAAGAGCTGGTGATGAGGCAGGAGCTGAGCGTGGGGCTCGCAGCGCTGATTGCTCCCTGCTCCGTGGGGCACAGAGCGGCCCAGTGAAACCCCTGCAGTGGGAAGGCGCTGGGTGCTGATGGGTGCTGGCTTTGCCAGAGCCCCGCCATGGATGGGGTTGTCACCAATGTCCCCACTTGCCACCAGCTCCCAGCTACTGACCCCAGTTTAAAAGCGCTTGAACAAACAGAAGTGTAAGGAGAAAAGGCCAGCTCTGGTTATCACCAAATGCACTACTCATCACCCTCAGACGGAGCAGGATGTGGGACCCCTGGGTTCACAGAGAATGGTTTTCCTAGAAGGCAATGTGGGGTATCAGCCCTCAATCTTTGCTTCCCTGTTGCAGCCATTTTAATCCCCACACATCCCACCGAGTCAGGTCATCAGGGAGAGCTGCATGGGCCAAGGAGAGCCCAAGGTGCCACCGTCCCTGCACCCCAATGTGCCTGGGGCACCCGGGTGCTCAGGGACAGGCTCAGCCCAGCCCTGTAAAGCGGAGGCCCCAGGGAGTGACTGCCCCAGCAGCAGAGCAGAGGGGCTGGGGGGGACCTGTGTGTCCCAGATCTGACCCCTTCATGAGCCCAGGGAGTGTCTGTGCCCCAAGGGGGGGGGCACCAGACCAAGGGGTGGCACAGGATTCCCAAGGCAGCAGAGGATGGGGGAACTGATGGAGGTCCCTGGGGAGGACCTGCAGGTGCAGACAGCACCCCCAGTCTGCTCCTGGGACCCCCAGGCAGCCAAACCAGGCTTGACCCTGGGCTACAGTGGAGACAGGGCCACAGCGGGCACCGGCAGGGCTGTCCCCCTGCAAGGGGACGCACAGAGCCCCACCACCAGCCAGGCCATGGGGGTGGCAGGGACCCCAGCACATGGGGGGGTTCGGTGGGGGTGAGCACTGCTGAGGCAGGGAGAAGGCAGGGAAAGGGGGAAGGGGGGGGTGTTTGGCCAGGGCAGAGCCTTCCCTTCACATGCAGCCTTCAGCCAACGCTTCCTTAACTGCCACATCCACCTGCACCGGATCCAGCCTCGCTAATGGGTTTAGCAAACCGCATTTCACTGCTCACCCGAGCTAATCCCAAATCCCGGGCTTAGAAAGAGCCTCAGCTGCAGCTTGAGACCAACATGTCCTGGAGGGTCAGTGCTGAGTTACCGCTTTAATTGGCTTAAGAGGCTCCGTGGTGCAGCAGATCAGGAGAGCGTGGCTGACACTACCGGGAGCAAAGACCCAACCACAGCCCAGCCCCAGCATCGGGGTCGTTGCCTGCAGGGTGCTGGGGACAAGGCCGCTGCAGGCAGGCTCCTGTCCCCTCCCTCACCAGCTCCTCCTGCACACCATGGCAGGGTTTGCACCCCTCCTGCTCCCCCGCATACCCCGAGGGCTGTCATGTGGATGGGCAGCAGCTGTTGGTGAGGGAAGGGGCAGGACCCCCCCTCCAGCACGGTGCTTACTGCACTGTGAAGCAAAGTTGGACATCCCGGAGCATCCCGGGAAAAGCAGTGGATGAAGCAATGCATGCAGGCAACAATGGGAAGTGGAGGAGCCTCGGTACTACAGAAGCCCAGGAGGGGAAGCAGCGTGGAAACCCGAGCTGAGCCCTGCCTGCTCCATGCATTGTTCCCGGAATTTGCCATTGTCTCCACTCCCCTCCCAGCACCAACCCTGGGAAGCAGCTCAATGCCAGAGCCATGGCTCTTCCTCAGCACCCAAGGATGGAGCTCAGCAGGGACAGGGGGAGCAGGGCTCCATGGCACAAGGGAGGAAGGTGCCAGCAAACCCCCTGCTCGGTTTGGAGGGGCTGCAGGGACGCAGGGACAGGGCCTCCTGGTGCCTGCTCCACTCTGCCCAGAGCTGCCTTCCCCAGGCCCTGCACAACCAGCACCTCCCCACCTGCACCCACAGCTCCTGCTGGGGCTGTCCTGGGGCTCTCCCCAGCACCCATCCTGCCGTGCATGCAGAGGGGTCGATCCCTGAGCACACCCCAGACTGCATGGGCTGCACCTCGCCATCCGCACCGGCTCCCTCCCAACCCCTGCCAACCCCTACCCAGCCCTCCCTGCTGCACCCCACCGCTCCCTCCAGCCCAGCCCGGCTCCACGATCCCAGACCTGCCCCAGCTGCAGGAGGTGCATGAGGCCCTGCAGCACCCCCGTGCCCCCCCGTACCTCCAGACCTGCCCCAGCTGCAGGAGGTGCATGAGGCCCTGCAGCACCCCCGTGCCCCCCCGTCACCCCCGTACCTCCAGACCTGCCCCAGCTGCAGGAGGTGCATGAGGCCCTGCAGCACCCCCGTGCCCCCCGTGCCCCCCCGTACCTCCAGACCTGCCCCAGCTGCAGGAGGTGGATGAGGCCCTGCAGCACCCAGACGCAGAGGCGGCAGCAGCCGCGGGGGCCGCGGGCGCTGTCCTTGGTGCTGCCAGCGCTGTCCTTGGTGCTGCCGGCGGCGAAGTCGTACACGAACCACCTGAAGCTGAGGAGCTGCACCACGAGCGAGGGCAGCAGCACGAAGAGCAGCGTCAGCCCGAACCACCACCGCTGACCCCGCACGTAGTAATGGGCCGCCAGCCACAGGTCCGAGGCACCGTCCGCGAAGCAGACGAGGAGGGCGCAGAGCACCCAGCACCCGTCCCGCAGCCGGTACCGCCGCGCCGGGGGGGCCGCGCTCCCCTCCCGCCGCCCGCCGCCGCCGCCCCCCGGGCTCTCCAGCAGCACGGCCGGGCCGCCGCCGCCGTCCGACTTCGCGGCCATGTTGTCGGGGGAGAGGAGGAGAAAGGAGGGAGCGGGAGAGACTTCCGGAGGGAGGACGGAGCCGACGAGCCCGCCCCGGCAGCGCCCGCCCCGCCGGCCTCGCCCCGCGGCCCCGCCGACACCGGCCCCGGCAGCCCCCGCCCCGCCGCCGCCGCCAGGTCCCGGGGGAGCGCTCGGGGCCGGTGGGCGCCGCCCCGCCGGGAAGGGCAACCGGTAGCGATGCCCCGGGGCTCCCCGCCCGGTGCCGCCAGGACCCCCCCCGGGGCAGCGGCCGCGCTGCCCCCACCCCGCTCATCAAGGACCGGGGCTCCTCGGGCAGCCCAGGTGGGACCCCCCCCATGGCCAACGGGAGGCTCCGGTCCTCGGGGCAGGGGCAGCGCCGCCGGGCACCAAGCTCCTGCCCGAGGGACCCCCGCAGGGAGCTGCTGCGCTGGACCCGAGCCCCGCTCTGCAGGAGCACCCCAGCCTTGGGGAGGCCCCCAGAGGCGCTGCACCAGCGGTTGAGTGCCAAGGTCACCCAAGGGACCTGGGGTTTGGGTGCCCATGAGCCCAAACGCTGCCCTGCTCCTTGGCTTTGCCCCTTCACCTCTCCTCCTTTGTTGCCCATCGCAACTGGGATGCCCAGTGGGCAGCACGAGGGGCTGGTACCCCTGTGGGACACGTGAAGCAGCTCTGGGCTGGCATTCCAGCACTGCTTCAAGGGGAAGAGCTGTTGGCTCCTTTGCAGCAAATCATCTCCACGGACAGGCTCTGCCTTGCTGCATGTTAGCCCCCAAAGCTCTGTGTGCCTGTGGAGGAGCCTCATGTGTGGCCAGAGCCTGGCCCACGGTGAGCACACGGCAGCACGCAGTGAGGGGAGCATCTTATATCCCAGGAAACAGCCAACTTCCAAACCTGGGCTAAGCCTGGATCCTGGTGCACAAAGCTGAGGAGCACAGGGGGAAGGTGTCAGTCGGCACAAGGGAGCAGTCGGGCCCTGGTGAGGCTCTCTCTGTGCTGCATGTATTAGCATGGGTAATGCGACTTAAATACCTAACCTTGAGCTGCTCCTGACAGATCCCCTCGAGAGATGCCTGTCTGGGGGAGGGGATGCTCCCAGCATCCCAGAGCCTGAGGAACAGAGCCTTTCAGGAGCCTGGGCCCCTCTGGAGGACGGGCACTGCTGGCCAGAGCTCCCCAGTGACAGGTCAATCCCAGTCTTTGTCCTGGTTGGGCAATAGAGCAGAACTGGTGCCTCTGCAATAGTGAGCACAGCACCAGGGAGAGGGGACCTGGAAACCAGGGAGAGGTGGACCCACCTTCCTTCAGTGATCCTGAAATGTCCCCTCTGAAACAGCGTTAAAGATCCACAGCCTGGCAACACAGGGACAGTGGTTTGAAGTCTGATCCATGAACAACAGGGCCCAGCAGCCACATGGTAAAATGAGAGAGAAAAAAACCCCATAAACAGCCCCGAAGCTTCCTGTGCAGCTGCCAGCAGGCAGGGATGGCTTCTAGCTGCATACATAAAAGCACTGCAAGGAAGAAAAGGGAACAGGCTGAAACCAAACCTGCTCTTTGCACAGCAAAGTACAGAGCGAAGCAGAGCAGCCCCTCAGCAGCAGGCGGGTGCCTGGTCCCTGACTGCTGGTCCCCAGCAGGGCACATCAAGGTGCATCTGGCCCTCGCAGAGCTCTGGTCCCTGGGCTGAGTCCAGCTCCCAAGCAGAAGGCCTGTCCTGGCTCCAGGAGGAGAGATCTGGGATGGTTTGTGGCTGGCTCAGAGCTCAGCACCAGCTGCTGCTCCCACCCCAGGGAATGTTTCCCAGGTGCCTTGGGATCCCTCCTGCTGCAGCTCAATCTGCTGCTGCTTCCCCCATGTCCGTGCTGAGCTGGGACCCCCTTCCCAGGCTTCCCCTGTGCAATTGGAGGGGGCAGGTGCAGCCCGTCCCCATCACTGTCCACTTCTCATCCCTGTCCCCATCCCGTCCCCATCCCTGTCACCATTACAACCCAATCCTTGTCCCCATCCCATCCCCATCCCTGTCACCATTACAACCCAATCCTTGTCCCCATCCCACCCCCATCTCCATCCCCATCACTGTCACCATTCCATTCCAGTCCCTGTTCTAACCCCAACCCATCCCCATCTCCATTCTCATCTCATCCCAATTCCTGTCCCCTCCCACACTGACTTTGAAAGCCCTCCCTCCTCCCAGTCTCTGTGCATAACAAGAGCTGCTGGTGGATGTGGTGGCAGGAGGTCTCCAGCCCACCGAAGGGGACGGCCACCACCCAAACAGGACGCACATCCCAAGCATCACCTCCAGCTCTGGAGCCAAACCCCACCTGTGTCCATGTGCCTGCAGCAGGATGGGCAGTTTGGCTTTCCCTGCCCACAGAGCTCTATGCCACCGGTCTGTGTCCCCAGCTCCAGGTCCAGGTGGGTCCCAGCACTCAGCATGAGAATCATCAGGCTCTTCTCCTCCCATCCCACCAAAGCAACAAGGACCAGATGCTGCCTTTGCACCTGCAGAAAGCTGAAGGGAATCGCTCCATGCTGGATGCTGTGGTGCGAGGCTGCAAAAGAAAAGCAGATACAGGTCCTGCGTCCTGCACCCCATGTCCTGCATCCCACCCTGCTGGGATGCCATGGCAGCCAGCCCTGGGACACAGGATGGACCCAGGCTGCAGGTCTCCAGCCAGACACCCCCACTGAAAAGGGAGCATTTTCCAGTGTTGGTGCCAGCCCCGATCCCACTGCATCACATCAGGAAAAGCTCCAACCAAGAGCATGAACGACTCCATCCCGGGCTGGCCGCTCACTGCCACCGCTGCCCTGGGAGCAGACAAGGAGATCTCCCCAGTTAACTGCAGCAAACAACCTGATGGGATTAGGGAGGTAATCTTCCCGCCTGGTAATCTCCCTTATGAGATTATTTGCCCACACAAGTGCGGTGACCACCATCCAGATGCTGCCTCGCTCCCTCCTTCCCCATCCCCTGTGGTCCCTGTGTGGTGTCCGGCAGCACTGGGGTCACCACATGCCCTTGGGGAGCTCTTCACCCAGCTGAGTCCCATGGAGGGCAGGAGCCAACAGGCCCTGTTGTGTCCCCACCACCTCTCGTCCTCCTCTCCCCCAGCTCACGTTTGGTGTCATTGTCCCTCCTACAAAACCCCCTCTCCAAGACCATCCACCATCAATGTGGAACAAACAGCATCACCATCACCATCAGCCCGTGATGCTGACTGAGCGGCAGCACCAGAGACAAGGCTGCTTTTGGAAACCCAAGAGATGGTTCCGAGCACCAGCACCCTCCTGCTGAGCAGTATGCCTGGAGCAGAGGGGAGCCGGTGGGGCTGGTGCTGTGCAGCGCCCTCCACCCTGGCCTCAGGGCTCTGGGGGCCCAGCGAGGCAAAACAGTTCTCCAGGGCTGTCTCACAACAGCATTCCCGGGTGGAGCTGCTTTGGACATGGGGTATTAAACACGCCCCCTGGGCCCTCCCCTCCTGCCAGTCCCTGCTATGGGCGCTGGGGCTGTTGAACCCCCCCATTTCTCCATCTCCTGCTGCTCACGGGCTGGGAGGAAGGGAACAGAGGCCGTTCCGAGCGCGGTGCTTCCCCTTGCCGCAGGCAGGGTCTGTCAGGGCAGAGCCTGATGCAGCCGGGGCCGCAGCCCTGTCCCTCCCTAGGGACGCAGCCCTCGTCGCCGAGCCCCGGAGCAGCCGCTCAGCTGCACCGAAGGCAATCTGAGCTCATCGCCCCGTGCTTTTAGCGCTGTTTATTGCCTCCTGGGGAGAAGAAGGGGACACAAAGGCCACTCCGGGCTCTAAGAGCCCAGCTGCCCGGCACCGGTGCCATGCTGGGAAGAGGCGAGGAAGAGCCAGAAGTGCAGCGCTGGTGGGGAGCGGGGATGGGTTCTGACATGGTATAAATCATGGAATGGTTTAGGTCAGGAGGGACCTTAAAGCTCCTCCAGCTCCAACCCCTGCCACAGCAGGAACCCCTTCCACTGGAGCAGCTTGCTCCAAGCTCCTGTGTCCAACCTGGCCTTGAGCACTGCCAGGGATGGGGCAGCCACAGCTTCTCTGGGCACCCTGTGCCAGCGCCTCAGCACCCTCACAGGGAAGAGCTTCTGCCTAAGAGCTCAGCTCAGTCTCCCCTCGGGCAGGTTCAAGCCATTCCCCTTGCCCAAAGCCCCTCTCCAGGGGTACAAGTGGGATGGGGGGAGGAGGGCTCTGGGCTGGAGGCTGAGCCCTCGGCAGCGCCCCCAGCACAGGAGTGGGCTCTTTCCCACCTGCCTGGGGGTGCCGGGGGCTGACCCCTGCCTTTGTGCCCACACGAGTGAGCCAGGAGAGCCGGGGGCCGTGTCCCGGCGTCCCCGCTGTCCCGCGGGGTTCCAGCCACCGCTCGGGGCCGCGGAGCGCTCCGGGGGTGACCGCCAGGGGGCGTGCTGCGACGCGGACCCTTCCGCCGCGGAACCCGGCTCTGCGGCTGCTGCTGCGGGGCGGAACCGGGCGGCAACGGACACGGCCCGGACCCGGAGCTGGCCCCGCTGCCGGCCATGGCGCGGGACCCGGCCTTTGTCCTGCGGTACCTGGCCGAGGTGGAGGAGCTGGCCGAGGACGTGCTGGCGGCGCGGCAGCAGGTACGGCCCGGCCCCGGTGGGGGGGGCTCCCCCGCCGCCGGTGTCCGCAGCTGCATCCCTCCCGTTACAGATCGTGGATCTGGACGTGAAGCGAAACCGGAACCGCGAGGCCCTGCGGGCGCTGCAGAAGAGCCAGGAGCCTGATGGTGAGGGAGGCCGCGCTCCCCGGTGCCGCCCGGAGCCCCGGCCTGGGCACGGCCGCGCTCACCAAGGCCTTTCCGGTCCGTGTCCCGCAGGCATGGCCATGGTGTGCTTCGGGAGCATGTTCATCGAGCTGCCCGCGGCGCAGACCCGGGACATGCTGCGGAAGGGTACGGGCACGGTAACGGTCAGCGGGGGCTCAGCCCCACTCTGTGCTCCTGAGGGCTCCCCCCAGCACACAGGGGGTGTGAGGGTGCTGAGGCGCTGGCACAGGGTGCCCAGAGAAGCTGTGGCTGCCCCATCCCTGGCAGTGCTCAAGGCCAGGTTGGACACAGGGGCTTGGAGCAAGCTGCTCCAGTGCCAGGGGTTGGGTTTGGAACAGGATGAGCTTTAAGGTCTCTTCAACCCAAACCACGCTGTGCTTGTCTCAGACCAGGAGCATCTGGATGAGGAGATAAACAACCTCCGCAAAGAGCTGCGTGTGAAGGTGAACCGCCTCTATGAAGCCCAAGGTAACACTGGTGTTCTGGAGCCTTCTCAGCATCAGATGCCACATGCCCGGAGGGTCCAGAATCTGAGCTCTCTGTGCTCCTGCAGCCCCTTCCCCACTGGCTGTGCAGTTCCCTCCCTGCTCCAGCAGCACTGGTGCAGAGCCATCGACCGGGATGATCCCACATCAGCTCCCAGGGCTGCCCCTGCCCTCCTTGCAGCCCCTCAGGGGTTGTGTTGCAGAGTCCTCATTTTGCCGTGTGTTCTCCTCAGGTAAACCTGAGCTGAAGGGATTTAACCTGAACCCCATGAGTGCCGAGGAAATGAAGCTGATCAATCGCATCCTGGAGGGCTGAAGCGGCCTTGCCATTGTCACTGTGTGTACTCGGGCTGTCACCTCTGCAGCTCGCACCACAGCATCCTATGGGGTTTGCTGGAGCAGATCCATGTGCCTCAGGTGAGGTCCCTGTAGCCAGACTTGGGGACTGGTTGGCTTCTCACCTACGAGGCTGCAGCTTCCTTGGCTCACAAACCTTTTCCTGCTCCTTCCCACTGCCAGGCATGGGCTGGGACACAGCACTGGGCAGTTGCCCATGGCTGGGGTGGAAGTGGGATTATTAAAGTCAGAGCAGTGGGACCTTGCTGACTGCGTGTGTGTGCTTCTTGTTGGGTTTTTATGCGAGTGCTTCTGGAGCTGGGCTTCGGAGCTGGCTCATTGTCATGTTGGGAACAGGAGTAGGAGGCATCGGGAATCCACAGCACGCCTGCAGCACGGAGGAGGAGTTGTGTGTGCCCGTGGTACTAAAACAAAGCCAAGCTGTACATGTGAAACGCGTCAGGAATCTCTGAGGATGGGGTGGGAGGAGGCAGCATCCTTTTAGTCTCACTGGGAAAATGTGCTCTGCTGTTCAGTTGGAAGGCAGAAGACCAAAGAAATGAGGGATAAAACATGTGTATTTAAACAAGCAGCTTGAGGAAGGCTGAGCAGGACCAGTCCTGAGCCAGCCTTGTAGTAAAGGGACAATTGATTCAACCAGTAAGAGTTCCTTCAAAGGCTTTACAGTTTGTCTTTAGAGCACCCCCTTTAGCCTGGGCTTGAACCTCAGCACAACTTGGGCCAGGCCATAACAAGCTTTAGAAAACATCAGTAACAGAGGGTTTGAGTTTTGCTGTGTACAGGAAAGTGCCTGGGCAAGGGCAAGCCCTGAGGGGTTTGAGCTGCTGCAAAGGTTTCTGGATAGAATGTAAAGGCTTCAAACAGCCATTGTCCTGCTCTCTGCAGCTCTCAAGGGAGCTCACCCCTTCTGCCCAACCTCAGTGGTGCAGCACGGAGCTGGGCCTGACCCTGTGCTCGTTTCCCTTCTGCACGTGTCCAGGGCTTTAAACCCAGCACCAGCATCTTCCCTGGCTCCTTGAGCACCTTGGAGCTCAGAGGCACCTTCACCAGGCAGCCTCGTCCATTCCACACATGCTCCAGTTTACACTGAGTCCCAAACCCCACCCTGGTTCCAGCTCCTTAAATCTGAGGTGGGATTTCTTCAATCCCCAGCTCCCATTGCTTGATCTGCTTTAGAACCCTGTAGCTGACCCCACGCACCCCAACTGCACACCTGCACAAACTGAGGCTGCCCACTTCAGCTGTAAGTGTCACAGTACAGATTAACAATCACATGGACTCATCACCTGAGGCTTTGAGAGAGCCACCTCCCTGCATGCACAGTGCCAGGTCCCTGTGCTGGAGCCGCTCACACAGCCCATATAGAGCAGCCACTCAGCATCTCCACAGTGGCTGACACCAGGTTATTTTTACAGTATCATGGCAACAGGTTCTCTGCTCTGACATGTTTCCATAGTAGTAGCAGTGGGAGGATCAGGTGCCTGCCTTCCCTAAACGCTTTGCTTTGCCATGCAGGATGTGGTTAGCCCCTTTATTTTCTTACCTGGTACAGAACTGAGCTCTGCAAGTGGGGCTGGACAGTTGGGAAGCCAGCAAGGCTTGGGTCCTGGGTCAGCTGTTACCAAATACCTCACCCAAAGCCCTTTGCAGCTTCAGAAGGAAGAAGGCCAGAGCCTAGGGCTGAGCTGTCGGCATCCAGAGAGAAGTGGGAACTGCTGCTGCCCGATGTGAGGAAGAGAGAGTGAACTTCATCCATGGTGAGCTCAGGGTCAGTGTTACACTTGCTGCTGTGCAGTTGTTCATGGGAGCAGCCTGCAGTGAAAACATTAACAGGAGTTACCCACCACCTTCCTCTTTCTTCCTGCAGAGGCAAGGGAACTGCTTTCAGGTGAAGCTGCACTTGTGTTTTCTTAGTTAGAAACTACACCTAGAGACAGCTGTAGGCACACTGAGCTGTGTGCTGCAAATTAGAGTTACAATACACATCAGCCCTCCCAAGAGTGAACTACACAACAAGCCCAGTAAAAGGCACCAGTGACTGCAGAGGGTTTTTCACTGGGGTACGAAGGACGCTGCTGTGACTTGAAAAGCAGCACAAGGAACCAAACTTCCTGCTACATTTACATGTTTCCAACAGTGCTGCTGCAGTTTGGTTGCTCACACCCACTTTTGGAGAGCATTTGCTCCTTTGGGTCTCTTAATCCCATAAGAGCTCATAGCCCCCTCTTGTTCTTCTCTTGCTGATGTGCAGGATGTGAGCAGGGCATCCTGCCAGCACAGGATGGACACAAAACTAAATGTGTACCTGTGGTGATGTTCTGGTTCACCAGAGTACCCAGGCCTCCCCCTCCACTGTTGTCCTGTATCAGGTCAAAGCCTCCAATGTGCTTTTCCTTACCCATTAGCCTGCAACATCAAGCACAGGTACTGAAGCACCTGAGCAATGACAAGTACCTGTGCACACAGGAGTGAACTCCCAGCAATCAGAGACAAAGCTGAACAGCTGAAAGCAGCAGACATCTCCCTGCTATTAATATCCGGGGTTAGCACATTGTGAAGTCAATCACAAGATGCTGCAAGACAAGCTGCTTGGAACAGAGTGCTCCAGAAGCAGCAAGTGTGGGAGGCACAATGCAGGAGGGCCTCTGAAAGAGAGCTCTGACACAGACTCCCCTCCCTTTGCAGCTCCACACTGCTTCATTGCCCCACTCTGCAATGGCTGCATCCTTGCTTTGCTCTGCTGCTGGAAATCCATCACTGAATCACTATAGAGTATTATGATCAGTTGCCAAGACAGAGTTGGAACCAGGCCATCCATTCCAAACGTCTCAATAAAACCCCTAAGAAGGTAATAAACGTCTCTGCCTTCCTGCTCTCCCTGTCCACACTATGGAGAGTGTCTTTGAGATGTTCCCGTGTTCAGAGTCTTCCTGGCTGCTGGTAGTGAGGGAAGGGGAGGCTTTTACCTCCAGAAATAAGCTGAGGAGATAACAGCAGTAAATTAGGGAGAACCAGTCAATAGTTCATGTAAGAGAAACGCCTGTGCACAGAACTGTCACCCTGCTAGCAGGCAGGAGTAAGTGTGAAGCAATAGGAAATCCAACCCTAAATCTCTTTCCCATGCACCGAGCCAAAGAACATTCTGAGCTTATTGCAAAGTTTCTATTCCTGTTCTTGATGGTACTAGAGAAAAAAAAGTCCCTGTAGCTTCCAGACAGACAGACAAGTGAAACCCCAAGTCTAGCTGCAGCAGTAAATGAGTACTCACAGAAGGAGCACTAGCCCTTTTTTTAGCACTAGAATGTGGATGTCTCCTGGGAACAGCTTCCCAGCACAACACAGCGTTCCAATGCCCTCCTGCAGGAGCCCAGCAGCACTACCCAGCACTGTGCCCACATCCAGGACCTGCATTCTGCCTCCTGAGGCATGGAAGCTCCTCTGGCTCTTTATGTGCAGGCTGCTTGAGGGGTGATCTGCTCTGGGGCTATGAACAGAGCAGACTGGGCACATTAGAGCTATAGGCCCACAGCTGAGCTGCACTTGTTTGCTCATTTGGAATCAAGCTGTCCCCAGGGGCACCACATTAAATACTGGGCTGAAGCTGCCAGGACACGGGGTTGTAACGGGTACCTGCTGCCACGTCCTGTTAGAAGGGGGGGTTAAAAAGAGACAAATCAGTGAAGACATCTCTCAGGAGAGCACTGTCACCATCAATCGCATCCAAGGGAAGTCTCCCCACCTGCAGAACTGCTCTGCACTCACACAGTTAAGGCTGAAAGAATAATCCTCCGATTTGCTTGTCATTTCTGGAATACCATTTCCCCCTTCTGCTGCTCTCAGCTCCTGTGATGACAAGGCAGTCGTGCTCTCGGGATGCTGCTGCTGCAACACTCGGGCTGTGTGTGTGTAGCGGGTGAGTCGGAGAGTTTCAGCTGAACTTTTTAATGGTACATATTCTCCCTTCAGCCCCAAGGCACCTAAATGCTGTTGGCGTTGTAAAAAAGCCATTCCCAACAGATGACCACACGTTCAGTCCTGAGGATTATTTCCCACTCCCCACCCTGCGGTTCCACAGCCCAGCAAGAAGCCTTAGAGCAGAAGGTAGAAGCCACCAACCCCCAGTGCACTTAAACCCTTCAGGCTTCACTACTGAACAGCTACAGGGAAAAAAGGGTCCCCAGGTCCCCATCAGACTTTCCCCCAGCAGCAATCAACATCTCTTCCATCCCATCAGGGTACTGCAAAGGCCCTGCTTTCCCCACAGACAAGAGATTTATGGCACTGAGCAGCCCATAAAACTGGGAGCTCACCACCACCCTCCATTAGCATTGACCCCATCTCAGCCTCACGAGGAATCTGACATCCCATTTAATTGTTTTTCTGCCTCCCTCTCTTCCCCTCAGCTGCCACCTCCTGAGGCTCAGCAGTGACAGTTGTGTGCAGCAGGGTCAGCCCTGCTGCACTGCTGAGCACTCGGGAGTGAAGGGCTGAGCTGAGATGCATTTTGGAAGAGCACTAACCAGAAAGTTAGGTTTAAAGTAAAACAGACCAACCTTAGAGAGGCCCAGAGAGCTGCAAGGCAAACATTAAGGCTCTCCCCTAAAGCTGCTATCAATGAGATCACATTTATAGCCATCAGGAGGCAAGGCAGCAGTTAAGTGGCTGCCAGGAGGAGTCTGTGTTCACAGCAGAGCCCCAGCAGGCAGTGTGTATCCCCGCTCCCCAGGAGCACAACTGGGTGCAGGTTTCTGCTCTGCCACATTCCATCCCTGGCAGTGCTCAAGGCCAGGTTGGACACAGGGGCTTGGAGCAAGCTGCTCCAGGGGAAGGGGTTGGAGCTGGAGGAGCTTTCATGTCCCTTCCACCCAAACCAGGCTGGGAGTCTATGATCTGAGAGATGGAATCTGAATGAAGTAAAGATAAGGATCAAAGGCAGGCACTGAACAAGCAAGAACCTAATTCTCACTCTAAATAGTCCTCCTGCCCCAGTGCCAGTTAATTATCTTCCCTAATCACAGGCTTCAGGCACCTGAGCTTAAATCAAGCACCACATGATGGAAATCACTAAAAACTGCAGGGAATAATAAAAATCAGAGGCAGTCAAGGGTGGGGTGTGTAGAAAATGAAGGAGTGATGCTGGGAGCTAGTACAGTACCCCATGGCTGGCAGGAAGCTCTTCATGTCACTGTGCCTCCAAACCTCAGCACCCCTTCACCCAAGGCAGCCTCCTGTACCCTACTCCCAATGGCTTTTAATCACTCAGAGCAAGCATGAACTCTGCTGAGCTTCCACAGGCAGAAGTGATGGATTTTCCTGTCTCCTAAGCCACCAGTTGGAGGTGGGGTTCCTTTGGGGAGGATGTGTTAATCAAATGAAAGCTATCAAACTCCGGACAGCAGCAAGGGGGACGTGTAGGAAATCAAATCACTGTCTTCCATGAATCACTCTGTTCTCACGCTCTGTGAGGCTGAGGAAGAAGAAAGGCTGCCAACATTCAACCACTAGCAATAAAAGGAGTGATATTTCAGCTTTGGTCCTAACTGATCTGTCAAAATGACATTCCCAGCACTCCTGTGACACCAGTTTTCCAAGGAAAAAAAGACTGGAGAGAACAAAAGGTGATCATGACAGCACAGCCAAATCCTGAAGGTGTGTGTGGAGCTGGGAGTGACAAGGTCCTTTTCTTACCCTTCTTCATGGCACGCACAGACAGGTGGGATACAGCCATCATCTCTGCTCTTCAGAGTAAAGCCTGTGTGAGCAGAGTGACTGAATGAATCACCAGGCCTTCAGTGGGATGTACTGGGGGAAGAGGAAAGGAGCAGCTGAGTGTGAAGGCAAGGAAATCCATTTCTGGCACAGTAGCAGTGGTTTGCACTTGGAGACATCACTAGAACATAGACTCTCAAGTCAAGATTCCAACCTATGAAGCAGCGAAGTGTCTAACATACCCCAGCTGCTGATACTGCTGCCTGGTGTTAGATCAGAGGTTTAGATGTGAATATGTACAGAGTGTAAGAAATCAGAATAAAGTGTTTGGGGAAATCCACTGTTAACACACTTTAGTGTTTCCCTGGGGAACTGCACAAGACAGGCACAGAACAGAGCAGGAGGAAAGGAGGAAATCAGAGCAAAATGCTTGTTGGCTATTCCCCAAAGAGAAGAGGAGTCCTTCTCACCTTCAGTCAATGACATCCTTCAGGTTTAAACAGGAACACTCCTTCCCCCTTGTGACCTGCCAACCTACAGATGGAAGAGCAGAGTGACAAGCTTTACCATCAGCATTTCCCCAGGGCTCCCCACACTCTCCATGCACAGCCCAGTTCATCACCTTGGGTTTGTACACAGGAACATTTATTGAACGTTATGGGGGCAGGGGGATCCCCGGTGCAAGGAGCTCGGCTCTGGAAGTGTTAGGAGGATTCCTGGAGGCAGCCTGTGGGGAAGCACCAAACAAACTCTGTCACATGCTTGCCGAGATATAAGCAACACAACATATGTTGTTGGAACTTTGGGAAGTCACATTTTGAATGTGTGTACGTTACAGAGCTTAATTAACCAGGGGAGTCATGAAAGGGGCCAGGGAACTACAGTCAGGGAGCAGGAAACCCCTCTGTTAGCCAGCTTTGGCTCCCCAAGGCTCCCTCCCCAGGATGGAGCCCAAACTCCTCCAGCCCCAGGATGTGGCTCTGCATGCCCTGAGCTGCTCCTCATCCACGTGTGGGAGCAGCCACCAGACACATCCCAACAGCACAGGCCCCCAGGAGCAGTAACACAGGGTTTATTTTTACTCATCTGTGAGTTCTGAGGTCAGCCACAAACGAGCTCCTTTAAGCTGGGAGAGCTTCAGTCATCACAGGCTTCTCACATAGCCCTGTTTACTGTGTTCTGGTTATTTACCACGGTAATTGAGGTTGTGGGCATAAAATGAGCTTAATGTAAGGTTTTCCACTGCCAATTAACACATTCCTATTTGCGGAGTTAGATAATCACTGGCTGCTGTCCTCCGGGCTGTAATTCACATCTTACTTTGCATAATTACCTCCCATCCACTGCTCACAAGCATGCCCTTACCCACAAGCCTGGCTCCGAGGTGAAGCCTTCTTCACCCCACCTATGAAGTGACCCCTCTCTCGCAGGTCTCATAGATGGGCTACGTTCAATCTGCACCACTGCATGATGCTCATGGTGTTAAATGGCTTCAGCCAGCTGGGAGAAGCAAGGAGCTTCTCAGCACCAGGTATTGCTGTAATTCCTAAAGGAATCATGATATTGCCTCGGGCCCCAGGACACCACCTGATGTGGAAACTGCTGCATTCAGCACCGCTCCAGGTTTGAGGGGATGAATGGGATTTGGAGCATGAGGCTACCCCTCAGGTCTCCACCTGCAGAGCAGAGAGAAGCCAAAGCCAACTAAAAGCCACCCCAAAGCGCACTTCAGGCTGCTCATGAGTCTCCCAGCACCTCTTCCTATCACCAGGATGAAGTCCGCTCAGTGACCAGCTGGACCTCATGAGTGGCATTGCCCTAAAGCCAAGCAGATGTTTTCACAGCTCCAGCTTTAGGGGCTGCCCTGGAATGCTGCTTAACAAGAAGCCAAGGAGGCAGCGGCCCTGCAAAACCCACCCACCTTCTGCACACCTGCAGCCAAAGCTAAGGGATTCAGAGCATGAGATGCCCATAACCCCACAGTGAGAGCCCTCAAGTGCTGCTCCTCCACACCTTCACCACCGAGTTCACCTGGGCTCTATAGATAAACTGGGCTGTGTTTCAGCTGATGGCATAAACCGCTGCACAAGAATCATAGAATCATAGAATCATAGAATCATAGAATCATAGAATCATAGAATCATAGAATCATAGAATCATAGAATCATAGAATCATAGAATCATAGAATCATAGAATCATAGAATGGTTTGGGTTGGAAAGGACCTTAAGATCATATAGCTCCAACCCTTTTTACCATGAGCAAGGACACTTTCCAGTAGTCCAAGTTGCTTATGGACCTGTCCAACCTGGCCTTGAACACTTCCAAGGATGGAGTATCCACAGAACTGCTTCCTTATATCCAACCTAAGGCATGTTTTGGTGGTACGTGTTGATGAGGAATCTCACCTCGCTCTGCCCAGCTCTTCCTGTGGGTTTCCTGCATACTTTCCCTCCCCAGAATGAAGGCCTCATTCATCCCCGCCTCGCTTTCCTTGGGAGAGCACATACTTACGGGCTTCGTCATCCAAGCGATGCCAGGGCTCTTGCAAAACCCTGCCACAAACTGGGCTCTCTGAAGGCATTTTGAAAGCCTTCAGAACAAAGGCACATCTTGTTGCCTCAGGCTTTCCTGCTTCTAACTGCTTCCGAAGAGCCTTCACTCAGCAGCTCCTCTGACTCAGCTGGGTGGAAAGAGAAATACCCAGTTCAACACAGCAGCCGCTCCCACAGGGCTGACTCACCGTAACTGCCCTTGAGGAGCTGCTGGGCATCCATTGCACCGCGTACTCTTGAGGAGAGCAGCAATAACTGCGGGTACCGGGGAGAACTGCTTGCTCTGTGCGCAGTAAAAGGCTCCTTATCTCTGCATGGCCATGGGGAGCGAGAACAGGTCAGGTCCTACAACCCATGCTGCTCCATAGGCTTCCATGCAGCCAGCACCCTCCTCTCCAGCGCAGGCAGCACTGATTGCTGCCCACGCTGACTCTGGAGCAGGTTCAGCCCCAGCTCAGCACCACAAACCGCCCTCAGCTCCATTCATGCCAAGGCTCAGAGCAGGAGCACGTCCCTGCTGTGGAAACCTGGAGGGGACAGGGCAGCAGGAGCCCTCCCTGCCCGCAGATACGAAGGAGCCTGCCCAGAACGTAGCCGTTCCAGACACCCCGCTCCAGTGCAGCATCCCCAGTGGGCTCCAACGTGAACCCCTCGGGCTGTGCAGGCAGCACCCAGCACATTGCTCGGAGCGGGATGCTCTGTGGTGCTGTGCTCGCCTCCCCTGCACTGGGGTTGAACGCACTGGCCTCTCGTACGTACAGGAACCGGGGCCGTGAGCACCGTGAGCCCGGCTCTCAGCCGCCGGTGCTACCGCTCTAGGGCCCGGTTTAAGGCTGCGCCTGCGCCCTCCAGACCGCAACCATCTCCATGGCAACCGCACCGCTGTGCAGCAGGGGGCGACCGTGGGACCGGGAACCTGGGGTTGCACCCCCCCCTCCCCGGTGGGACCCCCCCCACGCCGGGGCTCGGAGCCCGGGGCTCGTCCCGGGTCCTGCTCGGCCCCCCCCCGGTGCTGCCCCCTGAGCTCCAACCCCCCCGCAGCCGCTTCCCCGTGTGCCACGTCCCGCTCATCCCGCCCCGTGCCCCCGGTGCCTCCCCTCCTGTGCCCCCCCTGCACCCGCAGAGCGCAGGGGTAGGGCAGGGGGGCACGGACGGGCCCGGGCAAGGACGGGGGTCCCGAGCCCCCCGCTCTGCTCCGCTGTGGTCCCGCTGCCAGGCAGGGGCTGGGATCTGCATTCCTTCAGTCCCAGAGACTCCTGCAGGACTCCCCAAGCACCCCCGCAGTGGGACCCCGCAGCATCCGCATGCGGGTGGGCACCGCTGCCTGCCCTGGGGTGTGCAGGGCCGGGGGGTCGCACACGGTGGGCATGGAACAGGGGGGGCACGGAGGGCAGGGTGGGCATTGCGAGGGTAGGGTGGGCATGGCGAGGGCAGGGTGGGCATTGCTAAGGCAGGGTGGGCATGGTGAAGATAGGGTGGGCATGGCGAGGGCAGGGTGGGCATTGCGAGGGCAGGGTGGGCATGGCAAGGGCAGGGTGGGCATTGCTAAGGCAGGGTGGGCATGGCAAGGGCAGGGTGGGCATTGCTAAGGCAGGGTGGGCATGGCGCAGGAGGGGTGGCCAGGCTGCTTCCCCGCGCGGTCACACAGACCTTCCTTGATGGAGCGGGACAAAGGTTTTGTTCTTCTCCCAACACTGCAGCCTTGTGCGGCCGCGGCGGGCAGCGGAGGCAGGCAGCAGCAGCGCGGGCCCCGTGCTCCCACGCCACGGCGCAGAGGGGGAGCTTCTCCTCCTTTGTCTGCTCCCGGCCAGAGCCGCACCGGAGCATCCAGGGAAGGGCCTTGGCAGGAGCCGCCCAGGACAGCGGCCAAGGTCCCCTCTGCCCCGGCACAGCCGCCACCGGCTCGGCCTCGCCGCGGGAGCCGAGCTCTTCATGACGGAAACCCGACCGGAGAGCATCCGGAGCGGGGCCGGCAGCCGCGCCTGGGGCCGGGGAGGACGGCAGCATTGGGGACAAGGACACCCGCGCCCCGTTCCCCCCTCGGCGCCCGCTGCCGGCCATGGGAAACGGCATGAGCCAGGTAACGGGGAGCGCTGGGGCGGCCATGCCGGGGCGGCTCGTCCCGGGGGCGGCGGCGGGACACGCTCTGCGGGGCCAAGCGGCGTTTGAGCTGCCGGCAGCGGGTCCCAGGCGGGCTGTGTGCTGCCGGCAGAGCTAAACCGGAGGAGAAGCAGGCGGGGACGCTGCCGGCAGCGGGGGCTCGGTCCCACAGACCCCGGGGCTTGTGGAGGGCAGGGCTGAGAGCGAGCCCTTCCGAGGGAGGGGGGAATCCTTTAAAGCCAAGGCAGCGGCTCCCGAGCAGAGCGCCCTGTGTGACCCCAACCCCTGCAGTCTCGCACTCGCTGCTCAGCGGGGCCGGGCTGTGCGTGGGGCTCAGCACCACGGGGCGGAGGGGACGGGCGCCCTGTTACGGTTGTTTGAGATTTTCCCTGTCACAGCTGAACACAGAAATCTCCCTGCAAAGAGCTCCAGGTTCTAAGCTTTAAAGACCCCTCCTACCCCCCCTCCCCTCCAGCCATTCAGTATCTGGGGAAGTGCCCAGTGCTGCAGATTGTTCTGCCCCATTATCCTCCAGTAAGGAGCGGGTCAGAAGGGTGCTGGGGACAGGAATGTGTCCTTATGCATGGCTCGGTGTCCTGCCCTTGGGAGCTGCCCTTGCCGGCTGGCGCTCTCCCACCCACTCCTCTCAGTGCTGCAGCTGATAGAAAACTGAGCCAGAATACTATGAATCATAAAGAAAACCTTTTTTAAGCTGTTCGGGCAAGAGAAACGTTTTCAGACGTGGGCAGTGGGAGCCCAGCTGTGCTGGGGGGAATCAGCTCTGTTTGACCATGTCCTGGGCACCAAACACCACTGGAGGGAGAAGCTGGAGGGGAACCAGCTGGACACGGGGTGAACAGCCCGGGAGCCCCACTGCCCAGGCTGGGAGAGTATAAAATAGCTCAGGGGAAGGTGTCCTCCTCGTGCATCTGCAGTGCTATTAACGGAGGCATCGTCACGTAATTATCTTTTCATCACGAGGAGTGGAATTTCCCAAGGAAAATAAGATGAAGACACGATGTCCAGAGCGAGCTATTCCTGGGCTGCTAGGAACAGGCTCCCTGCAGCACAGAGCGAGGGGAGCAGAGCTTGGGGCCGCCACGGGGAACTGCTGCATCCCCCGCTGGCTTCCCCATGCCTGTTGCTCCCTGTCCCTTGAGCAGCAGGGCTTCCATGAGTCCAGGGCTGTACGAGGTGTACGCTGCTTGCTGAGCTCAGAGAAGTATGGATGACAAGGAAGAGCTGGCTTGCAGCACCCATGAGGGTGCCAGGGGTGCATCCAGCCCCGTGTGCTGGATCCCAGAGCCCCTGGAGCACACAGCATCAGGGGCACTGGCGCTGCTCCTGCCCTGTGCGTGGTCATGGTCCATTAATGGCAGGACTTTGGCCTTTCAGCCAAGGCCACTGCATGCCCCGGGGGTCCTGGCGCGGTGGGGACCATGGCACAAGGTCACTGCTCACCCTGCCCTTCCCCTTGTGTCCCACAGATCCTGCCCGGCCTCTACCTGGGGAACTTCATCGGTAAGCAGAGCCCTGCCGCCACAGAGGTGTCCTCCAGTGGGGAGCTGGGCTTGAGCTGGTCCCTCCCTGCCTGCGAACGCTGCCCATCGCCCTGCCAGCACCCACGTGTGCTCTGCGCTGTGCTGGGTTTGTGCTGGCAGCAGTGGAGGCATGGGGGGGGAACAGCAGGCGGAAACCCTCCACCTCCGCTTGGGTTGGGGGTGATGCACCCCAGTTTCACAGCTGTAGATGCAGGACGGGGCTGCCCACCCTCAGGAAGGAATTTCTCACACCAACCTCTATTTTAAGGAGCTTTCATTCTCCAGGGGCGATTCATGACCACGTCCTGGCATCTGCCACGACAAACCAGCATTTATTAGTGCTGCTGCCTCCCTAATGGCTCCTTTGGCCCCTGGATTCCTGCTGGAAGTGTGAGAAAGTTGAAAGCCGCTGGTGGGAATTGCCAAGACGATGTCATCGGAGCCAGAGCAACAGCCCCAGTCAGGGCACCCCGTGCTCCCCATGGAGCACACTGGGATGGGCTGGGGGAGCTGCGGCTTGCTGGGAGCAGAGGGGCTCAGGTTCATCGGGGGGGATCCTGCGAGTGGGCTCTCGGCCTGGTGCTGCCTGAGCATCGCTCTGCCAAGCAGTGCAGTGAGGACAGAGATTTCAGGCCTCCTACACGAAGCTCTGAGTGCTCGGAGACATTTTCTCCAGCCAAAAGCTGTTCCAGCCGCTCTAAGCCTGTTTGCCAGTGGCACAATCGCCACCACTGCCTGCCCGAGGCGGTGGGAAGGTGATGGGCACCGTGCAAGGCCCCACAGCGGTCCCCAGCTCCATCCCCACATGCAGCCAGCCCGGCTCACCCACAGAACGCCCCTCTTGGGACTCGCTCCTATTCCAATTCACATCACGCTGCTGGCACATCACGGGCTGGGTTCCCGAGCCAAGGTTTTCACCACGTGAGCATTTACAAACCCAAAGCAATGAGATGGGGAACACTGCTCCTCCTCCAAGGCATGAAAGGGAGACAGCTCCAAAGCTGCCCAGCCAGCAAGAGGAGCATGTTCCCCTCCCAGTGCAACACCGCTATGAGGGCCAGTGACCAAGGCCACGGACTGGGATGTGGAGCGTTAGCAAGAAGCAGGTCATTGCCCCACACAGCTGAGGAGGCCCGGTTTCCATGCATGCAGCAGCACAGAGCACACAGATGCTGCAGGTCACTGCTCAGGTGGGCTCTGCAGACCCTCAGGTGCTCAGGCAGCGGGAGCTGAACTCGTGGTCGATGCAGATCCCTGCAGCTCCACTCCCATGGTTGGCAAAGCAACCCCTGAGGATGCAGCGAGCCCCATTGCCACGTGTGTGTCTGCACAGGGGAGATGCAGGCAGCGCATCTCCTCCCCACGCTGGGGCAAGCACAGGCAGGAGCTGCTGGCTGGCAGAGGAGGGAGTTTTCCATCCACAGCAGAGCAGCAGGGTCCAGTGCCCTCACAGGGAGGATCTGCGTTGGTATCACAGGGTTTGGGCTCTGGATTTCCAGGGTGCATCTGGGTGTTTGCCCATGTCCCACTGCTGCACGTGGCGGGTGTGATGCTGGAGCAAGGCTTTGTGTGCTGTCTGTCTGCAGAAGCACGGCAGATGTGCTTGTGGGAAGAGAAGGGTAAGAAACGAGCACATGCTAATATCCACTTCTATCCTTTAGATGCCAAAGACCTGGAGCAGCTAACCCGGAACAAGATCACGCACATCGTTTCCATCCATGAATCCCCCCAGCCCTTGCTGCAGGTAGGGTCCTGCACCCCAAGCCGCCCTGTAGATCCCCACAGCTCCTTCCATGCCGCAGCATCTTCCTTCCCCCCGAGCACCCCACAGCACGTGCACCTCTCCCCGGTCAGTGCTCCCAGAGGAGCTGGGCAGCCAGCCCGCATGGGAGACTGGCCCTTGTGTGATTTAACCCGGCCTTGAATGCTAATGGGAAACGGTTGCCAGCCTCCACCTTCATCTTGTTTCCCACCCTCTCCCATGAGCTGCCTGTCCCCCACTGCCCTCCCCTCCAAGAGATGCTGTTGGGGGAACAAAGCTCCAAAGGTTGGCTGCAAGCATCCATGACACCCACATCCCTCCTCTCCCATTGTGTCTTCCAGGACATCACCTACCTCCGCATCCCCCTGCCGGACACCCCTGAGGCCAACATGTGAGTACCCTGGGGGTGCCAGGGCTGGCCTGGGGAGAGCTGGGAGCCGCAGGGCAGTCAGGGCTGAGGCGCTGCCTCCAGCCCCCCAAGCGCAGGCTGATGTCCCGGTGCTGGGGACCAGCTCAGGACCATGACAGCATCCCAGCTCAGTGGCTGCTGGGAGCAGGTCCTGGCCCAAGCAGGAGGTGCCTGGAGTGGGTGGAGGCTGTGGAGCCAGCCAAGGGTGCTGGCAGGGCTGGAGGTGTGAGTTCCAGGGCAGCCCCGCACATCCCCATCCCCAGTATGGCTTGAGCCAGCCCCTGCACCTTCCCTTTGGAAACAGCAGCAGGTCTGGGCAGCGGCCGGCAGTGCCTGTAAAGCAACAGGCAGTTTATGTCAGTGCTTCATCCCCAGACACGCAGGGCTGCTCGGCCTCCAGCCTAAACATCCCCTTCCACCCCTGAAGTCCTTATTCCATGTGCTTTGTTTCTCCTGCCAGCAAGAGGCACTTCAAGGAATGCATCACTTTCATCCACCAGTGTCGCCTGCACGGAGGGAACTGCCTCGTCCATTGGTAACGTTCCCATTTCCCATGGCTGATGTTGTGGCCCCCCAGCACAACAGAGCAAAGCCAGCCCATGCCAGAGGCCCCCGTGCCCATGGATCCACCCTGGGCTGTGGTTTGTGACTCCGAGCCAGCGGGATGGGGCAGCCCCTGGTGCCGCTGGGCAAGCAGCAGAGCAGGGTTTGGGGCAGGCAGCCAGGCTGCAGCCGCTGCTCTCACTGCCCCGGACCAGTGGGTGTTTATAGGCACTGATGGAGGGGACCGTGGGGGGGCTGAAATAGCTGGGGGCGAGGGAAGGGGCAGGCGTGGGGTGAGGCTGCGCTGCTGACAGCGGCCCTGTCCCTCGCCAGCCTCGCTGGCATCTCCCGCAGCACCACCGTGGTTGTCGCCTACGTGATGGCGGTGACGGAGCTGAGCTGCCAGGAGGTGCTGGAGGCCATCAGGACCATCCGGCCCGTGGCCAACCCCAACCCCGGCTTCAGGCAGCAGCTGGCTGAGTTCGGCGGCGGCGCAGCCCGCAAGGTGGGACCGGCCTCTGCCCATCAGCAGGGTCCCGGAGCAAGGAGGGGTCCCCACGGGACCAGGCTGCTTCCCCGCTCCCCTTGCGGGCAGGCTGGGACCTGCCCTTGGAAACAGGCGCTTTAGTTTGCTTCTTCCTCCTTCCCCAGGTCCGCAGGCACCTGAAGCAGAGGTATGGGGCATCCCCTTTCAACGATGAGGAAGAAATAAGAGCTTTGCTGCCAGCAGGGAGAGGGGGACCCTCCAGGACAGAGGGAGCACTGCAAGGACGGGTCCCAAGAGGCAGAGACATCAGGAGCACAACTCCCTTCCTGCTGCGGGTGAAGAGGACGTTCTCCTGCATCCCGGCTTGTCTGAAGTGACCCCAGCCCCGGGAGAGGAGCGAGAATCACCCAATAGCCTGGGAGAGAGGAAGGAGCCACTGCACAGGGGGCTGTGCAGGGACCCGCATCGAGCCCAGCTCCTTCTTCTCTTCTGGGGTGCGAGCGTGCCATCCCCTGCCCTGGCTCCCAGGCAGGGATTCACATGCACTGCTGGGCTCCGCAGCGCTCGGTGGGCTCAGCCTCTTCCCATCCAGCATTCTGGGGACGCCTGGTGAGAGGCACCGGTCCTTGTCCCCACAGAGCCACCAAGGGGGTCCCCCGTGCCGCGGGGCCAGCACCCAGGTGATGCCAGCGGCAGCTTTAGCACCTGGGTACCCGCTGCACGGCCCTGGGGGCGCACAGGGTGTGGGGTTCCCCCCCAGCAGCACAAGCTCCCAGCGCCGAGGTGGATGTGGAGCATTAAGCAGGTAATGGCACCACAGCGAGGGGCCAGCTCCAGCCCGGCCAAGCACAAGTCCTGAGCGAGCACTGCAGCTTTAGGAGCCCATTGCACCCCCTTCCCACCCATCCCAGGGCACAATCTGTACACAAGGTGGGAACTAAGCATTTAACCTGGCCAGACCTCACTAAAGCAGAGCCTTAAGCCATTTTGCTTAAAGACTTTCTACGTCCCCCCAGTAATAAAACACCTTTTCTCCACCATCTGCCTGGGGCACAGTTGTACTCCCCTGCGGTAGCCGGGGCAGAAGGGGGATGCTGAGGAGGAAGGTCCCAGCATGGGGAAGGTCTGAAGCAGGCAGCAGTGGGCTGGGGACCACCCTGCTGCCTTGCAGGCAGATTACAAGGGGGGGAGTCAGAAACCCAAGTGCCACAGCAGGGCTCTGTATGGGACAGGTTCTGCTCTAGGAGGGCACTCACATGGAGCCTGTTTCACTGCATCCCCTTCACTCACCGGGTCCAGGAGCCTGCTGAGAGCTTGGCACCAGTTGAGCATCACAAGCACCAGCTCCTCCCCGGACCTGCCCTATTTAAACCTTTCCCTGGGCCAGGTGGGGAAGATGCTGGGGATGCCCAGCTGGGTCATCAGCACCTCTGCTGGGAGCCAGAGCCTGCTCCTGGGGTCCCTGTCACCCCTCTCCCACAGGGGAGCGTGATCCCGAGGCAAGACAGGGACAAGGACAAATGCCAGCTGTGCGTGATGGGGTGCCAGGGTGAAAGAGCTTCCTGGAAAGCAGGGCCTGCCCGCTCCCCTGAGACACCAGCATGGGGCAGAGCGTGCCCATCAGTAACTAATAATCACTGCTTCAGCCCTGCATGGTGGCTGAGGGCGAGCACCCAGCCAGGCATCCCGAGGGTCCCTGGGTGCCCATGGTGATGGTGCTGGGGCCCCCCATGCTGTGGGAGCTGCAGGGGATGCACAGAGCGCAGGGCAGGAGGGGCTGTGGTGCTTATGGTGTTACTCCCCCCGGCTGTGCCACACCGAGCTCCACCTTTTGGCACCCTAAAGCTCCCTTTTGTTCCTAGGAGGGTAATGGGGAGGTGCTGGGAGCCCCGAGGTTCCTGTGTGAGCAGCTCCTCAGGTCTGTGGCTCCTCCCTCTGCCTGCAGCACTGGTGCTGCCTTGGGGTGACCCAGGCAGGCTGGGAGCCCCAGTCCCACCTTGCTGGACAGGCCCTGAGCCCATGGAGTTACCTGCACCCTCCACTGTGGGGTCCCACTCTCCTCCAAGCTCCCTCATCCCCAGGCCAGGGCTCTCCATCACCCTTTACCCCCCCCAGCACCCCAGGACCACGCACCCGGGGTGGATGCGTGCCTCATACACGGCTGCAGCCTCCTATCAGCCCCATGCCGGGGCACACCGTGGTGCAGGGTTTCCCTGTGAACCCACCCAGAGCAACGGCACCTCCTGTAGCCCAGCTCTGCAGCCCAGCAAAACCTGTTTAGTTTGGCCGATCTGGTTTGCACAACTGGAAAAGCCCAGGCAAGGGCAGGGTGAGCGCTGAGTTAATGTTTGACTCCTTTGGAAGCTCATTTTGGCATTAAATGTTTAAGGGTTGAGCAGCTTCACCTTCCCTGCACAAGGCGCAGATGGAGCTCCAAGTACCCCAGAGCATCCTCACTGATCCCAGGGTAATCAGATCCCAAGGTCCTGTGGGTCACCCGGGATGAAATCCCTGCTGATAGAGCCTCATCCCATCAGGCTGGGGCTCGCTGTCATTGTCCCCTGGCCTTGCATGTACCCTGTGCAAGGCACTGGGAGATGCTGTGCTCACCCCCTGCCATAGCCCTGCTTCCCAAGGGGAGATGCGGGTCCTCCATCAGCGAAGGGGCCACGGGCAGGCTCAGGAAGGACAATGAACCCCTCTGTGTGCTCCATGTGCCATCGGTGCCACGTGGCCACATCCCCGTGTCCTTTGGGAAAGCTGAGTGCTGTGATGCTGCTTATTCATTTCAAAGCTCCACAGCCCTGAGTGTGCCATCACTCCTCCTCCTCCCTGAGAGGCGACTTTCTCTGACTCAGAGCTGGAAAGGAAACCCAATGGGCTGCGAAAGGAGACCTGGTGGCTGCAGGAGGGGCAGAGCCGGGTTTTCCCCTGCAGCCACACGTGGCTCTGCAGCAGTCATCACAGAATCGTTGTACGCTTTGGGCTGGAAAGGACCTTGAGATCACCCGGTTCCAACCCCTGCCGTGGGCAGGGACACCTCACTCCGGGTGAAATGCCTCTTCCTCCTAAAAGGGTGGCTGGGAGGAGAGAGGGACAGACCCTGCTGGCAGCTGTGGCACAGGGGAAGGATGCTCAGGAGCCAGCCGGGAGCCCAGTCTGGTCCCGGTGCTGACACCCCGCTCCCCGCAGAGCAGTGTGGGTGCGGGAAGCGCTCCCTGAGGCATGGGAAGGTGCTCAGAAGCACCGTGACCACGGGCACCGGTTCTGCCTGGAACGCGGGATGAGTCAGGCTCCGTCCTCAGCCCCCCGCAGCCCTTGGCACTGCTCATCTCGGCTCTTCCCACCCGGTTCCCGTTCAGCTCAGCAGCCAGAGCCCCGCGGGGCACATGCGAGTGTTAGAGCAGAGATTCGGGAGATGGAGCAATGTCCCTGCGCACAGCAGCCTGGAAACCCTGTGCTGGTCCCACAGCCCCACACAGCCACGGGCTGAGATGCTGATCCCATGGGGGGACACGACCCCGGGGCAGGGAGATGTCCTGGTCCCGGGAGCAGGAGGATTGGGGAGCGGGTCCCTTGTTCCCTGCCGGGGGGGGTGCGGATCCTTAAAGTCTGAGAGGAGGCACCCGGGAGGGGCGCAGGGGGGTCCCGTGCGCTTCCTGGTGCCGTCGCCTTTCCCTGTTCCCTATCCCATGGGTGCCCCTGTCCCCCCATCCCGTGGCAGCCCCGTGTGTGCCCCCCCCCCCTCCGGGGCTGGCAGCGTCGGACGTGAAAGAGAAAGTGAAACCCGGCTCCGCGCTTTCGTTTTCTCATCCCCAGCACGTTCCCGGGGCGCGGGGCAGCGATGGCGGCGCCGGGGGGGCCCATGCGGCTCAAGGAGTGGCTGATAGCGCAGATCGACAGCGGCCGGTACCCGGGGCTGCGCTGGGAGAACCGGCACCGCACGCTCTTCCGCATCCCCTGGAAGCACGCGGCCAAGCAGGACTACCGGCAGCAGCAGGACGCGGCGCTCTTCAAGGTACCCCCGGATCGCCCAGACACCCCCCCCCCCCCTCCAGCTCCGGGAGCACCCCTGGGGTCCGCCACTCACCTCTGGGTGCACCCCGCATGGTTCCCCATTGCCCAGCTCCTTCTGCTGCCCTGGGACCCCCCCCTGTGGCTCTATGAGCACCCTGGGACCCCCCCCTACTCCATGTAGGGCTCCCCATTGCCCAGGTCCATGTGCTCCACTGGCACACCCCAACACCCAGCAGCCCCCCAGGACACACAGCCCCAGTTGTCCCCCCCATCCCCAGTGGACCTCGAGAAGAGCCGGGCACTGGGGTGCTGGCACCCCCATAGCACAGGGCACCCTCTGCTCCCCCAGGCTTGGGCCATCTACAAGGGGAAGTACCACGAGGGCACGGACAAGGCAGACCCATCCACATGGAAGACGCGTCTCCGCTGCGCCCTCAACAAGAGCACCGACTTCCAGGAGGTGCCCGAGCGGAGTCAGCTGGATATCTCCGAGCCCTACAAGGTGTACCAGATAGTGTCTGACAGCACCTGGGCTGCAGGTACGTCCCTGCCATCCCTCCTCCTGTGCTGGACTTGGGGCTGGTGCCTGCGCTCTGCCTGTACAAGCCCCGTGTCCCACAGACATCACCCTTCCTGGAGAAGAGAGGGTGCCAGGGAGGCCTTACAATGGTCTTCCAGTGCCTAAGGGGCTACAAGAAATCTGGAGAGAGACAAGGGCCTGTAGGGACAGGCCAAGGGGAATGGCTTGAACCTGCCCAAGGGGAGACTGAGCTGAGCTCTTAGGCAGAAGCTCTTCCCTGTGAGGGTGCTGAGGCGCTGGCACAGGGTGCCCAGAGAAGCTGTGGCTGCCCCATCCCTGGCAGCCAGGTTGGACACAGGGGCTTGGAGCAAGCTGCTCCAGTGGAAGGGGTCCCTGCCCGTGGCAGGGGTTGGGACTGGAGGAGCTTTAAGGTCCCTTCAACCCAAACCAGTTTGGGATTCGGTGATTCCTCCCCACTCCTTTTCCTCTCTGGATGTCCCACACAGGCAGGCACCTTCCCAGGGGCTGCTCCTGCTGCTTGCTGGGAGCTCATCAGGTTTCCTTGCTCTCCACAGAGAAGGATGGTGAGACACAGTCCCCAGCCAAGGACCAGCAGGTGAGCCAGGCCCCGGAGCTGCCCGTGGGCTGGAAAAGGTGAAACCCCCACATTCCCTCATGGCCCCCATTCATCCCTGCCCACCGCTGCTCTCCCCAGGACAGCACCGTGGGGAGCCCAGAGGAGGATGCCCAGAAGGGCTCGGTGGAGATGTGCCATGTGTCTCCATTGCCCCTTCTCTCTGCCCACCAGACAGAGCAAGGTGAGGAGGGTCCCTGGTCCCTGGCAGTGGGACGAGGATGGGGACAGGGGGCACAGGCTTGCCCAGCAGGAAGAACCCAGCTCCCCAGAGCTCTGCACCCTGTCCTGGATGCAGGCAGTGTCCATTGGGATGGACACCACGGCTGGGGCTCTGTCCCCGCCCCAGATTATCATTAGGGGCTTTAGGGGCCCAATAATGAGCAGCAGGAGCATGAAGGACCCTGCTGCCCATCCGGCCCAGGGGCTGGAGCCCTCGGGATCCCCTGGGGACAGCTGCCCATGTCCTTTTGCCACCTCATCTCTGCCCTGGCCCAGGGTGCCACATGAGGGGAGCCTTCTACCGCTGGAACCCACCCCACGGCCACGTCCTCCCCAGGCCCCCTCCTTTCCTCCCCGTGGAGGACATCAACCACTCAGGTAGGAGCCGCTCTGGCCGGGCAGGTCCCGGGCTGTGCCCCCCGGCCCCCGCTGCCGCAGACTGAGCCTCCCCGCCCCTCACCGCAGACTCCTGGCTCCACGTCCGCCTCTACTACTGCGACTTGCTGGTGAAGGAGGTGACGACGCGCACGGCCGAGGGCTGCCGCATCACCTCCCGCCCCGCGCCGGCCGACAGCGAGCGGCTCTACGGCCCCTCCTGCATGGAGCAGATCGAGTTTCCGCCGCCGCGGGCGCTCGGGGGCAGCGGAAGGGTGGCCGGGATGAACGGCGTGCTGGAGCGGCTCCTGCCGCACCTGGAGCGCGGGGTGCTGCTGTGGGTAGCACCCGAGGGCGTGTTCATGAAGCGGCAGTGCCAGGGCAGGGTGTACTGGAACGGGCCCCTTGCCCCGCATAGGGATGGGCCCAACAAACTGGAGAGGGAGAAGACCTACAAGCTGCTGGACACGCAGCAGTTCCTGCAGCGTAAGTGCCCAACTCGCCCTCCCCAGGAGACCCTGGTCCTGTGGGATACCCGTGTCCCCTGACGGTGCCGGTGTCTTGCAGAGCTGCGGGGGTACCTGAGCCACGGGCAGCCCATGCCGCAGTACCAGATCCACTTGTGCTTTGGGGAGGAGTTCCCCACCAGCGCTGGGCAACACTTCCAGAAGCTCATCATGGCCCATGTGAGTACACACTGGAGCTCACAGCATCCCTGAGCTGGGCACCGGGACCGTTGTGGTACCCAGACCTGCATCCATCCTCCATCACCTCTGTGCCCCCGCAGATAGAGCCGGTGTTTGCCCGAGAGCTCCTCCATCACGCCCAGCGCATGGGGCCGATGCTGCTGCGTGACTGCCCCCAGCCCTGTGCCCGCAGCCCCTCCAGCCACACCACCCACGTCCTCAGGCAGCTCTGCCAGCCCTGAGCCCGGGCAGAGGGAGGGGAGAACCCAGGCGTGACAAAGCCTCCAAGCAGGATGCTCATCATCCCCACGGCCCTGCTCTGGTGTGGGGGGGCTCAGCACTGTGAGGCTGGATGCAGTCTGGCACTGACAGAGGCGGTTGATGTCTTCAGCCTCTCCAGCATCACTGTATTTACTCCCTGGGAGCCATCCAGGTGGGATTTGCTGTGTTGTTTGGTGAGCTGGGGCAGAACCAGCTCTGCCCTCACTCCTTGCAGCGCCAGGACTCACCGTCTGCAAACCTTAGGAATAAAGGTTGTGTTTTGGTACCTCTGGCTCCAGTGGGGGGGCTGGTGCCGGTCTAAGGGGGGCAGAGGCAGCTGGGGGAGCTGGACTTGTTCTGCTGCGGGTCCAGCCCCTTGGTAGGGGTGCAGGCAGCAGCGGGGTGCCCATCGGCTGCTCTGCTGAGCCTGTCTCAGAGGCACTCAGTGCCCGTGCCTCAGTTTCCCCTGGTGAATGGAGTGAGTGGGGTCCTGGGAGGTGGGGGCTGTGCTGTAACCTTGAGCACGGTGTGGGGACCTGGTACAGTGCACCAGATCCAGCACAGTGCACCGGATCCAGCAGTGCACACCATCTGACACAGCCTCAGGCTGGGGGAAAAGAGGCTCTGGGGTGGGCAGGGGCAGCAACCCCATCCCCATCAGCAGCTCCATCCTCATCAGCAGACCCATCCTCATCAGCAACCCCATCCCCATCAGCAGCCCCATCCCCATCAGCCCTGTCCAGGTCCCAGCTGTGCAATGTGGGCAGCTCAGGATGAGACCCATGTCTTGGGAACTTTCCATGGGAAAAGAGGCTGGGGGACCCGCGGACCATACCAGGGGCTCAGCCAAGGCCGATACTGCCCATCTCTGCCCCGGGAGGCCGCGTCGTGCCAGCCCCGGGGCCGCCGGCTGCTGGCCGCAGGCCTTGGCAGTGCATCCATCCGTCCATCCGTCCGTCCGCCCGTAGGGACCAGCGCTGGCCGCCGGAGCCCTGCTCCGCCCTGGGAGAGGAGGGGCCGCCAGCGGGTTTTAACGGCCGTGCCGGGGCCGGGCGGCAGAGCGGGAGCACCGCGGCTGCCGGGAGGATGGAGCCGGACCTCCCCGTCGGCGACCCGGTGCTGCGCAGCCCAGCGGCCCCCGAGCCGCCCGGCGGCCCCTTCCCCAGCGCCGAGGCCACCAAACCACCCTACAGCTACATCGCCCTCATCACCATGGCCATCCAGAGCGTGCCCGAGAAGCGCATCACCCTCAGTGGGATCTACCGCTACATCATGGGCCGCTTCACCTTCTACCGGGAGAACAAGCAGGGCTGGCAGAACAGCATCCGCCACAACCTCTCCCTCAACGAGTGCTTCGTCAAGGTGCCCCGCGACGACAAGAAGCCGGGCAAGGGCAACTACTGGACCCTCGACCCCGACTGCTACAACATGTTCGAGAACGGCAGCTTCCTGCGGCGTCGACGGCGCTTCACCAGGAAAAGAGGCCTCCGGGATGCACCGGGCACCGATGGGGACGAGGGGCGCGGGAAGCCCCCCAAGCAGCGGGCACGGGGGCCGCCCGCAGCCCCGCTGCCCGAGGAGGGGAAGGCAGAGGGGGGCTACCCCTCACCGGTGGCCACGGGGCGCCTGCCAAGCCCCACCACGCTGCCCGAGGGGGCCGGAGCGCCGGGGTGCGCCGAGCCCTGTGTGCGGGGGCAGCCCCCCAAGGCCAGGCAGCCCTGCCTGTACCTGCCGGACGCGCCGCAGCCCAAGGGGCCGTTCCTCGCCCCCCCGGAGAGCCGCCTGCCCAAGGACACTGCCCTCGGGGGGCTCCCGGCCGCGCTGCAGCTGCCCCGGCCAGGTCAGTACGAGCGCCCGGTGCCACACGCTGCGCTGCTGCCCGCGCTGCTGCCCGTCCAGCACAGGGACCCCCAGCAGGACTCGCCGGCCCCCCCCGGCACCCCCCCGGGGCAGCTGGAGGGTGAGGAACCGGCCCCGCCGGGGCTGGGGCAGGGCCAACCCTTCGGGCAGGTGCCCCCCGCGTTCTCCAGCCCCCTCCTGGGCACGGGCAAGCCCCCCCCGTCCTGCTTCTTGGAGGGGGAGGGCTACGCGCAGCCCCCCCTGCCCGTTTTCGGCTCCTTCGGCCGCTCGGGCCCCGAGGCGCTGGGCAGCAGCTACCAGTGCCGGGTGCAGGCGCTGAGCTTCTGCGTGAAGGAGCGGCCCTGCGGCACCGCGCTGGAGCATCTCCTGGCCGCGGCACCCCCGGCCCCCGCTGCCCCCCGACAGGCGCCCTTCGGGGCCGTGGGGGCACGGGCGGGTGAGCAGAAGGAGCCGTGGGGGCCGGGGGGGGCGATCCCGTTGCAGGGGGGCAATGGGTACCCCCTGGGGTTGCCCCCCTGCCTCTACCGGACACCCGGCATGTTCTTCTTCGAGTGAGGGACCGGCCCCCTGCACCGAATAAAGCGCATTCCCCAACGCTGCCTCTGTGGTCTCAGTGCCCTGCTCGGGGTGGGCAGGGGCGAGCTGGGGGCCCTCTACCCCATCCTGGGCGCTGGCTGGGGCACAAGTGTCCCCCAGGCCACCAGCACAGCCCTCATCTCCGCTGGTCCCTCCATTGGTGATTTCTGGGTGGATGCGGTGAGGCAGCAGGGGGATAGGGCATGGCCTGGGTCAAGGCACCCGCATCCAGGTCCTGTGTCCCTGGGAGATGCTGGGGACAAGGTCCTGCTCCAACGTGGAGCCAGGAGCACGCAAAGCCCTGTCCTGGGGTAGCAGGATGGAACCGCATCCATGAGGGGCAAGAGGATGTGCTGCAGCAGGAATGAGCCCCCACGGAGCCCTGCTGCTGCCTCACTGTGCCTGGGACCACTCAGAGCGCCTGGATTCTCCCATGTGCCACACATGGCACAAGCAGCACCAGCCTCAGGACACGGCCCCAGAAAGATGCCGGTGAGGTGGTGGCACTCTGCGTGGGGCTCTGCTCTGTTGGGACAGGGCTCCCTCCACTCTGTCCCTGCTCAGGGCTGTGCCGGTCTCCGGCTGGGGTCCCACCAGGTCTCTGCAGACACCCCGAGGCCAGGGCACCACTAGAGCCAGGCTTGTGCCAGGGGCTGCGGTGGGAACGGGCAGGGAAAGCGGATTCCTCCGATCTGAATCACACCGGGTGAGGAGGCACCGGCTGAGTCACCGCTGCCGGCACCGGGCTGGGCACCGGGGAGGGCTGCGGGGCACCGGGTGGGCAGGCTGTGACCCAGCCACCAACCTCTTCCCACTGGAGCAGCACCTCCCGCAGCGCTGGAATAGGGGCAGAGCGATGCTGCCAAGTGGGGTGCTGAGCCCATGCCCCCATCCTGCCCACCCCAGACTGGGAGAGAGGACCCCCCAGCACAGCAGCCTCAGGCAGGCACAAAGGGAGGATGCTGGGCTGGGGAGCGCACCCCATGCTGATGTGGGCAGCGGGTTGGGGCTCCTCAAGCCCAACGGGCCCCCAGTTTGGCCAATGCCGGGGGTCTCTGCGGGGGCTGCGCTGGCACCGAGGGACAGCACTTGCGTCACTCAGGGGCAGGGAGCACCGCGGCCGCGTCAGCCCCGTTATCAGCCCCCAGACGGCGGGGCCATGGCTGCATCCCAGCCCCGGGCAGGGCAGGGCAGGGCAGGGGGGGCCGCTCAGCCCCGTTCTCTCTCTTCTCCCGTTTTAGTTCTTCCCTTCCCCAGTGGAAAACAATATTTGAGCGCCTACATCATGCTGGCGGCTCCGGCGCGGCGAGCGCGGCTGACCTCAGCCCCCTCCTGCGCGCTCCCCGGGGGCGCCGGAGGAAGCGAGGCCGCGGCTGTGCCCAGGGGCCGTCTGGTTCCCACGCAGCGTGGCCAGGCCCCGCGCCCGCCCCGGCTCCCCACGGCGCCTGGGAACACGGGGATGGGGTCCCTGCCCTGGGAGCAGCGCGGCACCGCATGGAGCATCCCATTGCCCCGCGAGCTGCAGCCCCCGGGGACGGGCAGTCCTAGCGCTCCCCTCCTCGACACCCAACCCCGGCTCATGGCTCCGGCTCTCCCTGCTCCTCCCTTGCTCGCAGTGGGTGGCCTGGCCCCCGGCCCGCTCCCCCCGTTCCCAGCATGGGCCGGGCCGTGGATGGGGACCGGGCTGCACCTGGTCACAGGCTGAACCTGCTGCTGGTGGTGCCGGTGCTGGAGGTCTGCCCGCTCCCCTTCCCTCCCTGCGGGACCCACTGCTTGTGCAGGCAGGGTGGGTGCCATAGGGATGAGTGCAGGGATGGGGAAAGGCTGAGTGCGAGTGCTCAAGGCTGCAGGATGGATGCTGCTGGCACCCATGCAAACACCCCAGACTGTGTATGGTGTATGTGGGGGCGACCAGGACACCCCATACAAGGAATAGCACTGGTTGCTATAGCCTTTGCTGGACCAGGATCAGCCCTACCACTGTGCCCACTGACCCCAGCGAAATGGATCCCTTCCCCAGGTTTCTGGGGGCTCCCGACCCCTGTTCTGCCCCTCATTTGGGTCATGGGATAGGGCCGCGGGATAGGGCCACGTCTGCTTCCACAGGTGCCAGCCCACAACCCCACTCTCCTGGCTCTGATGAAGGCACAATGGGTGCCCCTGTGGGGTCTTGGGGCAGGAGAGGCTGGAGAAGTGGGGGGGGGGGGGGTGGTGGTAAGGATGGGGGTCCCTTACCCTGTGTTTGGAGCACTGGGATGTGCCGGTGCCTCTGCATCCCTGTGCCATGGCCAGGAACAGATCCCTTACAGCAGCTCAGGATGCCCGGAGCAGCCGTGGGTGAGGGCCTGGCCGGGAGCCCCATGGGCCACCCCACGGCAGGGCCCTGCAGCCCCCGGGGCCAGACAGGAAGGAGACGTCATCGCCGCGGAGCGTAACTCAAACCAGATGGGGCCGCGCTGGCTTCCAGGCCCGCGGGGTGGTCACCGACAGGAACCGGCCAAAGGCTGCCGGCAGGAAGCGCCTGGGAGGGACGCCCGCAGCGTCCGGGGGCCCCGGCGGCCTTAACTGCTTCGGGGCTGGCTGCACCCCCGGGCGCTGGGGCACCTGCCCCACACCAGCCATTACCTGGGCATCCCACCCCACACGGGCAGGCGCTGAAGCTGTGAGGACACCTTCGATCACCCATCCATCCCCTTGCCCCCGTACCCGGGGGTGTTCAGACCATTTCTGCAGAGCCGTGGTCCCGTTCTGTCCGCTCTGCTCTGCGGACAAGACATCCCATCCCATCCCATCCCATCCCATCCCATCCCATCCCATCCCATCCCATCCCATCCCATCCCATCCCATCCCATCCCCTCCTCGGTTACCTGCAGACCTCAGATTGCAGTGTTGAGGAGCAGAGGCACAGGGAGGTGGCCGGAGTGACCCCCCCAAATCCCAGGGAGGCGGAGGGGGGCTGCGGGAAGACCTGTACATTTATTTACAAGAAGACAAGAGCCAGGCAGGACCCCACGAGAAGTATCCCCTGCCCCATGGGGATGAGCCCAAAGCCCCCGGTGGGGCTGGGGGTCTGGTGCCACCCCCGGTCTCTCCCCAGGGTTCTCCCAGCAGGCGCAGAGGGCACAGGCAGCCCTGGAGCAAACACACGGCCCTAGCCACAGCAAAAGCCGAAGCTGGAGGGCAAGGGAAGCCCAGGACCCCCTCCCCACCGGCCCCCATCCCGCACGGGCAGGGCTGGGAGCTACAAAGCCGTGGGGATGGATGCTCCTCCTGCAGCATCACCGGGGAGCCCCGCGGGCGCGGGCACAGGGGAAGGGGTCCGGGGTGAGGCGGAGGAGCGGGGTCAGCGCCGGCTCCCCCATCCCGGCCGGTCCCGGGAGCCCCGCTCGCGGCAGTTCCGCTGTGTTGGTGGTCGGGCTGGAGCGGGGGAGCGCGGTGCAGCTGCTCCGCATTTCCTCGCTCATCCTGATCCGGCGGCGCCGGGGGAGGCAGAGGTTGCGCTGTTCCCCCGCTGGCAGAGCCGGAGGGCAGGGAGGGCAGCAGGAACACAAAGGCTCCTTCTTCCCTCGCTGCCTCCCAGCTGGGGACGGGGCTGGAAGAGCGCTCCCCGCTTCCTCCCTTCCTGTGCGAGCCGCAGCTCGGGGCCAGCGCCGCGCCCGCACGCGTGGCCGGCCAGGGAGGAGGAGGAGGAGGAGGAGATTCAGGCTCAGCCCCAGCTCCGGTGCCAAAGCGCCGGGGTGAGGGTCCACGCCTGCCCTCGGCGTCCTCACCCCAAACCGCAGCGCTGGGAAGGGCGGCTCAGGGTCCAGAGACAGCGAAGGCAGCGCAGGGCTGCGGCATTTACAGGCAGAGCGGGCAAGCCGTGGGTCCAAGGGAGCAGCGAGGGCGCAGGGCGGCTGCCGTGGTTTAAACCCAGCCAGCAACAAGTACCACACAGTCCAGAAGCAGGACAGCGGCTCAGGCCGTGGGGCTCACGCCAGACCAGCCTTTCTCCTCCAAAACCACAGGAAGGAAGCCCAAACGGAGCAGAGATGCCGTGGGTTGGGCATTGCGCAGCCAGGCCAGGGATGAGATCGGAAACCACCGCTCAGGAGCAGCCTCGCAGTCCGAGGATATCCCGTCAGGAGCATCGGCTCCATGGGGATGGGCAGGGATGCTTTCGGCGTTCCCAGCAGCGGGTCCCTGGGGTGGGATGAGCTCAGTGCAGCAGCGGGTGCAGGTGAGGAGCCCTGTGGTGCCCCAGCCCCGACGAGTCCCACAGGGGCTGGGTGCCAAGGCAGGTGCAGTCCCAGGAGCACAGCAGAGCAGCACCCATGGAGGCGGTGGCGTGGGGCACGGAGCAGGGATGCAGCGTGTGCCACAGTGACGTGGGATCCAGAGCATCATCTCGCAGCAGCACGGGCAGGGACAGGGCTGAGCAGCTCCAGCCCCTGGCCCCACAGTGGGAAGTGAGGACCCCAGCAGGGTCCTGCTGCCGTCCAGAAGCAAGACGGACGTGAGACCCTCTGAAGCGGCTCCTCGCTGGCCTCGGCTCAGATGCCCAGCGCCGTCAGGGACCCCGAGCTGGTGATCTTCTTGAAGCGGTTGGCAGCGCACACCCCGATGAAGTTTTTCTGTGAAGGGGAAGCAGGGGCTGCAGCTCCGGAGGCTGAGCCAGACCCTGCACCCGGGGCTGGGGACAAGGGGGCAGCCAAGGTGCATGGGATAGGAGCACATGGCTGATGCTGGGGCTCATCCCTACCCTGTCCTGATGCTGTTCCTGCCCCTAAAAGGTGCTCTTGAGATGGGCTCAGGGGAGATAACCATGAAGGGACCAACACTGATAGAGATCCCATCGTGGGGGCAACCACGCAGGGGATGTGGGGCTGGGGAGCCCTTTCTCTAAGCTTAGGAGGTCAGAGAATCGTAGAGTAACTGGGTTGGAAGGAACCTTCTAAGGTCCAACCCCTTGCAATGAGCAGGGTCCCCAGCCCTTGCATCAGGCAGCGACACAGACCCATCCATGTCCCCCAAGCCGCCCACCAGGAGAGGTGGAGGCTGGCACCCCCCCAGCACCACTGCCCCTCCCCGGGCTGCCCCCCCCGCACCTTCCAGCGCCTCCTCATGACGTATTTCTTGAGCAGCACTTGGGACTTGAGCCGCCGGTTGCAGCGTTTGGCCTTTTCTGCCAGGTTGTTGAGCCAGGGATGCTCCAGGCACTGACTGGCGCTCATCCGGGCGCTGGGGGTGAGAGGAGAAGCATCACCCCCCCCATCAGCCCCTTCTCCAGCCACCCAGGAGCCCCAGAACCCCATGAACCCCCAAGCCAGAGGGGTGGGACCAGGGATCAGAGGGTTCAGCACATCCTGCTTGGGACAGGTGACACTTAGAGGGACAAGGGGCTCTGTTGGAGACAGCCAGCAGCAAGGGCAGGGCACCGCGTGGCTCCGTTGGTACAGGACATCAGGAGATGCTGCTGGGGTGTGGTACCCAGGGGCTGGGCACACAGCTCGGATGCCACCCCAGGACCCCCATGGCCGCTGCCAGCCCCGCACCTCTTGTCCTTGATGATGAGGTTTGAAACGAAGTCCTTGGCCTCGTTGGAGACGCTCTCGAAGGTCTCCTCATCAAAGTACCAGTTGGCAGCCAGGACGTTGTTGAGCGTCTCGGTGTCGTTGTCCCCCAGGAAGGGGGAGAGGCCGCTGAGCCTGGGGATGCAGGGGGTCAGGAGTGAGACCCTTCAGGCTGTAAAACCTTCCAGACCCCCCCAATGAGCCCGTCTGGCCAAGGGCTGCCCCCCACACACACACTGTGGCTGCTGCCACCATATCCTGCCTGCAGATGTGGGCACAGACCCCAGTGCCCTTGCCCATCTCCCCCTCCAGCACCCACCAGCACCCCACTAAGCAGCCAGAAGAGCTCTGCTCCCCAGCATGGCACCGCAGGCCCGACGTACAGCATGTAGGTGATGACACCCATGCTCCACATGTCCGTGGTGTAGGAGACCTGCTCGTAGTTGACCACCTCAGGGGAGAGGAATTCGGGGGTGCCAAAGTTCACCTTCAGCTTCTCCTGGGGGTTGTACCTGCATCCAGGAGGGGAGGCAGTCAGCAAGGGGGGACAGGCTGCTCCCCCAAAGCATTGCTGCCCTCCTGTGCCACTCAGGGAGAGCCAGGGCTGGCAGCCATGGCCAAACCACAGCCCAGAGCAGGCCCTGGGGGTTCCAGCACCCCAAAGGGCTGCAGGATGGGAAGGAGGCAAGGAGGAGGGATGGAGCTGACCTTCGAGCCAGCCCAAAGTCAATGATCTTCACCATGTGCCCAGTGGCAGCGACGCAGAGGATGTTCTCAGGCTGTGGGGACAGAGACCATTGCCCCACTGCCAAGAGGGAACATGTCCCCAGTGCATGGATCAGGCAGCCCAGGGGTCTTGTGCTGACCCACTCACTGCCCCCCCTGTCCCTGCTGTCAGCCCCACACCTTGAGGTCGAGGTGGAGGACACGCATGTGGTGCATGAAGCGGATGCCCTCACAGATCTGCCGCACGAACACCATGCAGTCCACCTCCGTCAGCTGGTAGTCGTCATCGATGATCCGCTCAAAGAGCTCACCGCCCTCCACACTGCATGGGGACAGAGAGCGGGGTCACCTGGGGGCCTCTGCATCCCAACCCAGCCCCTCCATGGGGATGCTGGTGTAGAGAGAGGACACCGCAGCTCCCCAGGGTTCATAGAGCTGCATGGGAAAGACCTGGGTCACCTCCACCCTCAACACAGCCATAAGAGAGGGAGATGCTGTCCTGGCCAGGCAGAGCCTGAAGCGACCCAGGGAGGTGCCCAAGAGGGGACAGGCAAGAAGAGGGACATTCCCTGGGGCCAACCCCTTCTGCTCGGTCAGGGTCCAGCACATCTGCTCCATCTCTGGGGCATCCCCATGGTGGTGCCCCTCACCCAGGCATCAGGCCTCTCACAGCACTGCCCCAGCACTCACAACTCCATGAAGAGGATGATCTCCCGCGGCGTCTCGATGGCATCGTAGAGCTGGACGAGGTTGCGGTGGTTCAGCTGGTTCATCACATCGATCTCCAGCAGCACCATCTCCTGCAGAAGAGCCCTGTGTGGTCAGTCCTGGCCACCGACACTGGGACGGGCTGCATTGCAGTCACACAGTGCGTGACACTGGCACCCACCACCTGGGCCATGCCACTTGCTGGTGGCACCATGGCCACGAGGTGCCCCCACTCTGCCATCACTCAGACCTTGTCCTTGGCACCCTGTTTCCGGATCACTTTGGCCGCCAGCTTGAGCCCTGTCTGCTTCTCTGTGCACGTGTGGACTTCACCAAACTTGCCCCTTGGGGGGATAGGAAGTGATGCCATCACCATCAGCCACCCAGACTGATGGAGACCCCCACCCTGTGCACCCATCTGCACCCACTCTGCCTAAAGCACCACCCCATCATGACTAAGTAAGTCCCATTGACCCAGAGCCACTGCCCAAGGCACGATAGCAGCCTGAGCAGTGCTGGGGGAATCCCGGGTGCCCCCCACCTTCCCCGGGCCCCTCCTTACCCCCCCAGGATCTCCTTGGAGCTGAGGTTGAACTGGGAGCTGATGCTGGCAGACCGCAGGGTGACGATGCGGTGAGCAAAGGGCGCTGGTGGCGGAGGGACATCATCTGCCCAGAGAGGAGGGTTGGGGTGAGCAGGGGAACGGCCCGGACCCCGATGATGGGCACCCCAGGATGCCCCCGGCTGGGAGCACATCCAGGTGCCAGGTGAAGTGAAGCACCCAGTGGCACTGCCCAGCCAAGCCTGTGGGTGCGGGATGCAGCCAGGTACCGAGTGCCCCGCTGCAAATCAGGGCCTTCTGGCTGCCTCCTGCACCAGGGGATGGAGCATCCCCTGAGGGGACCCTCACCACTGCCCCCAGCATCACCCCGCCGCATAGCACCCAGCTGCACACCCGCTCCCCACCATCCCGCATGTCACGCTCGCCCTCTCCAGGCCACGCTGCTGCGTGTCACCCTCTCTGCGCCCCCAGCCCTTCACGATGGGCTTGCTCGCCCAGTGCGCCCCAGCACCCAGCCCTGGGCCCCCTTCCCCAGGCGAGTGCAGGAGCCCCAAGGCACCCAAGCCCCGCAAGGGCAGCGCTGCCGCACACGGGGACACGCTGTCCCCTGCCACCGGCCAGGCGGCGGTTGTCACTCCCGGGGCTCCTCTTCCTGCCGGTGCCAGGCTGAGGCCGGAGCAGGCCGGGGAGGGGACACGACGCATTTAGCCCTGTTTACAGTGAAACAGGAGCTCGAAGGCCACGGGGCAGGCGGCGAGCCAAGGGCATGAGCAGGCAGCATGGGAGGGCAGCGCGGGCAGCAGGCAGGGTGCGGGGACCCCCCTGCTGCTGCCCCACAGAGGGTCCCGGGGTGCGGGGACAGGGCAGGCGCCCCACAGCCTTACCCAGTATCTCGAACGGGTCCTCCTTCCCGAAGTCGGGGGTGAGGTAGGGGCTCGGGGGTGGCTCTGCCTCCGTCGAGGGCGGTTGTCCCGCAGGGCCAGGCTGCTCCGCAGCCCCGGCGGGGCCCGGGGCCTGCCCCGTGGCGCTGGGCAATGTCCTCTCCTGTGGGGTGCCGGGGGGCTGCAGGTCCCCCTGGGCTGCCGGGAGCGGGCCGGGCTCTGCCGGCTCCATCACCGTGGTCTCCTCCAGTATCACCTCCATCGCCGGCCCCTCCGCCCAGGGCTGCTCGTCCCTGGAAGCAGGAGCAGGAGATGAGCAGAGCCGAGCCCGCAGCGCCCCGAGCCCAGCGGGAGCCGGGGGGCAGCGGGGGACGGGGCTCACCCCAGGAGGGTGCGGGTACCTTTGGCAGGGGGCCGGGCAGCTCAGGCTCTGCAGCAGAGCCGGGCGCGGGGGCTCAGCGCCCCTCGGCTGCTCCTTGCCCGTCTCCGCCTTTGCTGCTTGCTCCCCTTCACCCGGGGCCGCAGCCGTGGCCGCTGCCTCTGCGGGCTCCTCGCCTCCATCCCCGGCCTCTGCCGCAGCTGGGGGGGATCCCACCTCTGCAGCTTTCGCCCCTCCATCCTGAGCCCTCCCAGCGGCCGGAGCCTCCTTTGCGGGAGCCGTGGCTTCCTCCTTGGCAGGCTCTTCCTTGTCTCCATCCTCAGCCTTCGATGCCGCTGGGGGTTCTTCCACCTTTGGAGCTCTCTCCCCTCCACCCTGCGCTTCTGCAGGAGCCGGGGCTTTCTCCTTTGCAGGTTCCTCTTTGTTTCCACCTTGAGGCTTCTTTGCAGCTGGGGTTTCCTTTGCCTTTGCTGCTGCCTTCTCTCCATCATGAGCCTTTGCAGCATCTGGGGCCTTCTTCGCAGGACCCGCAGCCTTCTCCTTTGCAGGCTCCTCTTTGTCACCCTTCTGAGCTGTTTTTGCAGCTGAGGCTTCTTCTGCCTTTGCCGCTTGTTCCTCTCCATCCTGAGCCTTCGCAGGAGCCGGAGCCTTCGTCTTCACAGGTTTTTTATCTGCTGGGGTTTTCTCTGCCTTGGCTGCTGCCTTCCCTCCACCCTGGGCTTTCACAGGAGCTGGAGCCTTCTCCTTGGCACCAGATGTGGGGTTCTCCTTTGCAGATTCTTTGCCCCCATCCTGAGCCTGTGCTGCAGCCAAGGCTGCCTCCTTGGTGGGTTTTGCCTTCCCTTCTTCAGCCTCCACTGCAGCTGGAGCCTTCTCCTCCATGGGCTCTGCTTTCCCACCACCCTCCGGCTCTAACCCACCAGGGGCTTGCTCCTTCATGGGCTCATCCTTCCCTCCATCCTGAGCCTCTGCTCCAGCCGGGCCCTTCCCCTCTGTGGGCTCTGCTTGCTCTCCTTTGGGCTTTCCTGCAGCTGGAGCCTTCTCCTCCTTGGGCTCATCCTTCCCTCCATCCTCAGCCTTAGCAGCAGCTGGAGCCTTCTCCTCCATGGGTGCTGCCTGCCCTCCTTCAGGCTTTACTGCAGCCGGAGCCTTCTTCCCTGGCTCATTCCTCCCTCCATCCTGGGCCTTGGCAGCAGCCGGCACCTTCTCCTCTGTAGGTGCTGCTTCCCCTCCATCGTGCTGCTCAGCTGAAGCTTGCTCTGCCAGCGCTGCCTTCTTTCCATCCTGGGGCTCTGGAGCAGTCGGGGCTGGCTCTGCCTTCCCTCCTGCAGCCTCTCCTGCTGCCTTCCCTCCATCCTGTGCTGCAGCAGCAGCCGGAGCCTTCTCCTGCCTGGGCTCATCCTTCCCTCCATCCTGCACCTCGGTGGCAGATACCTCCATACCCCCTTGGGGCTGGGGGGCCGCTGGGGCTGCAGTGCCCTCTGCTTCGGGGGGAGCAGTGCCCCCAGGCCCCCCAGCACCGGGCACGCTGCCCGCCCCACCGCCCTGCTCCATGGGGATGCTCCGGGCAGGAGGCGGCTGCCCTGGGGTGCTCCTGGCTCAGCGAGGATCCTACGGGAGAGAAGACGGGAGCTGAGGGCTCCGTGCACCCGCAGAGGGGCACAGCGGGACCCGGGCAGCGGCTTTGGTGCCGCAGAGCAGGGGCAAGAAGAAGCCACCGAGGCAGGGACCGTGCCACAAGGCGGTGGAACAAGGCTGATGGCCCCGTGTGGCCGCAGGTCCCTGCACTGCCCCATTGTGCCCCGGTATCTGCCGTTCGGTGACTGACCGGGGGCCCGACACCGGCACCTGTCGCTGCCACCGAGCCTCCGGAGCGCAAGCAGCAGCCGCGGGGCAGCCCTGGTGCCAGATTAGGGCCATGTCCCCCTATGGTGGGGCAGGAGAGAGCGGCTGCGGGGTGGGCATCCCTGGCACTGCCCTCCCCAACGGCTCAGCCCTGCCCGGGGGTGACCGCAGCTTCTTTCTGCGCCCTCCCCACCAAGGGGGCCTGTTGATGCCAACCAATTGCCTCCAAACCAGCACCCGATCCCCAAACCCAAGCTCTGTCCCGGGCTCCGCTGCTCTCCCTGCGCTGCCACCCCCATCACCTTGAACCCAAAACACCCCCTGCGCTGCCTGTGCAAGCACTGAGACCAGCACAGACCCAGAACAACCGCAGGAAGAGGGGAGGCACTTGCTGGTCTGACTGGAACAGGAGCCATAGCAGAGCTGTCTCTGACGGAGCAGACCCGCAGCTCACAGCGGGGATGGAGCCTTTCCTCCCTGGCTGGGGGACCCCTTTACCTGTGCCGGTGCAGAGGGCGGTCAGGACGGCAGCATCCGCACTGGGGCAGCGCCGGGAGGGAGCAGCCTCTTCTATGCGGGGCGTAACGGAGCCGGATTAGCGCGGGCAGAGGAGGATCCGTTACAGCAGCGGGAGCCGGCCCTTTCCCAGCACCTGTCGCGCTGGAGCCCGTTCAAAGGACACGGCCCTGCCCCGCACAGCACCCCCGGGCGGGCCGGCCCCGGCCCCGCAGCGCCCCGGGACATCCCCTGGGGGGGGGGCCTGGCTGAGATGGACGCAGCCCAAGCAGCCAAGGGCTTCCAAGGCGCCCATAGGCGACACAAGGTGGCCACTGCCCACCCCTGGGGATGGCAGCTGGGAGCAACCAGTGCTGCCCCCCCGGGCAATGAGCTGGGGCCAGCTCTGTCCCCTCCAGGCATCAGCCCTTTGGGAAGGCAGCTCCAGGAGCACAATGTGGCACCCAAGGGCATGGCCACAGGGCCCTGGAGCAGAACCGACAGCAGTGGCAGCATCCTCTGGAACCACCTGAAAGACACCCATCTCCTGCAAAAGGAAGAGTTTTGGGGATTAGGAGAAGAAACAAAGGAGCAGGGGGCTCCTGAAGGATCAGGCATCACCAGCCCCAGCTGAAGGTGCTGCTGCACCCAAGGGTATGGTCTGGCAAGTGCTGGAATTGGGCATGGAAAACCGCTGGGGAGGAGGCACCATGGGTTACCCCATGCCAGGGCTGCAGTGGCCACAAAAAGAGCTGGGCAAAGGCAGGGCCATGGCCACAGAGGGTGCTGAAGCTGGTGGAGTGCAAGGGCTACCCCAGGTTCCCCACTCAGCAGAGCCCCATTTAAGCCTTGGAAGCTTCAGGTGAGGAAAGCCTCGCTCAGAAGGGCAGCTGCCTGCTGCTGGGGTGGAGGCAGGCAGGGGGTGCAGGAGGAACCCCTGGTAACCAGACCCAGCGCTGCAAGGGGAAGCTCTCCAGTGATACCCACTATTAAAAACCCAGGACCTCATCTGTCAATGTCAGGGCAGCAGGAACGGCTGCAGGAGGAAGGGCTCAGCCCCTCACTGCAATGGTGCTTCCCTGGGGGGGGACAGGGAGGCCGGGGCTCACGGATGGTGACAAAGCAGCAAGAGCAGCTCCCAGTGCCCCCAGGAAGCTGGAGTTACTGGGGGCTCCTCCAGAGCTCTCTGTCCCACAGCCACATGGAGCTCAAGTCCTGCCAGACCCTGAGCCCTTCTGCTCCCCGCTGGGGCTCGTGCGTGGCCACCACCACCACAGGCGGTGGCAGCATCCCAAGAGTGGTGCAGGCATTGGGCTCCCCTGTTCCAGCCCTCACAGCTCAGATTTGCTGCTTCAAGGAGCCCAGCTCCACACTGGGGGTAAGAAGCCTCCTCCTTCCCAAGACCAGGGGCAGAACCTGGAACGTGATGGGAAGCAGCAGGGAGCAGGCACACGGCTCCAACCAGCAGCACCAATGCAATTGCGCACATGCAGAGGCTGGAGCATCACCAGCACCTGCAGCACTCAGGGACGGTGACACCCACAGCGCCTGTTCCCAGCACAGGAACTGCTCCGGTGGCAAGCAGGAGCCCCCCCAGCTTGGCCTCCACAGGGAATGCCAGGGGAATGACCGGCTAACGCCGTGCTCGGGGCCTCTGCCCACTGACTGTCATCGCCAGCGTACAGTTTGGAACCACCTTTCCCAGAGCTGCCAGGCACCTGGAGGCCACCAACGTCACTCAAGGCAAACGCTGCCACTGCTCCACACTCCCCCAGCTAACCCTGGGTGGAAGGAGCGCATCCACTCGCCAGGAGCTGGGGTAAAACCCTCCAAGAACAGGACCTGCGTTGAAGCCATCGGCCTTCCCAGGGCCCCTGCAGGCTTACACACACACCAGGGCTGGTGTCTGGGTGCGAAGCCTTGGGACAAGGGGAGGAAGCAGACACGGCAGTGCTGGGGAGCCATGGGAATGGCTCTTTGAAGGGGACACACGTGGAGGATGAGTGTCCTGCTGTTACGAGGTGAAACTCACTGATAGGTAAAGAGAAACAAGCTGGAAACCATCCCCAAAGGCGGATGTACAACAAAGGGCAAAAGCTGCTGCACACCAGGGCTTCGGATGCTTTGGTCCATCACCAACCCTCACCCCAGCGCACAGCACCAGCGCTGTGCAGAGCCCAGGGGCAAACCCAGCCACCTCCAGGGCTCTTTTCCCTCCCCATTCACGAGCTTAAACCAGAGTCCCCCCGTTGGCTGCCGCTGGCACCCGACCCATCCCGGCCGCTCTGGCGCAGCATCAAGCCCGCGGCTCCCTAGCGACGGGGTTGTCACAACCCAGCAGCGCTCTTTAACCTTTCTGCTGGCGCTGCGGGGAGCTTCGAGCGCACCCGGCCCCGGGAAACCCAACACCCGGCTAAATCGAGCGCAGCTCCCAGCGGAGCCCCGGCCGCGGCGCTCGGAGCCGAGCCAAGCCCAGCCCGGCCCCGGGGGAGCGAGCGGCACCGCGCCGCTGCCCTCAGCACCGAGGACTTCCCCGGTAGAGCTGCCCCTGGGCTGGGCCCATTGAGGGGAGAGCGGAAGACAAGGGAAAAAGGACAGCAAAAGAGCTTCTGAAGCCCTGCGGCATCAAGCGGTGACAGCAGGGAGCAGGCAGCATGAAGCCAAAGCACCAGGACGTGTCCATGTCGTGCCAGGCCATGGTGGCAACCACCAAGGTACCCCAGTAGAGAGGCGAGAAGCAAAGCTGTGGGTTTGAAAGCAGCATCAAGGCTTTTCATAAGGCCCCATTCACCAGCTGATAAGATCTCAACCTGCTCAGCCGCCCTTCAACACATAAACCCATGGAAACATCATCTGCATCTTAGCTCCAGCTCTAGTCCAAGTTCAGCAAATCACCTCCATACCAACTCAACTATAAATGCATCAGAGGAAGACTCCATTCCTGGGTTATCTCCCCCTTCCAGCACTTGCTCTCAAATCACCCTCAGGGAGGTGACAAGTCCTGAACACAGGAATGGTTTTGCACAACCCACCCAGCAATATGGGTTTTACACCTCTGCCAGCCTGCCCTGGCTGCAGGGCATGGGCTGAAGCAGCACTCTGAAACCCCAGCCCTGTCCTGTTATGCTCCTGTTTGTACTGCCCTGGGTCTGGGAATGGCTCCTGCCCCCAGGTCCCTGTTGAAGCCTCAACCAAACCCCGATGTTCAGCTCCTCCAGGACCCCATCTTTTACATTTTCCTCACTGGAGCAGTTTTCCAGCACGTCAGCACTTTCCTCCCCAGGGGACCGGTTACACTGACACCAGCCCATGGGAGACACAGCATGACCCCAGAGAGCTCCAAGTGCCCCATACCCTTGTAGGGCACAGCAGCCCCCAGGTCTGAGGACTGGAGGAGGCCGTGCTTGCAGGAGAAGGTAATGCCTTTTATTAGACCCCATGAGACGGCTGGGGAACCACGGACAAGCTGTCAGGCACACAAAGCCTTCCTCAGGGCTGCAGCAGAGGCCATGTAGGGCCATCACGGAAATCCTCGCTCCATCCTCGCAGGGTTGGCATCTGCTCCAGCTCAGCAGCCTTGTTCTCTTGCTTGCCTTCACATTCTTCCCCAGCTCATCATCACTGCGGCTTTCCTGACTCAGAGGTATGTGCTGCTCCTGGAGCTGGCACTCGAGCCTGCAGCAGGTTCCTTGCCTGCCACCATTGAGGTCCTGCGATGTCTCCATGCAGCAGCTGATACGGAGCAGCTCCACTGTGCCAGGAAGGTGAAGGCAGAACAAGGGCCAAGCCACATCCCTGCGGTGAGCCCAACAGGTCTTTGCTTTCAGGAGAGCATTATTACAAGTTCCTCTTGCTCCAATCTTGCTCCTTGGGCTGCATCGCAGCAGGGTCAGGCCAGCCCCCAGAGCCTTGCACACTTCCAAGCCTCAACCAAAGAACCTGCTCACCTCCTTCCTGCTGACAGCTTAACACAGCACCTGCCACACCAGCCTTTTCCTGCAAGTCCCTTTCTGAACCACACCATCACCATGTTAGCAGAACAGTAACAGCAAAACAGGCACAAAAGATCATCATTCTGATGTAGTTGTACCCCTAACCCCTTTCTTGCCCTCCCTCAGCCTTTTGGAGTTACGTTTCTTGCTAAGACAAGTCCAAGGAAAGGCCTAAAACTGATTTTACAAGGTAAAGAAGCATCCTTAGTAAGTTTTAATCTAAGTTCGATCACCTCTCCACAATGCTGGAAGTTCTGCCCTCCAGCACATCGGAGCACTTGGTCTATATTTAGTTCTGGCTGCACTAGACTGGTGAGGAGATGACGTCTATTGAGCCAAGAGAAGGGCCCTGGCAGGAGCCAGGGAGGCAGCTCTCAGGCAGTCATTTGCCAGTGAAGCAATTCCACAAATAGAATGACTTCAGCTATAAAACAGGAAAAGGTTTAATATTTGCATATACAGAGAACTATAAAATGTGGGCAAGATTCACATTAGTGCTCATCTACATAAACATCAACAAGAAAGGTCAGACCTGCAATATGCTGGCTTGCAGAAGCTCCACATTGCTTAACACAAATCAAGCTTAATACAAACTACAAACCCAGAAAGAGACAACTGAAACCAATAGATAGATGTACAAAGGCAGCTCCTCCAGATGCACACAAGCAGGATACCAAAAACTCTTCTGCAGGAGAGGGATTCAGCCCAGTAGCAAGAGCGAGCCAGCAGGCTGGGAGTTTTATTTAGTTCAGGTACACAATATCTGTATACAAAACCAAAACCTGGTCTAGTCTTTAGAGAGCAAGAGGTGGGGAGATGAAGTGAGGCCGTGTGGCAGGGCCTGTTGCTGTGCCTCAGGTGGAGGTAAACTACTCAAGAGAACAATAATGGAACAAGGCTGAGACTGAGCAGTCACATAAGAATGACTCTTCCCTCCCTACCAAGGGAGCAGAGAAGGATAGGATCTCCCTCTTGTCATCACATGGACGTGAATCAGCACCGGAATCTATCTGAGAAGTTGGGAGACTTTGGCATGGTCAGTGGCTGCTCACTGGACTTCACCTCTAAGCTGCGGTATCTGCGTATTGGGTTTGCCTTGTGAACCTGTGGAACCAGAAATAGAGGATGAAGTGAAGGACACTGCTGAGGTACGATGAAGCTGAACCTTGCAGGGGAGTACCAGTGGAGGGAGGGACCAGGAACACACAGAGCAGCTTTGGGGCAGTGAGTTTAAGAGATTACTCTGCTCCAGTGACAATGGGTACAGCTCCAGAAATCAGTCACCGCAGCAGAGCTGCCTTTTGGGCCTGTTTAAGACCAGTTGTAAAGTTAACAAGGAGTCAGTTTGTAACAGGGAACCTTAGAGTCTTAAGGCAGCTCCACATTGACATTAGCTCATTTACTCTATTCACACATCCCTGTGGGTAACTCTACAGCTCCTGTTCAGAAACAGCTCACTTACCATTTCTTGCCTTAGCTTAGCAACTTCTTCCTTCTCACGCTCCTCTTGCTCCTGTTTCACCTTCTCTTGAAGCCTCTCCTTTACGGCCTCTTTGTCTGCCAAGTACTTTTCAAACTCTTGCCGCTCTTTAGCCCTTTTTTCCGTTGCCAGCTCAAAGCTTTCAGGAACTACAGAACCAGAAAGGCTCTCTAAGTTTAGAAATAGAGGAGATAACATTGGTGCAAAGGCAGTCAGGTAAAGCAAAGCAGTACTAGTGTCATGGAAGCCTCCCTCTGGAGCGCTTCACCTTGCAAGGGTAGTTAGTAAATACCTCCAGCAGTGTTACTGCAGATCTTACCCCACCATGGGTGTTCTCATAGGAGGGAGCAAGCACACACAATTGTTAGTACAAACAAGCTTTGGGTTGGTTTATACCCTACAAAGTTTAGTCTACCCCATGGTGTAGATGCCTTCATCTCATTAGAGATGGGAGGAAAAGACTGACAGCTGCTGCAGAAATGCCAGCTGTCCCCACAGGGAGCTCCTCACACGCTATTTACCCTTCTCCCAAGCAGGCATACATCAATCACCCCCCAATTGCAGCAGAGCTGCTAAATACAGCTGCCAGGTTACTGCAGGACAGGGGCAGCAGGGAGGAAACTCCCCCGCTCCCTGGGGACACAAGCTGTTAGGGAATTAGTTGATTAAGTGCAAGGCACTACTGGCTGTGCTGATAAAGAGGCAACAGCCAGTCTAAACATCATTTAATTGCATGAGTTATCAGCCAAACCCATGCAGCAAGTACTGCACCTGATAACAACTTATTCTCCTTCTTGGGCACAAAAGGCTCCTGGTACACCACTGTGTTGGGACGTGCTTTAAAACAAGCTGCCTCTTTCTGCTTTTTCAAGTCTTCTTTAAGCTGCAAGAGAAGAGAGCCCATCAAGTGCCAGCTATAGCAAGAAAGACCCCTGCCCATCAGCACTCCCAGCACTGGAAAAGCCACTTTGACTTGGATCAAGTCATTTGCATATAAAATTGTATTAAAGCCAAAGAGTTGCATCACTTGTTCCTTCCAGTTACTTTTGCCAAAAATAGCCTGAAAACTGAGGGAAGGTTCAGGAGTCCACTGCAGACATGAGAAGAGCAATGTGGTATTTATGTGTCAAGAAATCCCCACGATGGTCACAGGGATGCAGCTGCAGGAAACCCCATCACTTACCAATAAAAGGAGAAAAAACACCCCAAAACAACCCACCAATCCTTAACCCATAGCACAAGTCTCATGCTCAAGCTCAGCTCCTGATCCCTCTCAAGCAGGACAACTTCTGAAGTCCATTACAACTCCACCAGCTGCGTTGTCTGGTCACCCTGTTATACCTTTCCCATCATCCTACCTGCTGTTTCCAGCTCTGGAGCTTGGCAGCTCCCCTCTCATCCACCTGCAGATTGAAGGGCTCAGGCTGAGTTGGCTTTTTGACCTTCTTTTCTGGCAGTTTCACGTGGTCAAAGTATGGCAGAGGCAGTGCTTTGAACTTGGGCACCTGAAAGAAACACCTTGGAATGTTTCCTGCCCTTCCCTCAAAGGCACAAAGCTTTGGGAGTTGAACAGACAGCAGCAAGAGGCAAGTCCTGCAGAGCTGTATTGTTTAAGGGATGGGATCCAGGGCAGCTTTATAGTTCTTACCTCTTCCTTCTGCAATTCTTCAATCTTTTTCTCTTTCTGCATTTGCCGCTCCTTGTCACGGGCATCGAAAGAGAAGGGGCAAACTTCCACGTGCCTCTGCTCTGGCATTTTAGGCTTGAAGGGCACTCCGTAATGTGGCATGGGGTTGGCTTTAATGACAGGCACCTCTTCTTTTTCCTAAAGGGATTTTAGTGTTAGGATCTGACACAGCACCAGATTGTATTTGTAGGAAGACTGCAAGTCCTGCCAAACAAAGCCATGAATATTCCAGTTCCTTTAACCAGTGTCACAGCAGCACCAGGCAAGCACTCTGGGCACTGGGAGAATTACTATTACAGAAAGTACCACAGACAAGCTCTTCTTTCCAGTCCACTATCAGTTCTAGTACTTATCTAAATTAGACTCTAACAGAGAGAAAGGAGGAAGGACTGAATGCATTCTGAAACCTGCTCCCCATCTCCAGGGATCTAGGAGGTGTGGGTACAAGAAAGGTCACGTGCAGTATCTGCCCTTCTCAGTAACGCAATAGGGAAGGGGCAACATCCTTTAGAAATGGAAGCTGTTCACTTCCCTCATTCATAGCAGCAACCCCAGAAACCCCCAATGCCCTTGGTTAAACCGAGTTATTTTATGTGAGAGTTCAGTTGCTGTTAGAGGAGCACCCTTCAGAGGGAATGGCACAGGGGAAGATGACACCTGGGGGAGCTGCCCTGCAGGAGGGGAAGGGCTGACCAAAGCAGACCCCAGCCCCCAGCAGGCAGGGATACAGCAGTCACTGCGGTGGCACCATGAGGCCCAACAACAGCTTAGTCCCAGGTTACCTTTTCTTCATCTTTGCCAGATGTTCGGGTTCTGCTTTTCAAGGTGAAGACTGGAGACTTGGGGACTGTAACAGGAAGAGCTTTCTTCTCTGGAACACCCTGCTCAGAAGAACCAGTAAGGAGTTACCCAAGAGCAAACACTACAGGGAAACCACCTGAAGTAGCACAGAACATACTAGTAGCAGTTCTTACCTAATGACAGACAGCACTTACTGTACATTATTAAACACGTAACATAGCTAAGGACATTCAGATGCCAATCACTACCTCAGTCCCAACTCCCAGCTCTAAGTATTCCCAAGCTTCTTACCACAACATCCTCCAGGATTTTCGTGGGACATGGCCTGGAATGGAATTCAAAGTGCTTTTCCTCCTGCTGCTTCTTACTCTCACGTTCCTGAATCCTTTTTTCTATCTCCAAATCAAAGCCAATGGGCTGCGTGAGTGCCTTCACAGTGGGTTTCTTGGGCAGGAGTGGCCCACCCTCAAAGATTCTGTGATTGAGTTCTCGTGCTTTGAATTTGTACCTACACAGGAAAGGTGAGACAGTCACGACACTGTGCATGGCAAGATGCAGCTTCTAGCAAAAGGCTTCTTTCAGCATAACAGAGTAACAGGCAGGTCCAGGAGGAGCTGTGCCACACACACACGTTCCGTAGTGTGCAGCTCTAGTTAGCAACAACTTGGCTTTTGAAACATCAAGGTTTCAGGTAAACCTTCAGGATTGTGTTCTTGGGAATCCAAAGCTTTGTCTAAAGCAGTTTTGAAGTGTGTGCAGGCTGTCCTGCTACAGTGAGTTTGCTTTACCAGTCATAAGCTGTACCCAACCCAAGATCAGCTTTCCTAAGAGCACTTCTCACATCCCTATCACAGCCATAGGGCTATGCACAAGCTAAAAGAATCCCAATGGTTTTATGCTACTCATTCTTTCACACAAAAAGAGTAATCCTGAGAAGTGGTATTATGGCATCCAAAAGATGTTTCCAGTGTGGTACAAATGTCTCTCGGAAGACTAGAATAATCCTTTACTTACTGTTGAAGTTTCTCTATTTCCTCTGCTTCTAACTCTGCTGTAGTTTTGCAGGTGGTAGGTCTGAAGCGCTGCTTTGTCAGAAGCAATGGTGTTTTAGGGTTGGTAAACCGAGCTTTCACAGCCTTCCCTGGAGGTGGGCCTATAAATTCAAGTCACAGAGACCAGCAGTCAATGGCAAGGCCTGCAGCAGCCACAAACTGCTCAGTAGAGCAGTCAAAGCATCCTTATTGCTCTACCACCAGTGCTGTGGGCAGCCTCCTGGCTGGACACTGCCAGGACTGCTCACCTTCATTAGATTTCCTGCTCCTCAAATGGTAACGAGGGGGTGTGTGTTTTTGGAATGCTTCTACCTGCTCAGCAAGGGACACGTATTCGGATGTGCTCTCTTCAAGTTTTCTTTTGTTTCCCTGGGACAGGTTGAAAGGTTTGGCAATAGTGGGTCCCTTCAGTGGCCGCATCTGGAGACAGAAAACGCTTATCATTATGGCCATTTCACACAGGACACTGGGATGATATTTCCTTTCCCCATCAATTCAATAGTTTCTATCCCTTCCTTTATTGGAAAGGTAACACTTAGCATTAGATACAGACTTAAGTGTCTGAAGATGCTAGTCATATTGGGAAACTGTATGAAGTGGAAGATACAAAGATCTGACATTACAGGGTCCTTTAGAGTCTTAGTGGCAATGCAGATACAGAACGAGTTAACAGTTAGGTTTGCACACCCCTTGCTGCTTCTCTGGTCACCCTCTTTGCAAATGTGTTGCAAAAGCAAGAAGAGGGTGATGTCAAAAAGGAGTCAGGTGCCTGCTGGGAAAAACCCAGATCTCACCGGGGAGGGAGGATGCTTCCTTAGCTCTGCTGCAAAATCCACCTCCTTGTACTCGTCCCTGGGCTGGCTTTCCACATGCTGTTTAATCCTGTTCTCTGTGCAGAAGTGGAAGTCAACTGCCTTTGTTACTTGACCAACAGCTCTCCTCACAGGTTGTCCTAAAGGAAAAAGAACAGGTAAGGTCTGGAAGGGAGGGTCTTGGGGGCGAGGGGGGAAATGTGTGTATGTGGTGTTTAATTTAGAACTTGGACAGTTTTAGAGAACTCATCTGTAACCTTTCCAACCCCAACAAAACCCAAGCAAGCCTTTTTCTTGCCAGTTTAGGGGCTATTCTACATTAAAATCCTTCTAATACTTATTACAAGATCCATAACACATGGAGTGTTTTTAAAGGAGCTCACTCAGCTCTGTGCAACACTCTCCAGCCCATCCCAGTACAGCTGCAGTGCAGGTAGGGCTCACCTGCTCCAGCAATCGCTGCTTTCAGAGACTCCTCATTCTTCCTCCTCATCTCCATAACCTCCCGCTGGAATTGCTGCATCTTTTCCAGCTCCTGTTCCTCTGTACTCTTCAGCTTGCCAGAATGATTGGCCCTCCTGCAGAAGCAAGTTAAAGGCTGAGACATGTCTTCCTGCTTATTGGCATATTGATGTTAGTGCAAGGAACATGCTTATCTGACTTCATGGCAAGAACATCATTACAGAGGTACACTATTTAGAAGAGATCTGGCTGGATTTTGCTGGAGCTGAAAGCTCACAGCTAACTGCTGCTCTGCACACCCACGTGCTGTATGAACACCATCAGCAAGAATGGCTTTCTCCTGAAGTTCGAAACAAAAGCTTTCCTTTGCACATGTTCAGCTGGTGAAGTATATTTCATCCTAACATTGTTTGCCTTGGTCTGGTGTTTGCTAAATGTGATATCATCACATGCTACCTTGAAGCTGAGAACACCCTAGGCCAGGGCTGTCACCTAAATCAACTGTGATTAGCACAAGCCATAAGAAAGATACGTACTTTAACATGGTTGGCGTGGAGGGCATGGTCAGTTTACTCTTCCCTCTCCCTGGGGAGAGCCCACGACTCTGCAGGGGCTCTTTCTCGGTGGATCCTTCTGTCTGCCTCTCTCTGTTGCTAGAACTAAAGGTAATCAGTTATCATCATTGAATCCCAGACTGGTTTGGATTGGAAGAGATCTTAAAGCTCATCCAATCCCTACTCCTGTCACAGGCAGGGACCCCTTCCACTGGAGCAGCTTGCTCCAAGCCCCTGTGTCCAACCTGGCCTTGAGCACTGCCAGGGATGGGGCAGCCACAGCTTCTCTGGGCACCCTGTGCCAGCGCCTCAGCACCCTCACAGGGAACAGCTTCTGCCTAAGAGCTCAGCTCAGTCTCCCCTCGGGCAGGTTCAAGCCATTCCCCTTGGCCTGTCCCTACATCCCTTGTCCCAAGCCCCTCTCCAGGTTTCCTGCAGCCCCTTTAGGCACTGGAGCTGCTCTAAGGTCTCCCCTTCAGGAGCCTTCTCTTCTCCAGGCTGCCCCAGCCCAGCTCTCAGCCTGGCTCCAGAGCAGAGCTGCTCCAGTCCTTGCAGCAGCTCCGTGGCCTCCTCTGGACTGTGACAAACCACTCAACTGTGCTCTAAATGAAAGGTCACCTGCAGTGCTCACCCCATGCACACCCTGACACCGGTGAGTTCCAAGCTGTGCCTGACCAGCCTTACCTCACCACAGGCCCAGGGAGAGAGCGCTTGGTTTTCCCTGGTGCCCTAGGGCTGTAGAAGGCAAGATGAATTACTGAGTTATGGGAACTGTGGCTTTTCTGGAGGAGGCAGATGTATTGTAGCTCATTTTGGCCCAGCAATGTTTAAAAGATCACAGTTCAGTTTTGTGACCTCAAGCTCATCACCATATGGTGATCTGAGTGGTTACATTTATTTGAGAACTATTTTGGCTGTGACTTTCTCCTAGCTTGTGACTGTAGCCCAATGACCTCCTGATGGACAAGTTAAAGCCCAGTTTGAAGCTGGCTGACAGACACTGACAATGCAGCAAGAAGGTTCAGAAACCCAAGCTTGTTTCATGCGCATCTCTACCTCTAAATAGTGTTTCCTTCAGGTCTTACAGCCATTTCTTCTTGTTTATGAAACCAGCATCAGGAATCAGGTTTCAGTCACCTCTTCATAACCTTCCTGCAAGAACCCTCTCGCCATGTGTAAATCCTTTCCAATGGAACACTCGTATCCCCCTTCCCAGCCCCAAACCCTGATGACGTACATTCTCCTTTTCTTTGGAGGTGGAACCTCTTCCTTATTAGCCAAGGCATTTCCCTCTGCTTTGACTCTAGCTGCCTGGGTGTGTTGCTGTGCTTTTCTCTGCCTCATGGCCTGTCTTCTGCCCGCTCTAGAGTAGAACAGAAAACAGAGGTTAGCTTTCCCACAGCTCTGAGAGGGCACAGGGTCCATCCAACACTTTTCCCATCACTGCATCACCTAACTCCAGCATGTCCCCTACGCAAAGTGGGTGTTTAACACAACAACCCAGCATTAATTACTTCAGGTTAGCAATCCATAAACTTAACATTCTTTAGGATATACGAGAATAGAGAACCCCTTGCATTTATATCAGGAACGAGTTCTGCCCAAGTCCAGCAGATATAAACAAAGAAACTTTATAAGCCACTTCAGTTTCAGATGTCCTCACATTCCAGGAGCTCCTGGTGCTGCCGAGCCTCGTTTCACAAGTATGTGAGACACTGCATTACATTTCCACCCTGGAGATTGTCCCTCCAGCTCAGCAAGCAGATCAGATATCCCAATATAAGATCTCTTGCTGAAGAAGCCCAGAGGATGCCCCAAGAACAGCAAGCACTGCAGATCCTGGGAGCACAGACCCGCTTAGTTACAGCTATCAATGTGAATAGAAGTACGTCACCTTTGAGGGGCCTCTGCAGGAGCAGCAGCTCTCCAGCTTGTCAGGGATCCAACAATATTCTGAGGAACCTCATAGGCCTGCATGCATTCTGCTTCCCCATCGCCTTCACCTGAGGACAGTGACAAACACCAACCCCTATGTACACACACATACTCAGGCACAGAAGAACGCTCAAGTGAAGCTACGTGAGACCTTGCTAGACAGCAACACACAAAGATGGTCCCACAAAAGCCAGGCTGAGCAGGTAACATCTCTTCCCTCCCTGCATGCCATGCCAGCTTACCCATTGTCATTTGTTGTGATGTGACAGACAGAATAATATCAGGCTTGGAAAAAGCAGGGCTGTTCTGGGAGCCATTTGCCAGGTTTCCCGCAGGAGGGATGTTCTCCAGGTTGGCTTGTTGGTCTGTGAGGAAAGAGAGAATATTCACTGTATGCTTTTAACAATACCTCACGATATCATTAGGATGTTAACAGTCAGATGACAAGGGAGAGATGACAATCAAAGCTTAAATACAAACCCACCCCCAGGCATGAGGCACGATGCAGGGAACAACATGACTAATAACTGGCACAGGAGGCCCAAAACAAGGACCACGCCAAGCCCTCTCCCAAAGAGCAAACAACACCAGGAGCTGGAAGCGACTTACCAAACCAGGAGTCTGCACCGGGTGCATCGTCCTCCTCGCCCAGAGTTGCAAAGTCGATGCAATTGTTTGGGACATCGAAGGAATAGCGAGATTCCGGGTGGGACATCTTCACCTGCAGCCTCCTCCACGAGTCCCACTCGTGCTCCTTCGGACAAGCACTGGTCACCTGCTAGACCAAACCCAGGGCAGTGTCAGCTCAGTCGCTCCCCACCTCTCTTCCTCTGTGTGGCTTCTAGAGAGAGACACGGGAGAGGGTTGAATCCATCCTGTAAACCCCAGCCCCTGATGGTTTGCTGTGTAGCTGCAGGTGCCAGAACCGTGTTTTTAAAGGGAAGCACAAAGGCTTCCCAGGGAGTGACCAATTTGCCCACTCACCCCACACAAACAGTCCTTACCCTCAGCAGGGCACAGGTTTATGAAGCAAGAGCCCGGGGCTGAGGCTGACCCCAAGCACTGCACAGCGCAGCCTTTCTCCCTCTGAAGGGCTACAGACAAGGGCTAATGACACCATGGGCTCTTCTACAGGCTAAAATGATGCTCAAAGCAGGAAGAGAGCTCTGCAGAGCATTGTTACCGGGCAAGAGGCAGGAAGAAGGGCGGTGTAGGGCCCTTCTGCATTCCAGGGCACTACCCTGGGCTGGCCAGGCTATAAACAAGCCAAGCTCTGCACCAGGAACAGTTATTTAGTGGAGCACTGACAGCAGGAGGAGGCCCGGTGTGAACGGGTGATCTCAAACCCAAGGGAAGAGGAACAAAGCCAGTGGCCATTTATAAACCCTTATAAAGTGTAACAAGCCCTTCATTTTGTGAAGGTGTTTTCCTGATGCCTCACACAGCTGCAGGGCAAAGCCCATGAGGACGCATTCCTTATCAAACACTCCCTGAGGAAATCACCTGAACTCTGCTTCCACGAGTCCAAGCAACTTCTAAAAGCAGCATACCCTTAATCTGCAGCATCTCAGACCCAAGCCATCTGGCCAGGCAGACCACACACTGCTCAATCCCCACGGTACGCACCACGAATGAGATGGTCAAGGGTAAATCAAAGCAGCGGTCTGGGGGTGCCCCACTCCTGAGGATGGGTGCATGGAGTTCAGCTCCCCATCAGCTACACAGCTACGAGGATGTCAAGGTAGGACCCAAAGAAGGCAAACAGGAGAACTGGAGCCAAAACCAACTGTAACGGAGCTGGAGCCGGGGCTGGGACCGAATGCTTTCCTACTGCCCTTCATCAAGATAAGGTTGCTGTCAGCACTATCCACTTTTTCAAAATCAAATGCGTCATCTGCATTCCTCCCTCACCCTCCCAGTGCCCAGAGCCGGGGATTGGGAATCAAGTTTCACAGCTACTTGTGTCCACTGCTGCTGCTTTTCACTGCGGAAAGCCCGTGTTCTGTCCCAGCGGCAGGACCCGGCTCTCCCCTCCCTCCATCCCAGGAGGAAGGGAAAAGTCATGGGAAGAATAGGAATGCATTAGTGCTATGGTTTCATACTCCAAGTTTCTGGACAGAGCCAGTGGGAGGTGAGAGCTCTGCCCGAGCTCCAGGGGGTCCATGGCAGTCAGATGAGCTCACGGCATCCACTCCTCAAATCCCTCCGTATCCCTGAGTGCTGCACGGAGCAGGAGGAGCCGCAGTGCACCGAGAGGCATCTCACTCCTCCAGCCATGGGCTCAGCCTGGGACACAGCTCCTGTCAGCTGGGAACCTTCCAGTGATTTATCGCTGCGATGTGTCCACTGCAAACGCTCCCAAGATCCAAACAGGCGCCACGGAGCTGCTGCCCAACCCCTGGAGGCATTTCCATCGAATCAAGGAATGGTTTAGGTTGGGAGGGACCTTAAAGCTCCTCCAGCTCCAACCCCTGCCATGGGCAGGGACCCCTTCCACTGGAGCAGCTTGCTCCAAGCCCCTGTGTCCAACCTGGCCTTGAGCACTGCCAGGGATGGGGCAGCCACAGCTTCTCTGGGCACCCTGTGCCAGCGCCTCAGCACCCTCACAGGGAAGAGCTTCTGCCTAAGAGCTCAGCTCAGGCTCCCCTCGGGCAGGTTCAAGCCATTCCCCTTGGCCTGCCCCTACAGGCCCTGATGAAAAGTCCTTCTTCAGCATCCTTGTAGCCCCTTTCAGATACTGGAAGGCTTCTATGAGGTCTCCACACAGCTTCTCTTCTCCAGGCTGAAGAAGCCCAGCTTTCTCAGCCTGTCTCCAGCCTCCTCTTAAAAACAGGAGACAAAATTCCCTCTCCACACTGGGGCACTCTTCCACCAGAAGCGAGGTGCAGAAACTTCTCCTCACTATAAGGCCATTTGCTAATGGGCAGGCACTGTGTGCATTCACCACCCTGGTTACACCCTGCTCTCCCCACATCCATCACCCTCTGTGCTGACACGAGGGTCCGCAGAGCATCACAGGGAGCCAGGCAGGGAACCCTCACCCCTGTAACCCAGGATCAGCTCTCCTGGTTCACAGGAGCTGCTCACACCTCACTGGTGCTCAGGATGAGGATCGGGTCCTTTCCTTTCCAAACCAGTCCAGATCCTATTGGTAGAAGTGACCAAAACCTTCATGCTCTTCCAGGGCTGCTCCTCTGGCAGCCCCACACAGAGCAGCGCAGCCGTGTCCCCACAGAGGAACTGATGAAGGGCTCCTCTGCACATCAGGTTTCTTCTGAGCAACCCCACTTTGACACGTTCCAGGCCTGCTTTACATTAGTTAGCTTTGAAAAGGATTAAGCTAAATTGGAACAAGCATTCCCATCCCAGAATAAGACTGACCCAACAGCAAGTGCAACAGGTATTTCAGAATAACTTCACACCTCACTGTAATCCATATTAGCTTTGAAATGCCAACACGATTCCATCATGGATGCACTCAGCATCATTTGCTCAATGTGGCTGTTAATTTATTGCCCAAAACATTTCTGCCACCCAAGGCTGGAGAGGAGGACTCCAACCAGACCTGTGCAGCACGTCAGACTCTGCACCAAGTGCATTGTAACAGATACAACCGCATATCCCGAGGTGCTTCAGCAGATGAATCTGAAGCCTGGTGACCCACAGGCCTCAAAAGCTGAGATGGGCAATTGGGAACAAGCAAGAGACGCTTCCCAAAGGCTGAGAAAGCTGCATAGTAACATACTACAGTAACTCCAGTGCCTTCTGCTGGGTGCTCAACGCCAGCTGCAACCAGTTTAATTCAGCCTTGATTCTCCTGAAGCCCAAAGCTTTCCCCTCCCCTTCATAGGGGCAATAACCCAGAGACCCCAGGTGCTTTTCAGTGGTTAATATGGGAACCGGACCATTGCAAAGGGCTGAAAACAGCCTCTCCATAGGTACAGCCCTGTCACCACAGCCTGGTGGGAAGCTCCCACCCCAAAGCTGTCCCTTTGAATTCCTCCAGCACACCAGCAGCAGCCACTAAGAGGCCTCATCCCTGCTTTTCCATGGGTTAAGCGATTTCCAGCTTGTCCTTCCCATCCCTCAATGCTTTCACCTGCTTTCCCACAGCACAGCCCTGAGCTCATCCACCTGGGTACAGGCCGGAGGCAGCCCTGCTGCTCCACCACGATACTCACAGTGGGAGACAAAGCCTTTGCCTCTACACAGGCAAGAGGTGAGCACGCAGAGAGCTTGCCCATGGTACCAGGGGTGTGGGGCTGGAGCTGAGCTTCCCCTGCAGCAGCTTTTGCTCTGCTCTGGGCCCAGCCCCGCGTCCTTTCCCAGAGCCCAGAATAACCCACGCTGATGCCTCGCACTCCATAAAGGAGGTCCCACAAGCCGCAGGAGACAGGAAGAGCGGCAGCCTAAGGATAGCACATTATTTTTAGCGGGTAGAACCTCAACTTATTGTTAGGTTAAGCTGAGGCTCCTCTAGCTTTAAAAACGCATGCGATAAAAATAACTTCTTTAATACCTTTCCCGTCACTTAAGCCGGGTTTTGCCCGGGTTGCTTCCCTCCTTTTCCAAGCAGCAGGGTTTACTTTAAGCGGAGGCCACGTCGGTTTATCCTTGATCCAAACTGGAGACACGAACTCCTGCAGGGTGCGAAGGAGCAGTCGATGCCAGAGCCGAGCGGGCAGCCCGGATCGGTTCAGCACGGCAAGCTCCGTGCCCAGCTCCCCCCTGTCCCACGCAGCTCCAGCGCGACCCGCCCGACACCAACCGGCTCCCAGAGCCCCGACCTGCTTTGGGCCTCTGTTTCCCAGCCGCGCCCTGCGGACCCGCGTTACCGGATAGCCGGGCACGGAGCACCGGATCTCGGATAAGGCCGCGGCCACCGCCCGGTAACGGCAAACCGGCTAGGGAAGGGGAGCAAAGCCGTGACCACACAGCACGGATAAAGGAAGCCGCCCGGTAACCCCCAGCCGCTTCCCCCCTTACCTCCGTCCAGCAGCCGCCCCGCGCGGCGCCTCCACTCGCCACCGTTAACGGATTTCAAACGAGGCTGGTTGTTCCAAACCGACCAATCAACGCCTCGGGAACGCCCTCGGTGCGTGCCGATTGGGAGGGCCGCCAAGAGGCCAAAGAACCCGGATGAGCAAACCCCGCCTTGCACAAAGCTGGCTGCCCGCAAAGGCTGAAGGGAAATGTAGTTCCCAAGCGCAGGACGCCACTGCGGGGAGGCGACACGTAAACAACAACTCCCATAAAGCACTGCGCGGTACGGCCCAGCCAATCAGGCGAGACAACGGGTTGAATGGTGTTGGGTGAGGCCTATCAGCTGCCGGTAGGCGGGTCCCGCAGCAGGGCTGGTGGGGCGGGTCGCCGGTGCACGGCTGTACCGCACTTGGTTACCGGGTCAACTGGTTGCGCTCCCCGGTACTCCGCCTGCAGCCGCGGCACCACCCACGATGTGGCCGCGGGCTCCCGCAGCACTGTGGAGAAACAACAGCGATCACACGGAGAAAGCCAGGCTGCTGTGAGGGGACAGGCGGCCGCGGGCTCTACCGTGCCCATGCGGTGTTGCACCGGCGGGGCCTGGAGCCGCCGGGGCCGCCGCGGGCTGGCGGGGCCAACAGGGGGCGACAAAGCACCGCCCTCCGCCCTACAGCTCCGTGCCTGCGCACTGACAGCGGCCGTTCGGCGCATGCGCCCAGCCGCCTCCTGCCCTCTCCCACCCTACCGCACCCCCCCCGGCGTGGCCCAGCAGCGCGACGGGCGATGTGGAAGCAGCCCGGGGACTGCTGAGCGGGCCTCGGCCCGGCGGCGCTCCCGGCGGCCCACGGCGGAGCTGCCAACCGGGCCCCCGGGGTAGGGGCGGGAGCGATCCGGACCCTCCGCCGGCCGTGAGGTGAGGGGAGGAGTGGGGCAGGCCCTGAGCGACGCGGGGCTCAGCCAATGGGAGAGCTCGCTTCCAGGCCCCGCCCCGCAGGGCTCTCCCAGCGCCTGATTGGTTGGCGGTGAGGGGCGGGTCCCTTGCTCACCGCCCCGCCCCGGTACGGCGGCCGCGAGGGGCGGGACGGCACCGCGAGGGGGGAGGCTGCCCCCTGCTGGCCGCCCCCTGCCGCCTCCCGCCCCGGTCCCGGCGGCAGCACGGCCCGAACCGCAGCGACCGGAACCGCTCCCGTAAGAGCCGGGCGGCAGCGGCGACCCCGCGCTGAACGTGCCCCGTGAGCCCGGCCCTGGCGGCGCGGACTCGCCGGTTTGCGGCCGAGCGAGGGGCTTCGGGGGTGGGAAGGGCTGTGCCCGGTGCAGGGGGTGCGAGGGTGACACCGCGGTTACCGGCACACCGGGCCCCTCTCGGGGCTGCCGTAACCCTTGGCAACGCCGCTTGCCCGCTTCCGCCGGCCGCCGTTGGGCAACGCCGCGGAGAGGGGCGGGGGGAGCCGAGCCCTTTAACGGGCGGGGCCGGGGGCGGGGCTTCCTCCGCCTCCGCTGCGCTCCGGGACTGGCGGAGCGCGGCCGGGCCGGCCCGCAGCCACCGCAGCGCCAGAGCCGCCTCCCGCAGCCCGGCCCGGCCCGGCCCGCAGCCGCCTGCCCGCAGCCGGTGAGAACCGGGGGCTCCCTGGGGTCCAGGTTGGTTTCCCGGGAAGGGAATGTCGGGGGGGTGGGTGGATGGCAGCCGGTCCTTGGTGCGGCTCCGATCCGGTGGCCCTGAGTCACGGCAGAAAGGAGCTCGGTTTAACGATGAGCTGCCCGCATTAGCGGCCCGGTGCATCTCGGAGCTACGGCATTAACCGTTTCTTTGCCTCTCTCCTCTGCTGTGCGTGCAAAGGTCAGATGCTCCCATCGGCGGTGCAGAAGAAGAGCAGGGTCGGGAGCTGCTGAGTGCTGATCTGTGCGTGCTCCGGACCATGGACTCATTGAGGGCGCCCCAGGTGTGAAAATGTCCAGCAGCAACCGGGCGTTAGTGATTGACTTTGTGTCCTACAAGCTCTCGCAGAAGGGCCACAGCTGGAGCCAGCTGGAGGAGGAGGATGAGACCAGGACTGACTTTGCAGCCGAGGAGGTGGAGATGGACGGCGTCCTCAACGGGAGCCCCTCCTGGCACCCGCCCGCCAGCCACGTAGTGAACGGAGCCGCCGTGCACCGCAGCAGCCTCCAGGTCCACCCCGTGGTTCAAGCGGCCGACGTGAGGCAGGCGCTGCGAGAGGCTGGGGATGAGTTTGAGCTGCGGTACCGGCGGGCGTTCAGCGACCTCACATCCCAGCTCCACATCACCCCCGGCACCGCGTACCAGAGCTTTGAGCAGGTGGTGAACGAACTCTTCCGCGATGGAGTGAACTGGGGGCGCATCGTGGCTTTCTTCTCCTTCGGAGGAGCCTTGTGCGTGGAGAGCGTTGACAAGGAGATGCGGGTATTGGTGGGACGCATTGTGTCTTGGATGACCACCTACTTGACCGACCACCTAGATCCCTGGATCCAGGAGAATGGCGGATGGGTAAGATCTCCTCCCTCGCTCCGGGCTGGCAGTGATGCTGCTCACACCAGCAGTGTTTGTGTTAGCTCATGGCCTAGACCTTGGAGTGACATCAAGGGGCGCCTGGTCTTTCCCTCTGTGCTCTTATCACTCTGCCCCAAGAGGGTCAGTTCACTGCAGGGGCATAGTTTATGCTCAGATGCGTCCTTCTCCATCCCTGTTTTCTTCTCCCTATATGTTACGTAAGAGACCTGTTCTCAAGGAGCTTCTGGGAACCTAGTGTCACCCAAGCTTGTTCTTCAAGCAGGAGCTCCTGGCCATGTTCCTGGTGTCATTTAACAGCAGGGAGTGGAGCTTCCTCCTCTCTGGGCACCCTGTGTGTGATTTGTTGAGGTGACAGCGACTTCATTCCGGAGACAAGACTTTGGGTTTTGCCATGCTCACACGGAAGGGACCCCCCAGCACCTCCTGGGGGGCTGGTGGCTGCTGGGGCCTGAGGTGGGGACAGCCTCCACCCTGGGGAGCTGCTGGACCTGCAGCTGCTTCCCTGCTTGGCAGGGAGCGATGCTCCCAGCTGCCCCAGCAGCAAAGCCCTCGGCTCCTGCCGGTGGTGAGGTATTACCATGAATAAGCATTTCTCCAGGAAGCATTCCTGGGATGCCAGGTCCGGCTGTGCCGTGCTGCTGGGAACGGCAGGTCTCTGACCTACAGATGTCTTCGGTTTTCCTTCTGCTCCTGCATCTCAGTGATTCCCTGCTGGTGTAACCTTTACCGGCGCCCACTGGGAAGAGTTCAGGCTGTCAGGCAGGGAGCCCATCAGCAGGCCCCTGCGCCTCGGGAAGGGGCAGGAACCTTGGAGCTGTGCACCCTCCTGATGGAGGAGAGGTGCAGGAGCCCCAAAGAGCTCCCAGTGCCTTGCACCCGTGCTGGGGACCCCGGAGAAGGGAGCACCCATGGAACGGGAGCACCCAGAGAGAAGGAAGCTGCTCACCCACGGTGCAGGAATTCCAGGAATGCGGCTGCCCTGGGGAACTACCTGGGTGGGGCTGCCCAGGCAGAGGAGTTTCGATTAATAATGGGATCTGCTGCCCATTTCATCCGGCCCTCCGTGGCCCATTCGCTCCCTCATCCTGAGCATCCCCTTGGCCAAATGCTGAGTTCCTTCCCCCTCCCCTCTGCTTTGGGCTTTTAAAGGCACAGCTTAGTCTTGGCATTGAGCGCCGAGATGGAGGTTTCCGAGGGAGGCCGTTGCTGGTGGTGACGGATCGGGCTGTATCCTGGAGACCCGGCGTTAATGCAATCTCATGGGGGGGGGGGTGGATTTAGATTAAATCACTGGTGGAAAATCCCTGCTCCTGCGCAGGGAACCGAGCCCCTCCCCCCGCCGCCCTCGTCCGTTTTTTTTGTGTGTGTCTCTCTCGAAATTAATCGTTTGCAGCAAATATTTGCTCAGCGGATTGCGGAGGGGTCAGGACTCCTCTATCTGCCCCTCCCACCGGCTCTGCCTTTGAAGATCCCCGCTCCCTCTCTTTCCCACCCAAGGGAACAACCTTGCTCCCTTCTGCTAACCTTGAACGGGGCTTCTGACTGCGCTGCTCAGGCTCTGCTGGTGCCTGAAGGGGACGCGGGCAGGGTGGGGAAGGCTGTAGTGGGGAGAATCCACCCCACCGCCATAAAACCCCAGCACTGGGCAGCGAGTTCGATGTCTCCGTTTCCTCTGTGCTGAGGTTTCACCGTGCCCTTTTTGGGGCAGCTGTGCCACTCCACGTGAAGGACGCAGCAGCAGCAGTGGGTCTAAGGGGTATCTAGCTCATATAAGGGCTCCCGAGTGCATCACACATGGGGATGCTTCCCTTTGCTCTCACTCGCCTCCAGCTGCAGGCACAAAAGCGGTGGCCTGCTGCCAGCCCTCCCTGCCCTCGCTGTGATGGAGGGTCCCTCTCCTGCCACCCTGTTTGCACACGGAGCCTCTTTGGTACCTGGCGCTGTTAGAGCCTGTCCCACGCAAACAAAGCTCTCCCCCGAGGTGCAGCAGGCAGGGCCTGGGAGAGGGATGCAAGTTGTGGCAGGCCCTTGGTTTGTGCTCTGCAGCGCTGCATTGCTCCTCCTGCAGAGCCCCACGGAGAGAGGGATGGAGCACGGCTGCATCCCCAGTGTTGCACAGCCTGGCTGCGTAGGAAGCGCTTTCATTCCCCAGCAGAGGAACAAAGGCGAGCGTAGGATGGCAGCGGGATGCAGGTTGCCTTTGGAGGGGCCTGTTGAGGCTGTTGTGTGCTGGGCTGCAGCACTTCTCTTGTGAAGGCTGCTTTGAGGCGAGGGGGAAATGGTAAATCTGGCTGTGGGGTGAACGTGGGTGTAGTTTTGTCACGTTTGCTGGCTCTTGGGTTGCCTCCTCTGCAATCTGGCACTGAGAAAACAACCAAATAAGAACAACCCGAGGGGGGCATTTTATAACGGCCAGAAGAGAGCCAAAGAGGAGGCTTTTCTGGGGCAGCTGCTGTGACCAGGACCAGGTCCCATTGGCTGTGAAGTTCAGACATTGATCCCAGTGGGGATGGGGAACTGGGAGGGGAGGGAGCCCCACAGGCAGAGAGGTACTGACCGTGCTTAATCCGTGTGAGAGGGAAGGGAGCAGTAGCTGCTGCCTGGCTGTGCCCCTCCAGGGGATGACAGCTTCTCCTTGGAGGCTAAATCAGAGTGGGCTTGAAAGAGGGTGTTCTGGATCTGCGGACCCAGAGGCAAGAGGCTTCCTGTTTCCATGTGTATGATGGGGACCAGCATGAAGGGGCAGTGTCAGGCTGGGATGGAGAGCAAACAGCATCTTTGTCACCAGTGTGTGACATCTGATTCCTGACAGACTGGGCCTTTCCAACCCAAACTGCTCTATGATTTTGTATCTTTTACGTTTTCATCTTGAATGATAGGAAATGACTCAGCCTGTGTCATACGACAGCACAGCTGGGATTGCATCCTGGGCTCCTGCTCCAGCCTCCTCAATGGTTTCAGGTTGAGAGCCAGCCTTTGGTTCTCAGCTCTCTTCTGTGTCCAGGTACCCCACACAAGCCCTCCCTGCAGCCACTGTGTTACCTGGGTTACCCCGGTGCTCCAGAATCCTCACATCTTCCCAGTCCAAGCTTTTTGGGCAGTGTGGGATGAGCACAGGTTTGAATCGTGCTGCTGTTGTGCCCCAGGATTGCTTTACAGCCTGGATCCTTGCAGCTGGGATGATGCCCCCATTGTCATCACCTGCTTGGGATGAAAAGAACACTGTCCTGTCAGCCTTGTCCCATTGCAGGACTGGGGATCCCTCCCTGGCCATGGCAACTGGCAGGGCCTTGGCTGGGGCTGGCCCTTGGCACTGCTCTCCCAGGTAGCTCTGGCCTCACTGGAGGCTGCTCTGGCCTGAGCCTGCAGCTCCCCAGCAGCTCCTCACCCTGCCTGCGACCTGGGAGGCTTTTCTGCAGCTCTCTCCAGGAAATGCCATTGGAATGACTTCCACTGCAGCTTCCTGCCCGGCCCGCAGCAGCATTCCTGCTGCTGGAGCGAGACCCACGCAGAGGCGAGGTTCAGAGCTCTGCTCTTCACCCTGCTCCCTCGGTTCTTCACTGGGGCCCTGCCCTGCTTTTCCTCCCTGCCTCTGGCTCTGCGGTGCGGTTTGATTCCGTTCCTTAGATCTGTGATCAGAGCAAGGGCCTGCAGAGCAAAGCCCCAGAGCCCATCCGAGCCTCCGAGCAGCCCACTTAACCCCGTGCTCTTCCAGCAGAAGGGATTGTGTTTCCTCCCCTCCCAGGGGAGCTGCTGGGAACTGGGATTTGTAAAGCACTCCGAGGTTCTTTAATCCGGAGGATGGAGTGTCATGTAAAAAAAGACCTGTGAAATAATTTACAGAGTGTTTGGTGCTGCTCTGTGTTCACAGCTGCTCCTGCTCATGTCAGGCTTCCCATCACCCTGCTGCTCTCTGAAGCAGGCTCTGCATCCCCCTGCCCGCTGTCTGGGCTCTCTCCCGCTTCAGAAGCACTTGGGTGTCCCAGCCCAGCACAAGCAGAGGGAGCAATGTGCTCTTTTCCCCTGTGGAAGCTGCAGCTCTATGGGGGGTTTTGGGGTGCTGCAGCTGACGGAGCTCCTGTGTGATCTGTGATGTGGTTTTACCCCTAGAGCAGTGATACCCAGCCCGGGTGCAGGCTGACCGATGCTCCAAGGCCTTGGCTGGAGCTCCCCTCCTTTGTTGTGTACCCGGCTGCAGGCAGCTGAGCACACGGTCCCATCTCGACGTTAAGGGAGGACTTCTGAAGCAGCTCTTTCCCCACTAGCTGTAGTGCTGGGGTATTCCCAGGAGGAGCTGGGGGAAGGGAAGCGATGGATATCAGTTGTGGAAGTGTTGCAGACCTGCTGAACCGCGAGGTGAGGGATTAGCAATGGAGCAGGAGGGAGCTGCTCCCTCCCCACCAGTGACCCCGATAGCAGAGGGGCTTTGCCCTGCTGCTGGCTGGTTCATGGGTGAAGGAATGCTCTGCTCCGGCCTGGCTCTGCCTTGGGGTGGCAGGAACAGCCCCACTCATCCTCCCCACTCCCGGAGGTTACCCTGGAACACTATTGTTCCGAGGAACTAAAGATTAACACGGATAATGAAAGGCATGAAAGGGAAGCGGCTCCCTCAGTGCCAGGGCACTCCTTGGTTCACTGCCCTGGCCTTGGACAGGGAAACTGTTCCTCCTCCCTGCTCCTCACCTGGAGGGCGTGCAGGGGGGTGTTTGGCACAGTCCCGCTCCCAATCACCCTTGGGATGCCAAGGGATTGAACCGGGAGATGCTCTTTGTGCTTCCCCAATGGAGGGGGCACCGGGGCTCTGCCGCTCGCACCGGGCTGTGGCTGGGGACGAGGGTGACTCTTGGCCACGGGCCCGGCGGGGTGAGGGTGCGGAGCCGTTGGCAGATGCCTGCAGATGGGTTCACCGGGGCGCAGGTGTGGCTTTGGGAAGCTGCCTTCTAAGAGAGACATCAGTTTTGAACCCAGGAGGCTGG